GTAATCCGACTATACTACTAGCTCAACATATTAAGCTACTATGCCTTTACACAAAGCAAGGGTAGTTGTTGAAGGGAGCATAAAAGAAAGGTATTTAGAGTAAAATTATATAGTAAGATTGTTTGGCAGTTACAGTAAGAGTAAAGTGAAAGAAAAAGGTAGCAGTATATAGAGTAAAGTAAGTAGACTTTTTTCCTATTCTTGTTAGGTTTTTACCAGCCATGAGAGAAGGCCAGACCGCCGATAGCAAGCGTAATACCATAAAAGACGGCACTGTACACGAAGCGGATGAAGCGATGTCCGTAGCCAACCTCAGTGAAAGCAACAATCGCAGTCAACGCAAAGTAGCTATAAGTAATACGTAGATAGTACGATTAGATCAGTGATATTTCTGGAAGCTTTGACAAAATCACGTAATGATGAGTATTCGCTATTGCTGCTACTACTACTCACATCCAGGCCAAGATTGCGACTGCGCGTGTCGAGCCAGTACCAAAAGTGTTTAAAACCAAGACGGGCAAGAGCAATTGTGTATTCTCGAACAGCACACGATAGGCATTAGCCAGGCGAGACTATTACACACATTTTTCAATGGTTTCATTAAGCCAAGTGCCGTCACTCTCTTTGACAATACATAGATGGGTATAATCTCATCTTGATATATGGTTATAGTGTAACAAATGCCATGGTGCTGTTACTTACGCCAAAGCCGCCCTCTGGTTTCCATTTGGCCCTCTTGGCAGCTGCTTCTGCATCTTCTTCGGCTGGAGCAGGCTTATCCTGGTCTTCTCCAAAGATGTGGCGCAAAAAGTAGACCAGACCCCAAAGTGTCCATAGGGTGAAGAAAGCAATCCATGCTAGACGGACATAGCGGTCCAAGACAAAGGAGGCGACGTTGAATCCGCTTTTTGGGTTTTCAGTATCCATTATCAGTATTAGAGAGGTGCTGCTTTAGTGCTAATATAAAGTAAGAGGTATAAGAGGAAGAAGATAGAATCGATGGGAAGAGTAGTAGTTGTACTTAACTTCAATTACACCCCTGCTCTTTTATATGGTTTCCACTAAAGGGCGTTGTTTTAGAATTAGATTATTTTTGTGCTGCAAACATGTCATACTGCTCACAAAGGTCTCGTGATCTTTGCAGCAAACGACAACAACACGACCACCGACGCGAGAAATTCCTCTTTGAAAGGAGGCGGTGTCTAATGTGTGTGAGACGATGAGGTGAAAATGTTGATGATTTCACACGCATCACACTTTTGAGGCCAAGTTTCTGCCCAGTTTAAGAAATATAAACAAATATAAGCATCGTCATTTTATTCATGTACATGCAAGACCGGAGCGTCAAAAGAAAAAGAAGGTCATGATGGAAAAGCATGTATGCAAGCAGATAGAAGTTACACCTATTCATCGTCTCTTATTGTTAGACGGACGACAACAGACGTGTGTTGTCTTATAAACTATAAATCTTGCTTTTCTTAAATCGATCTGATTCTTTATGCACCTGTTACTAGTATACTGCACAGTGACTATGCACAGCATAGTTGCGTTAGTGTCGAATGATAGTTGAATTGCGATACACACGCAAAACACAGAGAGAGAAAATTTAACATACACATGAAATTGCACCCCAAACACTTCTTTCTCTTTCTCCCGCATGAGTGTACCGGGTCAAATTTAACTGATCAATTGTACGCTGGTTTTGCGACACTAATAAATGTACTAAAGATATCAACAAAAGTATTTTTCTGTATCGACTTCGTCTCTTTGTAATAATAGTCTTTGCTATGATAACTTATACCAAGCTGCCGATAGAAAAGCTTAATAGGCTGCCTTAATGCTCTTACGTTTTTTTCTCCAACTGTATTTTATTTCGTAACCGTGATTTCATTTGACTTTTTTACTCCATCATTATGACTATATTTGCAAACTGTTCGGTCTAGAAAGTTCTACCAAGGAAGAAGATAATTTATCAAACATGTCGCGCCATGAGCAGGTCATACGCCGTTGCTGATAGTGATGATGAAGACCGGGTAATCTTTCCCCGGTGTATGTAGGCACCAAAGAGATGGCAGGTCGTTGTTATTCAACAATGACAAGTGTGGTGGCAGTTCTCAAGTCGGTTGCATATCCGCGGCTTGAACTTTGTATCACCAACACAGTTACTGTATTGAACAAGTTCCCCAATCCACTGCATCCATCCAACTGCTGCCCCACTGTTTTTTAAAATGCTCTTATTATGAGCTTGCATATTTACCTTCGTGCTTAACAAACAATCTATCAATCTCCGTAACAACTACAATGGATAATACGCCATGCACATACAGTAATGAAGATGCAAGGGCTCTTTTGAAATGTACAGCTGTAATAGCCTACTCGTCGGTGAATAAGCAAACTACAATAATTGTCGTGCCACAACTTCTAAATCTTTCACCATGTGATGATGAAGGGTTTCGCCATACTGTATGTATCTCATGAAATTCTCTTGTTTCTAGTGAGCGATTGGGGAAATATTTCTTTTGTTTGGCAGGTGTGTGGTGTTGTTGCACAAAAAAAAGCTCGGCGTTTCCTTTGACAAAAACAATAATATAGCGAAGCAAAACCGGGCTCTGTTTTCACGCACATACATATTGTTGTGATTTTAGATGACACACATCAAAAGCATCATGATAAGAAACGGTTATTGTTTATATTTTGTTTGGATGTTTTCGTTGCTGACTGCTAGTAAGAGAACTGTATATAACGTCGTGCCACTTTCCATCTTAAGCAACAGAGTTTCTTTGGCGCAAAATGCAATATGCAAGGAAGAGAATAGTAAACATACTTGATTTTTGCTTCATTATGTGTTAAATCACGGATGAACCATTTTTTCAATGTCAGATGTATTACAGATTGACAGCACGACTCTTTGATTTTTATGTCATTATTCTCTCTTTGTCGTTCGGGATCCAACGGCCCGAATCAAAGTTTTCTTTGTGCGGGTGCCCAATTCCTCGGTTAAATAAGTGATTTGTCGTCCAATATGATAACCTGGTTCCTGTATCATAAACCAATTTCGACGTCCCCCTCTATATGATGATAGCATATTTCACATGAGTATAATGTAATTGTGGCTGAAGTTGTAGCAACTCAATTCTATTTTCTTCGCTATTATACATATGTACAAAACTCCCAAACAGCAATACATTTCGTAGATTCCATTAAGAGTTAAGAGTTACAAAGTAACTATCACTGCCGTGGATGGTGGCGGTGACAATACATTCATCAGGGTTGCAAATGCTACAACGGATGCTGTACACTTTGAGGGTCACTTTACTGGACTTTACGATCCAGAATAGTATTTATAGCCATCATTTCATTTAGTGACACGTAATATATATCAATAAGGAATGGTCTGTTACACCCTACTAATGTTGTAGTTTTCACTTGACTGTCGTGTATGATAAGTTTTATATGTACGGCGCCTGTCTGCTGTTAGTTTTGGGAATCGCCCTAGAACGCCTAAACTATTTTATCAAGCATATCGTCTTTTTTAGGTTTGACCTCCTATTATACACTTATAGCTGTTGTTGCTATTTTATTACGGAAATGGCGACAATGGCAGTTATGATACTGTATTATAATTTGCTGGAGCAGTACTGTATGCAGTATGTACATAGAACAACAACGCGCAAACGGCATAAGCCCTCAATACAGACAACCGACAGTTATCTCCAAACCTAACTAAAGACAATGATGATGTTATAGGCGAGTATCGAGCAGGTTTTGCATCTTCTTGTGCTTTCACTATGTATGTCTTGTGCCCTAGGTTGCTATTTCACCATAATAATCAGTGTATGTAATCTAGCGTGTATGTATGTGCCTTCTGTATCGTTTCTATAAATACTTTTGCATGTTGCTCTATACATCGATCCGAAGCATTTTTTCTTTTTTTCTCTGAGTATGGCTAGCGGCTAAGGCGGCTTTGAGGTGTTGAATAACTGCAAGTCATTTTGTCAGGAAATTCGTCATCATTTTCCACTAATCATTAAAAAAAAAGAGCTAGAACAATCGGATCAAAAACCCCATTATTAATTTTATAATATACTACATAGCGGTCCCTGCCTCGTTTCACTCACGCGTCGCAAGGGTGTTCCCGCCCCTATCCTTGAGCGCAAGAACTCAAAATCCTGTAGCGCTGGCATTTAGAATAACATTTATAACCTTCAATAGCTTTCGAGATAAACCCGCTTAGCAAGGTCAATTGTATTTTGATAGATTTTCTGCTGTATGGATCGGTATATAGAGTGCTGCCTGAGATGGTGCTGCCACACAATGTTGAATTATTCTCTCAATCTTTTAGAAGCTACCAATAAGAAATCATGAGTATAATTAGAACCTGCAATTCAAGTGACTGATTGTGCTATTACAGGCTGCCACCCGTACCCGGCGCACATTCATCAATGTACGATTTGGTATTAAGGGGATGATCGGTATACTTGGCCAAAAGCAGGGTGGTAATTCGCTTTCTTCTGCAGACAACCTTATTTTGCCACTACATCAACAAATTACAAAACCATGGGCAGAAGCACACTGACATTATAAAACCACACAGCAACAAAGAAATGTAAAATCCTAGCAAGAGCAAAAAAAGGAATCGAATAAATGAGTTATCATGTCATCTGCAGAGTATAGCACATAACACTTGTTCCGGTTTACAAGGCGGAGCCAAGATCACTCTGATCTGATCAGGCCATGATATAATCGATGTGCTCCCAGACAATAATGCCGCTACGATGACTATATGACCCTGCACTGATTACATACTGTGATGTGAAGCCAATTTTTGTGGTCTTACTCGATCTCCTATATAGCAAATAGGACCCCTGCTTATTGTTGTGTTGACTATGCATGGCAGCAGGACACGTCGTCAAAATGGTTCAGTCACTGTTGTTTACTTGATCCTCGATAATAAAGGAGTAGTCTGTTCCCTACTCTTCTATTTTTCATCATCAAAAAAAAATAGTCTTTTAGGGAACCTGTGGTGCGTATAAAGGTCTGCGTTGTACACGGTTCTACCTCTATTTTTAATAGTTTTCTCTACTACATTGATCCTGCTTCCTCCGTTAAGGCTGCTGTCCAACAAAGACCAAGAAGACTATCTCGCATCAATGCGCCGATATCAAGTTTTACAACGTCAAGCAACAAGTCATTGCATTCGGCCGCTGCGACTCGCGCGGTGTCATGCCTTAAGCTATCATCATTGCCTGTTCAGGTGTCAGGCTTGTTAGTAGCTGGTGAAAAATCCATAGGTAAATACGGGTGGGTGTTTGTGTGTATTGATTGAATGAATGAATACTTGGCCATGAAATGTAAAAAAGAAAAAGCGCTCGATGTATGTAGTTTGTTCGTGATTCTTCTCTCTCTCTCTCTTTCTATCTATTTCAGTATTAATCTTACATGCCCGTACTATGGTGTTGCTGTCGATACTGTAGGCTCAAGTGTGCGCCATATGATATCATGCAAGTGGTGTTGAAGAAGAACGTTTCTGATTCCCGAAAACTCTCGTTATCCTGTCCAGAGCGGTCTTCTGTGGTCAAGATCTTCTATCTGACCATCAGGATGGTGGCAATCAAGCTATCTTGTGTGTGCCTTAGCTTTCGCCTCGACCCAGGAAGTTGCTAAAAGTATCTATAACATTCATGTATATCTTATCCCCTTTCTCTTTGTTGATTTTTGCTCCTTCTTGCATTCCTTGTATCACTTAGAGCCTCTGTTTCGTACCATCTTCGGATGTTGCATCGCTTTCATGCGAACGGCATACAGTACTCTACCCCAAGCAACCTCCGGGTGTTACGTACCCCAGCTACGGTTCAATAGTGCGCTGGTGGTCTCCTTGAACTCGAGGAATGCTTTGCGTGCTTACTTTATCTGTTCCTTTATGTGTGCGGATTTTATGTAATACCTATGGTTAACTGTTGGAAACTTGCTGCTGCTACTTATTTTTGTCACCACCTGAATATTGACTTTAGTGTCCCTACTTAGTGCTCTCCTTGCCTGTCTGTATCCGGTGTGCATACATAGCGGCGTTATTTGATAAATTGTGAAAAACTCTATAGATTTCCTGGGTATTATAATTTACTACTGTATATATGCGGTTCAAATCAAGACAGTAGCTTACATCACTGCGATCGTCTGTTGTCATATTACGATGGATGACATGAAAAATTAGAAGGACAAGCAGAAAATGATCGGCAAGTCGCTTGTTGCTTTTTCTTGTTGCTCAATGGGACATTGATCGCAAAGAAACCAATAACTTAAAATCAGTAAATCCTTAGAGAAAAGGGTGATAGGTCTAGCTTGTACGTCAACACTACTGCAGAGCTGCACAGGTTATCCCTATTGGATCAGCCTAAGAAGTGTAGTACTGCAGCAAGCAAAAACCAGGGTCCAAACTCAAATGTATCTATGCATCCATGGATTAACATAAATAACCCGTGATCCACTAACCGACTGTGTCTGCATGAATGACACCTACTATCGTATACAGTACATATCTTTTCAGTAAAGCTGTCAACTTTGTTGATCATATGTTAACAGCAAAAAATATAATGTCCATCAGAGATATAAGCTGGTTAAAACCTTGAATCCTCGAGTCCGCACTGAAGCTAAACTGTATATGTACAAGCCCATTCATTGTTCATGACGGTATTCATGATAATACCATCATCGAAGAACTAGAAACAATCGAATCATATGCCCAAAAGTAGAGCAGCATGTTTATATACGATAATGTGTATTATTACAAAAGCAAAATAAAAGAAAAGAATAGAGGTTACTACAGTAGATGAAGAAGATGATGCTAGGAGAAGATATCTGTGATATTAGAAGAAGAAACAAAGAGCAGAACAAGAAATATAAGTCTACATGGAGGTTGTGCTTATGGCACTTAGTTGATGACGCGCATGGCAAGTTCAAAGCTGCAAGAAAGAAAACACATCAGTGAGCAAAGTTATCCGTTTCCCTTACTTTTACCCTGATAGCACAACCACATAGAACCCAACGAAACAAAACAAAAGACTCAGGACAACATACCCCATGAAAGTAGCAGCATTGCAAGGAGCAGCACGAAGCAAGCAAGGACCCACTCCACGGAAAAAGCCGGCGACGCCCTCAGCTGCCATGGTCTTTTTGACACAGTCCAAGGTGGAGGCGTATTTGCGAGCAGCACCAAATGCATCCGTTTGCAACTTGGACTTTACGGCATCCATGGGATAAATGGTCAACCACATAGCATAACCGGCGCCAGCACCGTACAAGCAAACCTCCCACGATGGCAGCTCGGCACGCGACTTCAAACCCGACTTCTCCATGGAGCGGCGTACCAGCCACTCGTATGCAAAAAAGTAGGCACCGTAACCCTGGAACTCACGTGCCATGGTGATGCCTTGTCCCTTGTAGATACCTTGGATGCCATGCGACCGGTAGATCTGACGGATGCAGTCGATGGGGCCGCTGTAGCCTGTACCGCCGGTCTGAACCTGGAGGCGGGTACGGATATGTTCGACGGGACCAGAGACGACCGAGTTGGCGATACCGCCAGCAGCACCGGCCATGTACATCTGTGCGTTTGTCAATGGCGAGCCATGGTTATCTTGCGTGAAACGGCGTTTCATGTATTCGACGACAACGAATTGGATTGAAACGCAGGCGCCGATACCAACCAACGGCGTTGTAGTTCCCTAATATGGAAGGTGGGGTAAAAAAGCAGATGAGTTTTTTTGGAGCCTTTCACCGAGTCATTCCACCGAGTCATGGTCGACACTACAAAGCACACTCTGCCTTCCAATAAAAATATGTATGCACACATACCTTGTAGAATCCACGCAAGCCCTCCTTTTCTCGAGTCTTGCGCACACAGTCCATCATGCTGCTGTAGACAGGGTTCGTGGTCGATTGTGTTTGGAGACGCTACAGTAATTTTTTTCGTTGATAACCCGGTTACTCTCTGTTGCTGTGTTACTTGATCCGAAACCTCTCTCTTGAAGCTATGTGTCCTCTTACCACTTTGACGGTATCGAAAGGCTACAGAAAGAATCCATGATGAGTATATTCCTTGCTTTCCCTAAGCCCCACTCCCTCTCTGTCAATACATAAGGAAGCGCTCTTACCTGACCAACAAGGACTTGCATGATACCACCCACGGTTCCGCCAGCACAATCCTTCAAAGACTGCACCAGACCACTATGATTGGCGGCCCACATATATACACGTCAATTTTCTCTTGACAACTAGATAGCGCCTGCTTGTAGCCCAGCCCCTCTCCTTTTTTAAATCCCTTGCACATACCCGTTTTCAGAGACGTCGACCTCGGACATGACTGCAATGTCGGTAGCTGCCATTACGAGCAAGTGTGTATGTGAATAACCAAGTGGAAGAAAAGAAGGAAAGGAACGAAAAAAAAAAAAAGATTTCCTAATTTATTTTCCTCTTTAGATTTTGTAACGCCGCTAAGTATAGGTACAGGTACTTTTAGTATGCTGCTACAATGCTACAATGCTATATTGCTATTATGCAACAATTTGCTGTTTTTGTCGTATGTTTACGTCAGAGGACTCCATCCGACCCAAGTTCTTCCAAGGATAGCCGGATCAGTAGCCAGGTCGATGAGACAACGGACTTGCTCCTGAACTGTGCTGCACCGTTCGCCAACTCTGGCCCGGATATTATGCTTCGGATCACCGCGTGTCACAGCTGCCATATCCTTCTGCATTTTTAGTACGCGCTTGTTTCTCGAAACATCCTTTGCCATGGTGTCTATGGTTTTATACGTTAGATATAGACACATGGGATACTAATTTTGAGCTAGTGACAAAAGAGCACCTACATCCGGGGTTCTCTAAGGACAGCTTGTTTCTAGCTGTATCGAGTTTTTGCTGAGGGTACCATGCAATTTCTTGATCTATTGTAGCTTCCGAGCTACTGCCTCTAGCAGTAGAAGTTGTGCTGGATGCACTGGGGTTTGAAGCAGTAGCAGCACCAGCTCGTCCGGACCGTCCGGACCGTCCAGTGTTACCTCCACCATCAATAGAGCCAGATCTTTGTTCTTTGTAATGGCGTTAGATCAAAAGATCAATCGTTTCTTCTTTCTTTTCCTTTATCGATTCAAAAAAACCTACTTTGTCGCTTTGCTTCAATTATGGCCTCCTTCCGCCAATCAAGCAATGGTTCTTTGATGAAAACATCCATAGTGTTGAGAAGCGTACTTTTCTTGTCTTGTAATGCTTGCAGAATGTGTATCATTGGAGTCTCCAGCATCCCTGATACGCCTACTGGCTCGCAGACGCCAGTAAGTTGTTTTGTCAAACGGAACGGCATCAATTCAGGATAAGGCAACATTTCTGTCGCTGCTCCAAATGCATAACCGAAATCGATAGGAACCAATTGGCCACTATATGGTTACAAGGTATATGTAGATTGAATCAGTTTACTTGGCATAAGAAGATCGAAGCAACTTATAAGTTTCTCTTCTCTTAGTTAGTTAAAACCATTGATAAACTTACGAGTTTAGGTCCACCAAGAAATTATCCAAATGTCGGTCACCAATACCAAGTACATAGCCCGAAATTGACACTGCCGCTAAACTATGGACAAAGTCCTCCCGGATGTATAAGAATGCTTCAGGGGATGCGGCAAGTCGTAAAAAGTAGTCCCGCAACATATCTTGTCGAGCCAAGCTTGCACTAGACTCGTAGTTTTCAACGATTTTGTCGCGGTCAGCAGAGTATGTGTAGATGAAGCCGTGGCTGGCGCCCCTGGGCCTGTATTTGTCAATATAGTTGTTATAGCGTGTTTTGGTTCGCTTGACGGCTGTGGAATCGATGGAGTCTAAGCACGACTGCAGTGGCATGGTATCCGCAACCCATTCGATCATGCCTACAGTAGTGGACATGGGAACAACCTTGTACGTTCGGATATTAACATTGTGTCGAGCACAGTACGGGTCTTCCTGGAGGATCTCGTTCATCACGGTGAACAGCTGTTGAAGACGTTGATCCAAACGAAGATCTTCACCGCCCTATTAGTTGCAAAGATGAACTTTTTTTAATGACTTGGACTCTTTTTGCTACTTTGAGGAACATCTTGTAGTTTTATACCTTGATTAAGAAGTCGTGCTTCTTTTCATCAGTACCATAGATTCGAAGACGCTTAGGTGCCCGCATGGACGACATAACTAGCAGCCTTTCATCAAAGCTTGCAACCTTGGCATGATCTTCGGGGTGAGGCTGCTTGAAACCTGAATACTGACCGGGTATCTCAATATTCTAAAACAGAAAATCGGGTAGATAATTGTTTTTTGATGTATCAGCACAGCGTATACGAGTTTTGCACTGTATGATGGTTAACATTTCCTCTCGTTAAGTTCCTTCGTATATACCTCTTCCCACTCTGTGCCTTGAAATTCAGCGAGGAATGGAGAGTATGAGCCTAGCCTGTCTGGATTCTTTGATGATTTCTTCGCTTTTTCTGCAAAAGCACGCAAATTTTGAATTTGCGTTCTCGTCATTTTGAAAAGCTTGGACCCTTGGGTGCCTGTATTTGTTTTCAGAGAAAGTTATTAGTAGTGGTATATTTTTGTATCACCATAAACACAAGCACACAGGTATACATTAAAACTCACCAAAGCAATCTCTCAGATAGGACGCATTCAGCACTGCAAAATCTTTGGGGATCTCACCCATTTCACTGCTGCGTGAATTCATCACCAGGTCATTGAACTCATTATATGCATTCTGAACGTATTCTCTGCTGATATCATCACTGTAGAGCACCGTCTAACGTGTGGAAAGAATAAAGATGGTGCTTTTGTTAGATACTTTCTACTAAATCTGTGCGGGATGTATTAGTAACCCAATTTACCTCAAGGAAACCAGCAAAGTCCTTAACGATATGCTCCGGGTTTGTGAGACGTCGCAGCTCCGTAATGAATTTTTCTCGCATGCTTGAGTAGAGAGCATTAGCAAGCTTTGTGATATGGTTACGCGTTGTCTCGTCAAGCTTGTCGCCAATCGCTTTGAAATGCTCGTTGCTGATATTGAATGCATAGTATATCGCATTTGGGTAGCTCAATGCAAGATGATGCAGCGCTGGGAACACGTTCACGGCGATGGGGTTGTCCATGATAGCAACCATTTGTGGAATCCATCGTATATACATCCAGGTTGGACCAAATGATTCCGCCTGTTATAGATTAAAATAAAGCTTATATTTTAGCACGCTTTAAACTAAAGATAGAACAATGGATATATTCGAGCGATACAAAAGAATTGGTGATACAAACGACTTTACCTTTGATTTGAATTCGGGTCCATTTTCTGGATATCGTTCAATCAGGTCCAAAAGTCGAGGGAAACGTTCGATTGCTTCCTTCTTTCCTAGTTCCATCGCCCTGAAATAGTTGTCAATAACAATACGGCTATACAACTCCGTGTCAATCTTGATCTACATGATAATCGGAAAGAGAATAAAGTATGAAGCTCTGGTTCTGCTGGAAAAGAAAGTATACATAGAATAGACGCAGTTGTTATGCATATACACACCTTGACTTTAGACGATTCTTCCTCGTTGGCAACAAGAGCATTGTCGCAATAGTCGGCCAATTTCCAAAGACAAGCTAAATGTATGGATTGGTCCTGAATATAGTGTTGTTTGTGTGAGAAACAATCCTCATCACGGATCAAAAAGTTTATAAAAACAAAGCAACTACTAACCGCATCCATAGTGGCGACATAGACATCTTGTAGGTATTGGCAGGCAGTGCTGTTCAAATAGTTGGAGAGCATTGCCGCATTTTTGAACTTGTGTTTGCTCAACAAATTCACCAACGAACTTGATGACATCAAAGCGGTAAACGCTTCATCGGGATCTTCTTGAAGTTTTGTTTTCGCATATTCAAATGTATCAGCAGCGGCGAGCAAGAAATCGTTCTTATGTTGGCTACGTGTAATAGGTCCTTCGTTTTTGATGACTATGTTGATCATACGCGCGATCGTACTGAGCTGGGCATCATTTTTAAGTGTTGGTACAAGCAATAATCGATTTTCCAGCTGCATAACAGTCTTCTCTTCCTTGGAAATGCCAAACAAGTCGAGTTGCCTGAATCGCGTTGATGCAACATTGACATTGTTCTGTTGTCGGGCAGCTGATATCATCGATTTTAGAAGACTCTTTTTGCAATCATTAAACGCGTTTTGATCGGGTATGCGTTCCTGTTGTTTTTACTGGGTTATTAAAAGAGCAAAGCTCTGTGGCTGGTAGATAATGATCATCCTGGACCGTTCCAGACCACTACTCTCTTTCCTCGCCTTCCTTCTATTTACCTTTAGGTCTGCTCGCATGCCCTCAAGCTCATCGAGGAAAAGGTATCTTGAATCGGTTATGTCATCCCACACATCCATGGCATCTAGTCGGTTGTCCGGGAACCTTTATCCAAAATTTAAAAAGCGATTAGATTGAGTTTTCCTTTGTTTAGCCTTATCAAGACCAAAGAAAAGAGATGTAAGACTTACTTTTTCAATAGACCGCGCATGTAACTTTCAACTTGATTGCGTCCAGCATTGCTTCTTTGTAAATCTGACACAACATCCAAGAATTCTTCAAGCTCAACTGTTCTTTCCAAAACTGCCAGCTGTGCCATTCTACTACCATAGGCTAATGGGTGTAGACTGGTCCAGATAGACAGCAAGCTATCGTATGATTCTCTCGTGTAAAAGCGGGCACGATCGTACTCGCTTTTCCAAATGGCATTCTGAGAGACATCTAACACAATGTTTTACAACAGCAGCAACAATAGGTGAGGATAACAAAGAAAGAAAAGAGGAACTTAAGCAGATGAAAATTTCGCTTACCACATGCAACATGATGAAGAAGATATTGCATACGCTCAGGAACTTTGTTGGCGGATCCAACAAAGTCAAAGACAGGGTTGGGTCGTTCATCGGTCCAAGGGGTAAACTCGCCATCGTTATCTATCAACCCTTGTCGTAACTTGGTGTAGCTTCGCATGAAGTATTTGATGTACTCATCCTGTGCACATTCAGTTATTTACGATTATATTTATCAATAGAATAACGTGCTAGCCTATCTAGTTTAAATTTACCTTTTCTGAATCATCCCAGATTGCTTCAAAGTTATTGTTGAACTTGTCACTCACAGTCGCTGCCATATCTTGCCACTCAGTAAGTTGTTCGTAGCAGTTTAGGAGTTCTTGCATCCAAAGATTGCGTTCTTCAGGATCCACATCATCTTTATAGTTGTCATAAAGTTCTACAAACAGGTTGGCAGCATCTGCGTAACGGTTCTGAATTTCGGCATCGATTGCCTCTGTAGAAAATAATTCTTCAATACCACTCGAAAAAACAAACAATACTCTCATATGTTTCGATCGTACATCAAGTAGTAATAGTAGCAGAGAGAGAGGGGCTTACCTTTCGATGTCGAAACAGAAGCAACATGTGCTTGGTAGAGGTTTTGGAAGATCTCAGGTTGGTCAACCGACTTGTATAATTGAGCCAAGTCAATCCATTGCTTCTTATCGTGGCCTAGCTTTGGCGTTTTGGTTGTGCGAGCTTTTTTGGAGGCTATTTCGGTTACAAATAAAGAAGTACCACGTATCAGAAAGTGAAAAACATAGAAACGGTTAGAAGCAAATCATAGAAACGTACGCTGTTTTGGTTTGTCTTCAACATGATAAAGGAATTGTCTTTCAATCAGTGCAATTGCGATATTTTGATTAAAGCTTCTTTGGCTGCACGTATTGACGACAGCAGTAGAAACTCCCGTGGTAGGTATTTCGTAATTGATTCGTAAGAATGAGCCAATGGCTGGAGGAAAATACATTTTGCTCTTTTCCAAATTTTCGTGCGCTATCTGAGCGATTTCATTTCGGTAGCCAGTCTGTTATAGTAAGAAAAGTAGGTACACTGTGATTAGCCCATATGGTTAAATAACTCGATATCATAGACGTATTTAGCAGCTTATATATGTAAGCTGATGCAGTTATGCATTAGTTACAAGTACCTTTCCTCGAAGCCTTTCACCATGGTCAGCAATCGTTGATGCAAGGACAGCATACAACATGCGCGCGATATCGTTGTCGCTTCGACCAAGTACTTGTAAAGGAAGAACAAGCTCAAAATGTTTGATCTGTACATCGGGCAGGTCGCCTATTTTGTATAGTTGAGCAATTAACGTCCGCAAAGGTTACAATGAGTAAAGGAGATATTAGTATGTGGGCTTTTTTTCTTCATAACATTCTAATTATATGAGATACACAGCACTAACCCATCCGATAATCGCGTATCATTTGAACTTTCTTTTCCCTTGCTTGTTTCTGAAGCTGTTCTGCTCTACGGGCTCGCTTCCTTCGTCTGTCGTGCATATCCGAAAAATGTAATGCTTCTTCATTCTGAGAAGGGTTGTAGGCACGCTGATTGAAAAGTTGGTATTTGTTAAAACTCTTCTTTTTACTGGGACTACGACCCACAGCACTTCTGTAGTCATTTGTCGCTTGTTGGCTTTCGTCTGCAGCAGTCGACGAGTCAATATCCATTGAGTTTGCGAAAACTGACGATGAAAACGTGGATGCCAGAGAAGGACCTGTGTTTTTTTAGGGAAGAGTGACAAACACGTCGTTGATATAAATTATTTTACAGTCAGGTAGCATCTGTAGGATTATATCGAAACGGGGATGAGACTACTTTGTACCTTGTGTTGCTGCACTTTGTGTCAATGAGAATTGGAAAGAAGTTTGTGTAGCACGAACGCCTCCCAAATAACCTTGGCTGTTCAACTTATGAAAGATGCAACAGAAACGCAAACAAATATAAATACGGGAATTACCAAGAATCAATGACTATTACATCCGTGGCAACTTACTGACTGATCCTGGGTTGCTACGAATAATGGTGTCATGGGGTTTCTCAATTGCCAGGAAGTGTCGATTTTCGTGTAACCAGCATCAAACCTGGCATTCGGTAATGCGTCCTTGAAGATGGGCGTTTCATAATCATCGCCCTGTTTCGTGGTATCCAGAATCATTTCTGTGCTGTACAGCAGATATTGACTTTCAATCTCTGGCATGTACATATCGCTGAAGCCCAAAAAATAGAGCGCGTTGTTTTATGATGCTGTTAGAGTTTCTTACAAAGGATAGATGATGCTCTTAACTTTCTTACCCCATAACTGCCTTGAGTCTGTTGTAGATATCATCTTGGATACCATAGCTCGTCTTGATATACGAAGTGGCTGTATTACGGATATTATTGTCTGGATCAACCATTCCTTGAAGTACAAACACCTTGATTTTGTCACCAAGAACCTGGTCATTCGCTGCTTTAACAACATCATTGACGGATTGCATAAACTTGTAAAACAGCCGCTAATCGAAAATGAAACAAGATACTGCTGTTATATACTTGTACATTTGACAGGAAATGATAGAGTACTTACTCTGCATTCAGAATTCGCATGATTTACAAAGTTGTTTGAGATCGTATTAACAGCATGGTCGATTTGTGGTAGGGTTAACGATTTTGCTATTTTCTCCAGAGTAGTCAAAAGTAGAATTTGCCCTTGATCATCACTATAAAGATAAAGATATATGGGGAATAACCCATTAATTCAAATCGCATACATGAAATGAGAAAGGGGTCGTGCTTACCCGCGCGTTAGCGTCTTTAATAGCTTTTTGCTTTGGATGGATTTGAACAAGTCTGGAATATCCTCACTTGCTCCGGCAATAATTCGTAGCGCAATGATTTTCAAGTCGCCATAGAGTTGTGGAATAAGATATAGGACTTTGTTTAGATAGTTCTTGGCGATGTCTTTGTCGTGGATTTGAATGCGCTGGATACACCTGAGGAACCGAGCTTCAGAGGTATACTTGCTCTTTTTGGTACCAAATGGATCCATTCTGTTGATGCAGGCGTCAATGAGCTTTTCAAGATATTCTGTTGAATTTCCACGCTTCTTTTTCAGTTCTACGGCCCAGCCGAGAATTTCAGCAGCGCTGCTATGGACCTCAGCGTATGAGTTCCAAAGGTTTGTGCTGATGCCCCTGTAAAATTCTTCCTCGGTGAGTCCCTCGAGTTTGACCTCTGGTCCGTCATAGAATGGATCCATATCATGCGCCAAGGCAATGCCGACAAGTTGCAAGCCAAGCTCATCACCACGTCCTTCCCTCTGTGTGACAATTTCGTTGTAGACGGTACGCTGAGCATATGCTCATTTTAGTTACTTTACCGTGAACAGTCGCAAGCTAATCCCGTTTTCGCTCCATCCACCGCCACTCAGCCAGAATACATACCGTTGGCACAATAATTTGTTTCTTCCAGTTTTCAAATGCTCCTTTAAGAACATTGACAACCTTTCTTTGGACCTGAGTGTTCTTATTGTACCCATGCTTCATGAAATAATCCTATAAAGGTTACCCCGCCCATAAGAAACACGTTCTCCGATTGTAATATATAATAATCAGTGATTATGCTGATAGGCACTTACAACAAACTCGTACAACAGGTATCGATCCTCATAGGTGTCCCGCATCTTATTGTTAACACCCCAGAGCATAACAATCGCGCAGATGTCCTGTAGATTTATCAACGTATAATAAAGTTGGTAACTGAAATTCCTCCATGTTCCTTATCACTTTATGAAGATAGATTTGACGATCATGCTCATATCATTTTACTTACAAGTGCCATGTAATTTATAGGGTCACCATACTTATCGGCTTCTTTTGCAAGTTGCATCAACGGTCTAATCCAGTATTCTGCATATGGCTCAAATGGATCCGATTCAAAGTACACCGCTTTTGCGAAAAAAAGGCGCACCTGTAGTGGGGTACCTGTTTCACACAGAATGCATAAAACATCATGCCAATCGGTCAGAGCGCACAGCAGCTTTATGACGGGTGAAAAAGTGAACGGACTTGTATGAAGAAGCAAAGAAAAAAGTGAAAATGAAAATGCATTACCCTGAGCAGTAAATGCTTTGAGAAAATTTCTTATCCAGTCCGGCATAGATTTGTCTTCGTTCGCAGGAGCAATTTTGTATAACCGTCTGATGATGACCATAATGGATTTCATGCAAGGATTTGAGCTGATTTGGTCTTTTTCCATCATGCCTTTGTCCCTATGTAATCAAGACACGTGTAAGCGAAGCCACATCATCTTGAATGGCACTTTGCTACTCTATTAAAAAAGGAAGTTAGAGACAGAACATTCTTACCGAGATCTGTCAATCGTAATCTGTTCCTCGTCCTCTGAGAACGGTGAGTTGTCGTTCGCTTCTTCCCCGGTTGTATCGTTTTCCGCTGAATCTGCGCTGAAACCCAAGGACGCCAATGCCATCTTGTTAATGAAACGAATGCACATAAGTCGGATTAGATCTTTCTCGTACTATATCATATCACGATTATTCTACTGCACTTAAGACCATAAAAACTCACATCGGTCAAGGATGCCTGGGTCAAACTAAAATTTTAAATGGCTGTCAGTAACGATGATATCTGACATAGTTTTCTCTTCTTTGGAATACCTGTTCGTAGTCATTTGGATAGATGCCATGTATTTTATACTTGCGTCCTGCTCTTCTTTCTCTCGCTCGTCAGATCTTCGCTTGTACTCGACTACGCGCTCCTGTTCCATCCTCTTATCAAGAGCTGCTGGCAATGAAATATCTTCCGTAGTGTCCACTATATTCTCCCAGATTGGTTTTGGCAAAAGGTAACCCGAAAAGATGGTAGCCGACTTTTGGGTGCGCATTATCGCCGCTGTCATTGTATTGTAAGCAACACGGTGGTAGTGAAGCCTTGTTTCATTGATGGATGGGTTGCTGGACGGGGCTTCTTTTTCCTTGACGACGGGGCTGAGGTGTGTAATCAAATCCGTCATAAGCTTCCGACCGCTATGCTCGTCAAGCGGTTTTCCCACATAGACTTCGACAATTTTGCTGGTTTTTGTATGAGCCTCGACGGCCGGTAGCTTCTCATACATGGATTGCATCAGTCGGAAGCAGCACATTCGTTCCTCCATGTCGTCCATTACTTCTTGATCACTGCCACGCCTTAGCGCTTCGCGTAATACAATGCTCATGATATACCGGATATTGTCCATGTAAAACGTAACCACGTGTCCCTCAGGCACAAGCGCATGGAGAGAGATGATCAAATTGATTGCTGCGCGGCGCCAGTCCATTCTTTGCTTTTCATCTTTGTAGAAGCTTTCATAGAGTAGTGTTTATTTTGATCTTCTTGGTTAGTGAACGTTATCTTCCATCCCAACATTACTCCATCATTTATCTTCTTCAACTTCCACTGCCCTTGAACTTACTTGAAACAGATTGAAACAGTCTTTTTGAAGTCTGTAGGACCCAGTCTTCTCGCATACTTGCTGATATGCATCTGGATAATGTCATTATGGGTGTGGTTGTCTTCTTGTATAAACACAGGAAAAAGAATCTCGAACATCCAGAGGGCACTGAACTGAGACATGATTTCTAACAGCTTTTCCAATCCGTCAACATATTCTCGATAGCTGTGTCCCAGATACAGAGGTGTTCATAAAGACAGTAAGATTACATAATATCGATACTACGCGATTATACGTACAGCGAGCTGGCAGTACACATAGAATGTTTTGCTACTTACACGGTCGTGCTCGGATCAAGATCAGTTGATCGGTAGTTGAGTTGCCGTCTAACGGTATCATCAACCGCTTTTGCAATCTATACATTAGCCGTTCTTGTTTAGCTCAAGATCTAAAACCTTGCTACGGTGGTGTGGAAAACAAAACGAAGAACTATGCCAGGAAATCGAGTGCATCTCATGCTATTTACCTTATCAATGTGTTCTCCCGAGACAGTAATGAATACGGGAATAAGCTCAAATGCTTCGATTTTAATGGCCAATGAAACTCCGGGAGCCAAGCATACTTGTAATGCTTCACATAACGTTGAAAAGATGGGTTGTCCTTTTGTACGAATAGGTATGCCAGAATCAGCACCAAGCAATCCGGTCAGAAACTTGATCAGATCTGCCACATTTGAGTCATTGCCCCATGCTTTGATACTATGTGCACACGTGTATACGAAAAGTCGAGTCAATATTCTGTTCATTGATATTGATGATCTTTTACTTTCTTCCACCTTATTAGCTCATGATTCAACTTACATATCATCTAAGAATGTCGTTTCGGACAGGAGCTGGTAGATCAGATCGTATTAGGAAATTGGATTTTTTTTTATTTACAGTAAACCAAATTTTCAGAGTTTAGACTTACTTGATCGACAAACTGCGATATCTCGTCCTTGTGTGCGCTTCTTTCGGTTCTAAGGTACGTGACAAGGCCAATGACAACTTCGTGAATAAAGCTGTCGTTTGCATGAGAAATCAGCACTGGTGCAAAGTGCTTGAAGTTCATGGCAATACAGTCGTTGATCTGATATAAGGTTATATGTTTAAATAGTAAGTAAATTTTGGTCGCACTTTGATACAGTTTCTAGCTCGAAAGAATCTGGTCGAGATGTGAGAAGCGTGTTACTTCACACTCACATAGGCATTAAATCTTTGGTAGGTAGCCAGTCGGTCAGCATAGGTCGAGCTGTTCTCCAGCAAGAGCTGTGTTGCATATTTCGCAGCAAATCCTGGCTGATGGAACGCAATCACTAGAATTTCACCAACAAGCTCGATCCACACTGGCTCGGTGGTGCTACTATATTGCACAAACTTGTCCAACAATGCAGCGCAATAGTCATGGGCTGATCTAGCTCCTCCGCTTGACTCTGAAGCCGCTTTGCACACATCGTCAAACAAATCCAGGTCTTGAAGTATCTTGATACCATCCACAATTTGCAACATATCATTCAATGCACCTAAAGTTCCCGGTGGCCAAGTTTATTTCTTTCTCCTTTCTCACATCCTTATTCTTCTTCTGAGAGCACATTGCTTTCCTTTGGAAAAGACAGAGTTCACTTACTTTGATTAAGCTGCAAATTGGTCAGGTCGACATTGCGCGAATAGAGAACAGTACTGCAAGTTTTGTTGAACAGACGCATGAATTTGCCTGGCCCTTGTTCTGTCATCAAGCGTAGAAACTTGCGGACCAGCTTTCGAATCATCTCGTCAGAAAGTTTGTTCGCTATGGATCCTTGCTCTGCCTTGGCCGCTTCGACGTACTGATTTGGCAGAAGCAAAAACTGAACAACCATGGACACAAAGGTTTCATGAGTTAGGATTCCACGGGCCACAAATGTTTCCAGAACGCTTTCCGCCTGCAAATGGTCCTCCACTGTTTCTTTGCTCTGTGGATCACTTCCAGTGCTTCCGGCTTCGGTAATGACCGCAACAAGTTGATAATAAGCGTAAGCATAGAGAGCTTGTGCCTTTGTTTTCTCGATGCTGTTTTGACGACCAAAGATATCCTCGGGCGAATGATCCAGGAGATAGACACATGCTTCGGTCCATGACGATGGTTCGAGTTCCAACAAAAATGGCAATGTCACCATTTTATGTTCCAAGAGCCATAAGTAGCCATCCAGAGCACTTCGTAACTGCCGAAGCCATAGGAGACCGTTCTTGTTATCAATGTTTGTTGGGCGAAGCCGGTTCGTCTCAAATCGATCTTGCAACATTCGACCTTTTTCCCGTAGTCGCTTGGCGAGCCATTCTTTACCAGATTTAACACCTATATATGTATATATGTACTATAAGCAATAACTCGCTTTATCTTATTCCAAGAGACATATTCTGAGAGAAGAAAACTAGTGACCTGTAATATGTCCCACAAACTGTTCAAAAAACTTCATGCATTCTCTTGCATATTCTCGCTGAGTTTGAGCAGTTTGATCAAACGTCCACCCAACTATAGCAGCTAAATTTGCCTCCTCTTCGATACCAGGAAATCTCCTGCGATTGTTGTCGACAGTGTTGAATAATGCAAGTTTCTTCATTATGATCCGTTTGATATGTGTGATGGCTTCTTTGGCTTGATCCAAAGTTCCTGATCAGATAATAGAAATTAAAAAATGATAAGTATGTATACCGAATAGGTATCCTTCATATCTCTGCACTATATAACATAATCGAAAGTCTTTCTTACCAATTAAAGGGTGATCCTCTTCAGCGAGCTTCAAACTAAAAAAGATCCAGTACAGCAACTCCAGAGTAAACTCATTCACGAGTGCATCCTCTTCGCGGAAGGTGCGATAGATACGGTTAAAGATGATGCATGCGCCAAGTCGCTGTCGCGAGCTAGGATTAGATGCAAGATTGTACACACGCTTGAGCAAGGATTTGATATTCATGGGGCTGTTCTCTCTGGTTCCACTTGCATCTTGTTGCCGGATCGACCATAGAGCAAACTCTTGGATGCAATCAGCACCATAATCGCGAAGGCCAGCATCTGTACTGCAAGCCGCATCGATACATGCTTGTAATAAAGCGACTGTTTCCGGATTTTCGTACTGTGCGTTATTAGTGAACCAATGGATCAATTGTCGTACCAGCGTGCTAAACATGTCTCGCGCAATTGTTTCCACGTCAATAGCAAGACGCAGAAGAATGGGGAACACACGGATATACACCTTGTGGTAGCGCGATTGAACAGCTTCCGTACTATCTCGAGCTCGAAAAGCACTATCACCAATCATTGAGAGTACCAATCCGTGTAAAAGTTCGCACGCAGCTACCTTGACTTGTCGATCAGGTGAAGATTCAGCCAACTCGCAGATACGTGGTAGCATCTCATCTTGTTACAAATGATATGCAAGAGTTTAGCATCTACATACTTTCTATCTTTTTCCATCGTATTTACTCGCACTTTGATGAATAATAGCACTTACCCATGGTCACGTCAATATTGGCGTTCGGAAAAGGCAGTCTGATCTTTAATTGTCTGTCTGGATCCCAGGCGAGCAGCTGCTGTCGATATTCGTAGACACTAGTAGCATCTTCCTTGCTATCATCGTTCCGTGTTTGATTACTATTCTTGTCTTTGAGCATAAGTTTGTTCGCACCACCAATACGACCCAAGAATCGAACGACCCGCAACTGTACATCGCGCAGACTGGTGACACTTTCGGCCTGCACAGTGCCTAGCGCTTCTTGTTCTGGTTTGTAGTGATATTTTTCTTGTTTGCGTTGAGCTCGAGTGGTGGGATTCCATTTTTTCAGTGCGTCTGTATTAGGCTGGTTCTTATCTTCTTTGGATCCCAAATCCATCAATAGGTATTCGTTCATAGAGGGTAAAATATCACTAAAGAATGAGGTCAAATCTTGATTTGGGGCATCCGGATTCGTCAACTCGTATAAGACATCCAGGGCAGTGTCAGATAACGAGTACACAGTCAGGCCGAGTCGAAAAGCAGTGCGGATAGGAAGTACGAGCTCGTGTACGTCAAAGAAAGCCAAGGGATAAGCGAGAATGGCACGAAGGCATGAAGCTAGTAGCTCATCCTTAAATTGCTGTACCCGGTGCCAGGCCTCCCTTAGGAAATCGCGGAAAATGACAAAAGCAGAAAACATATCCGTCTAATATCATAGACGCGTGAGTTAAATTTTATTTATTTAGCGTATTATAATCTTAAGAATTAGAGTCATTATCTCGTACCTGAGTTTCCGATATGTCACAGATGGCACCCAATTGCTTGCGTTGTTGCTGAGCTGCATAGAGACTTTTGTAGCCTTCAAAAAGCTTACGCCTATGTGCAACCGAAAGCATGGCCGCAAGCATCTTGTAGAATCCACTTACAAGAGGCCGTCGAAGGCTGAGATCAATAAGTGCACTAGCAGCAAGATAAGTCCAGTCCCTGAGCCGGTGGGTATGCAGTTTGGGCAGTAACATGCACCAGAATTCCACAGCGTTTTGAAAAATCACAAAATGTTGTTCGTTAACGGCCTGCAACATATTTGGCGTGGCGATGCCTTCAATAGCGGCATTAGTCGCTGATGTTGAATCTTCGCTACTTATTGCCGCAGTATCGATTCCGTCCTCTTTTCTAGTCAAATCCAAATTGAAGGTTTTTACAAGTCGAAGAAATGCTGTAAGGAACTCATCGAAAAGAATAGCTTGTAGATCCATAGGCAAATCCTCATTCTCCTGGCCATCGCCATTGTTACTATTGTCATCGTCGTCTACATCCATTTCGTTGTCGCTTTCGATATCTGTTTCTGAATCGGATTCAACCGTCCTTTCCGCCTCTTCTTGTCGTCGTTTTTGATGTTTTTGTCGCTTTCTTGGCCTATCCGTTTCCAGTTTGGCATTGAGAAGCGTTTTCCAAAAGTATATAAACTCGATGTAGGATTCTTGACCTTCGTAGGAGCCAGATTGGTCATCAGTGCATGTCGCTATCAGTGTTTCGTACACTAGGTAAAAAAAAAAAAGAGGAAATAAGCCGATCAATTAAGAAAGCCTTTAAAAATGAGGACAATTCATCATTTGCTTTCATGGTATGCTCACAGAAAGCACTGAGGAACGAGCGCAATGTTCCCTCGCCCTTGTAGTACAACGCTTGTAACAGATCGCGGATGGCATATAAGCCTGTCGAGCGAGTGATGGTATTCAAACGGATATAGCTGTAAACGAACACATTGATCAATTTGACCATCGTGCTCATGAATGTGGGCGTAATATTGGTCTGACTTGCAGCAAAGTAGGTGTATGCTTGGATGAACGCTGGCAGATGCGCAGCCATTTGTCTGTGATCCTTGTTGTACCTGTTGTCGTAACGTATATTAGTTTATCCTTATTGTCAGTATGTGTTACTATATAGAGAGAGAACGCTGAAGCAAATACTACAAATAATCAATCAGAAAGACTCACGCAGAATAAAACCACGAGCTAATCTTGACAAGATATTCTCGCAGAGCATCAATCTCTTCTGACGTCAAAAATTTATCGAATGCCCGAGAGAAATAACCAATGCCACGGATTGCCACAGAGAGTTCTCGGAAGCTAACTTCGTCAATTTTCTGGCGCAGAGTGCGGATAAAGATGTCCATAAAGAACTACAAACGGAGTATTCAAAGTTAGTAATCTAAAATATAAATGGCTACAGTAGTCGTAAATACTGACGTTAAAGGACACACGTTCTTGTTTTCCTGGCTGCTTGGCTGATAATTGTTTCGACACCTATGGATACAAATGGAATTATATATTATAAGTGTCTCTTTTGCACTTTAATACCGTTCTCTTTTTCCTTATGTTACCTCTTTCAAAAAATTCTCCATGGATCTATATCCCATACTGCTGACATTTCTATTTTGATGTCCACAAAGCTTGTTCAACTCTTTATAGAGAACTTGGCTATCTTGAACAATGTATTTTTCAAAAGTAGCCACGTGGTTGCTGAACATTGTGAGAGCAGCTGGAAAAGTAGAGTATCAGATGTATTAGAAACCACGTCATAGGTGTACACAATTAAAAAGGTAACGTAATAATAAGTCAAATTTTTCGATATAATTACCTAAAGGGGCTTCGTAGCGGGCAAGACCTCCTGGTATATTGAACAGCGTACGGACACTTTTGTACAGCAAATCCGTTTGTTCTATTACAGATGAACACAATAAAGGATCACAGCTAATGAATAAACCTGTCTAGCTTTCTAAGAAAAACACAAGTATACACGCATCTTGCTCTCTGACATGTCATCATGCAATTTCATCTAAACACTTATTTACACTTACCAGTATCCAACTCTATTATCTCGCAAGAGAGCAGATGATCCAATCCACCAAGTATACCTCGCAGTATCGCATTCTCGGCCGGCTTGTTTGTGAACAACTGTTCCCGTAATGTGATAAAGCTCCATCGTACGACTTGAGCAATATCACCCTGCTTAATCGTTTTATAATGATATCGAATAATGACACCCAATAGTTCGAGGATAGATCCTTTCACTGAAGCTGGCGTCTTGGAGACGGGTAGCGAGAAGTCACGAGAGAACCTAAACACACATAAATTATAACGTATGTTTAGCAAGTTTTCCTCCTTTCTCCTCTTTTTCTTTTCTCCTCCCATATTCTCGAATAACGTACTGCGTAAACATATCTTGAATATTGAAATCAGAAACATCAATGTGGGCTCTTTTGATATCGAGTAATGTAGATAATGCTTCCAAAGCCGCGGCTCTGGTTTTAGCAGATCCGCTGGCGGCGAGTTTAACCAAGCAGTTCTATGCATACGTGCACGAAATGTCAAACCATTGTGATCATCCTTATCATATAAAACTATGCTATTTTACCTTGATAGAAGTGGCGTACGGCTGGATCATCTTCTGTGCTTTGAGAAAGAAAGACACTAGAAATTCCAGCAACAGTGTCACTGCACTGGAGCTCGTGTTATCTTTGTTATTGATATTTCCCCGTAGGTATACAAGTAGTGACTGATCTGACTGGAATAGCAATGAGCACACGTAGTCTGTAATAACGATGTTTGACATTAGCCTTATCTTTATGCGTTTGACCACAATCTCTTTCCCACACGCGCACAAGTATACGGTTCTATTTGTATAACGCATAGGTACTGAATGCAGGTGTAATCTCAATCTGCTTCTTTATTTTGTCATGGTATGAAGAATGTATACTTGCCCAAATTCTCTTCAGGGACTTCGGACGTTATTATAGTGGCAATTTCCTTTGCGATAGTCTTTTCATCACCTTTCGTTCCAGTAGGGACATTTCCATCGCTAGGAAGGTACGAGCATAATTCTTGGAGGTAACTTTTGACTTTTGACGTGGCCATGGCGTTCCTTTGTTTGAATTCGTCGCAGTGAGAAGGTGCCTGTGTGTGTGCGTCGTGTGTGTTTCAGTTGGCGGAGAGGAAGAATGAACGATTATGCGTCTGTGTATGTCAAAGTGGAACAACGGGTACGTGCACTAGACACGAAATTTTCTTTTTTTTTGTTCCCGCAACACGCGTGTAGCACGTAATTATGTCCTTCATCATCACGTGTGCTTTCTCCAGCAAAACATCCGTAATAGTTCAACAACTTCATTGATAAGTATATTCTTACCGGCCAACATGATTCAAGAAGAAACGTATAACCGCATCAAAGTTTATGTCTGCGGGAAGATATCACACCACTCACCATTATACGGTTCAATGTCTAATAGCCGGTTTTCTTCTTTGTCAAATGCTAAGGAGTATCGTGTATCTCCCACATATATGTCTCCGAAAGATAAGCTGTTGCATTGCCTTTGTACTTCTTGTCGAATGGTTAACTTAGGCATTGAGATGATCATTGTTATTATGCATAATTTTTATTTTCGATGTATATTATCTCTAGGATATGTACAGGCTCTAGTGTTTTTTGCAGTAAAAAGTAGTAGGGTTATGAGCATTGCTGGAATGCTGGTAAAATGAAAGATGTAATAGTAGCAGCAAAAAGTAGGATATTATATGTGAACGTTGTATGTGAACGGAAAACAAAATAAAAATGCAAATAAGATGAAAGGACGCGCGGCGCGGGGTGTTGAGAAAAAGCAAACCCGCGGAAAAGGACATGTAGTAGTAGTAGTAGTAGTAGTAGCTAGCTTGTATAGGAAGAAGCAGACATAGAGGGACGGGAGCTGTGTGATTCGGTGAGTTTGCATGCATGCGTATGTGTGTATATATGGACAATTGTCATGAAATAAAAAGAAATAAAAGAAATGGGAAGGGGGTAAATGAAAGATGCTCTATATAAAGTGTAAAATGCAGTAGAAGTAGTAGTAGAAGTAGTAGCGGTAGTAATAGTAGTAGTAAAAGAAGTGGGTTGTAGCGGTTTGATTGTAGAAAGATATTATAAAAAATAAGCTGATGATGTCGTAGGATCCTTTTTACTGATGAGAAAGTGAAAACTGGTGATGGGGCCAGTCAAGTGAGTATTGCTGTTGCTGTTCATTTTGCAAAAGACGGGGGTCAATGCAAGTGTCTAAAGATTCACAGAGAGCATTCATGAAGCTGAGTTCGTCAATGACGCCGAACTGTTCTTGCTGCTGGAGTAAGCTGTTGTCGGCAGCGCCCTGTACTGGATAAGTCAACGTATAATCGGTAGCTAGGCTCTCTTCGAGGATCGCTGGGTAGGCGGGTTGGACGAGGAGCATGTTGGAATTGTAATCCTGTGGCTTGATCTGCTGCTGTTGGTGTTGTTGCTCCATAAGCGAAACATCGCACAAGTTGTTCTCGTAGTAGGATTCGCCAACGAGCATGTTGGTATATTCGGCAGTGCTCGCCGTCATGATGGCATAATCTTCTGGCTGGCCAATGCTGCAGGTGGGAATAGCACCGGTGTCGAGAGCACCGGAGGCGGAAGCAGCGATAGCGTTATAGTAGTGATTACTGCCATAAGCGTAGGCATCAGGTAGTGGTGAGCCCATGTTGCTGCACGAAGAGAACGATTGTGGAGAGCTGATTCTGGAATAGTCGTAGTCGTCGGCAGAATCGGAAGTGTGATCGTCACTGATGGCTGGGGATGATGCATGGCTGGAATTGGCAGGTGACACACGCATCGCAGTAGTAAAAGAGACTGCCGTTGATGGAACAGATGCAGGTGTCCCTTGTGAAAGCATTTGGGGGTTTTTATAGAACAGTTCCATCATTCGGTTGTTTTCTTCGTCGCGCGAGGTGAACTTGTTCGTTGGGCGGCGGACATATTTGCGCGTCTTGCGGCCATTTCGCTTTTGCGGCTGATACTTGTAGTTGGGGTACCTGAGAAAGAGACATTGACAACAATTCAAAAAGCGTTAGGATTGCCTCATCAAAAGAGAGAGAGTGTGTGTGGGAGAGAACTGGTGAAAAGAGGTGTCTAATCGTTATTGAAGTTGCACTCACTTTTTGGCGTGTTCAATCTTGGCGAGACGGGCGCGTTCGCGGTAAGTCTCCTTTTCGCTGTCGGGAATCTCTTTCCACCACTTGGCAAGGATCTTGGAGATATCACGGTGGTTGGCGTTGGGAACACGATTCACGATTTCGTTTTGCTTTTCAAGGCGGAAGGCCAAGAAGCAGTTCATAGGACGAGGGATCTTTTCGTTGATTGAGGTGGTTGTCTTTGTTTTGGCCATGGTGAAAAAAAAAGTTTTTGTCGATAATGAAGAGATTAAATAGAAGCTGTGTGTGTGTGCTGCTGTATGAAAAAGCTGTTGTGCTGACTATTGGGGGAATTTTGGAAGCGCGAACAAACAGCCTCTATTTATTTGATGTCGATTCCGCAACAAGCCAGCAGCAGTCGATATTTCGGGAAGGAGGGGGGGAATGGTTGGTGCGTGAGCGTACGTGCGTTTGTGTTTATGTGTGTGAAGAGTATGTGTAAAAACCAGTGAACTCGCACACGTCCTCGCGCAGTAAAGTTTGTAATTTGGGTTGAAAAAATAAGCACCTATTTTGATCGTCCAACGAATGGCAGCAGCGACATAAATGATCTATGATTCCCATATGCTGGTTGGCCGGGGTTATACTATTTATAGTAATTGAGAATCATCTGGACTCCCCTTAGTTTACATACACACCCTCGCCCTGAAGTGACAAATTGATGGCAAGACGACAGGGGATGGGAGCTTTTTCTTCGGGGAGCGCTTTGAGAGAAAGAGAAGCACTCACTTAACTTTATCACAATGCAACAACCATCATTGATGCAACAATTGAAGCACTGGTTGTTGCTGCTATGTACGCTGGTGCTAGGCTAGGGCAACAGAACACGACGCACACATATACACGCGGCTTAATTCGTTGTCTTTTTTTTGACATGTCAAGTTAGCATCGACATATTAATAAAAGATACAATGCTGTATATTTAGCTTAGATTTCTCGCGCCTCTCTTCATGTGCCCCCTCCCTCCGGACAAGACTACCACCGCTGCCATAATATGTAACTTGCTCAACAAGCTCCACACGCGCTCTGTTGCACACTGCCATTCTTCATTGTTATCATGGTTCAAGATAATTTAGTGCACACATGTTCTCTCTCTCTATCTCTCTGTGAATCTGCGCTTCTAGCCATTATAAAAAAAGAAAATGTCAGACAGTGAATCATTTCCTCTAAGGCGGTCATATTCCATTTTAGTGATGTCTCATAAATCTGCATGAATACGTTTCTCTTTCTTTCGGCTTTTGCACTTTTATGAAAACAAGCCAACGTGTTGCTATCAATATATGCACCCTTCCTGCCTTTCATAATAGAGATGTATCTCAGCGTTCACTACTACTACTACGTACATATTCTCGTCTTCTTCAAAGCTACACCACCCACTCCTTTCATTTTTCTAAAATTGGACTTCTTCTATGTCTGCTAGCTTCTACCACGCGACGTCTCGAGTCTGTGCATACTAACCTTCTTCCAAATAACCAATGTATGATTATTAGGTCGTCATGATTCGCCGTGATGATGTTCCGCATTCGTCGTTCATAATGGCATGTATTATTAGTATGTTGTATTATGCATGTCTGCACTCGTTAATTACTACGTACGGCTAGTAACTTCCTTGTCGTGATCTCTTTGTTCTTGTGCTCAGAATAGTAGCATACCATCCATCCTTCATCTTTTTTCCTTCGTTCACTACTCAGCTAATAACTGTTCTTGTCCTCCTTGTTCAATTACTATAAACTGAAAGTAGATGAGACGAGCCACCCATTATATTTTTCTCCTCTATGAATAACAGTATGCACTTTTATTAAAACTGGATAGACATCACCTTCTGCTATACGTACGCTTGTTTACCAGATTAGTATGTACCTTGATAAAGACATAACAGTTAAATAATTCACCGTCATTATCGTTGTTGTTTTCTTGTGATTTAGACTCTCACTACGGGAAAAGGAAGTGCTACGTTCCGAGTAGCAACGATCGACTACTGGGAGAGAGTAGGATATGGCGCCCATTTAGTTGGACTGGAATTATTCTGAATAGATGCCACTGTAGGCTACTTGCTGTGGGCGCTGACACTTTATCGCGCAAGCAAACACAGATCTGCCTACTTGAATTCTGCCTGTTTTTGGTAAAACTAGTTGACGATTTCCCTGGGGACAGTTTTCACCAGTGTGTCGTTGCTGCTATGTACATGCTGTTCGTATCAATGCCTCATCCTGCAATGTCTGTCAACCTTCGATTTTTAACCCCATTTAGACATCACTAAAAAGGGGTTCAGCCAGTTTTCACTTGGGGGGTAAGTTCTGGTAGGAGTAAAAGAGAAAAAAGAGGAGGCAAAGAACCCGAAGCTCCTAGTGTTGCTACTGCCACGTAGTTCTCACTTGGTAGTACATACTTTGGCCGTGTTCCTTCCTTAAAGAGATCACCGTTACCCAGCCCTGTCACTTCCAATTCTTCTGTGTTATGCATGGACTAACAGTAAAAGTAGCACTATAAACAGACGTTTTATCTAGAACGCAGAGTCTAAACTTGCTAAACAAACGATCAGCAAAACTCTGTATGGTGCTTTAGAGTGCGTCGAGAAGAACTCTATAATGCTGAGATGTATCTTGTTACCCGAGCCGTCTCTCTACTCATCAGCATAACTAGCACACTGTATGTAACATCATTGTGAATGTTGTGTATTCCTCATGGTCATACCAACATCTCGTCAATGTGACAAATAAACAGTAGTAGCGATGGTGGGAGGAAATTTTTCCCATGGGAAAAGGGGCGGCGGGCGTTTGCTAGTCTTTCTGATGATAATTGGGGTAGCTGCATAATGGCGGCGAATGGTTGTCTGCTTGCTTGTGGGCACATACATAATTCCATGGCGCCATATACAACTTTTGTATATTTCCCCCACCCGTCTTCAATGCCTTATATGGTCAAAAATCCCATTGAAGATTCACTCTTCTCCCCTTTTGATTTTGGCTTCCCATCAACAGACTGCAATTTTTTTTGCCCTCTCAAAGGTTTATGCAAGACCATACTGTGCTGCATTCTGAAACACATACGCATCTTCTAGTCTGTTTCTTTGCGTTGTTTATGTGCATGTATCAAGCCAAGCAAGTATGTAAGGGTAGTTCTGGAAGTGGATTACATATACAAGAACTGGCCTGTGCTAAAGAAGGCTGATCACCCACACACTCGCTTTCGTTGGCGTATTTGAGTGCCCAGTGCAACTCTTTTATTTGTCAAGGCGGCATAATAGGTTATGAAGATCATGGTAGATCGTGCATCCCGACAACCAGTGAACAAAGGATAGAAAGGAACATTTTCTTATATTTGGGGGTCTATGTAACCCAAAGATACGTTGTGTACCCAAAGATGATCAATCTGGATAGCATGGTAGCACTAGCACAAGCGCACGTAACCACACAGCCTTGGATGTGCTTGCTTTACTCATACCATGATTGAGTCATGCTATACTTGCTGCATGTTACGCTCACGGTCGTCTCTCACTTAAACGTTGCTCGTAATTGCACCACAGCCCCGCTCATATCTTACGTTGTTGAGAAGAATGAGGCGATATGCTATGAGACATTTACAGAATGGATAGGGTGAAGGATTCTGTATGTAGGACAGGATGTGCAGCAACAATAAGTGTAGGCGAGAAAGGTGCAAAAGAGGGTGAAGTTTAGCCTAGATGTTTTGAGCTAACACACTCTATTCTTGCCCAATGTATACATACATTGATCTTTAGGAAGCACACGGTGTTAGCCTGATGTCTTCCCAAACGATCTTCTCTTCTGGGTCTTAAATGCCTATGGAATACGCTTGTACAAACGCTTTTCTCTCTTTTAAGCTATCTAAGCTCACCTAAAATTAATCCGATATGGTGACCAGCTTACCAATAAAAATGACACACAAGCCTTCAAAATATGTGTCCATCGCAGACAACAACTACATTAAAGCAATAGGGGACGCTCAGTTTTAATTGCTGTATAAGAGCCAGTTGGTCTATCACGAAGGGTATCATGTCGCAAGCTCTGCTTCTTTGCCTCGATCCTTTATCCCAACCATCATATGCACTTGCGGTCATTCGTCAACAGTTTAAAATGTCTTTAAAATCCCGTGGTAGGCATCAAATGACGAAGACTTTATGATTAGACGAAAATAATGCCAGTGGGGTATTGAATAGTAGGATTATTTAAGCACTGGTATGTAAAATGTAGAATGGCTATGTAGTAGGTGGTAGTCGTATTTCCAGTATGTACAGTTGATTAGAGATATAGTTATAGCGGGAATAAATGATGTTTTTGCCCATTTGAGCTGGCCGGGCCCATTTTGCTGGTTGGATGAATGTGTTATTCGCCTTTAGGTATAACGACTGTAATTTGATCGCCAGCTGCTCCCCACGCCGTCCGCTTGTTGACATAGACTGCATACCACGTTGTCAAGACAACAAACCAGGCTACACACCCAGCCAACGATAAATAAACGTCTATGACAGTAAAAAAAGTATTCATAAGTACCCGAATTCAGTCTTTTCTTTATCGCGGAAACTCTAAATTGATCTCCTTACACTTTTTTAGATCGGGTGGTGCAGATGGCTTTCGACTCGTTTGAAACAGGTACATGAAATTCACCAGCCATAAAAAGGGAAGAAATGCCAATCCTCCATAAAACATTTTCTTGCTAATGGAGACCAGCTCGTCTGGACTCATTCGGTCCAGTTTAGGCATTGTTTGTCTTGCGGTTGTGAGAGGAAGAAGAAGAAAGGGGATGGAGGATAAAGCGACGAAGAGCATATGTGTCTTACAAGCTGACTTGAAATATTATTGATTAGAGACTAATTATTGAATGGTGCTATTGTACTATGAGGATTACTATTCTTTTCAACGTGGGTGTATGTGTGTATATATATATATAAACAATCCAACTGCAACTATACTGCTACTACTACTGTCGCTGCTGCTGCTGGTGGTGATATGATGTTAAGATCCATTACAATGCCTCGCCATGGACTCGTACACGATAAAGACAAGTATATGCCTTTTGACCCCAATTGGAAAGGATACGGATCACAACAGCTTCAAACACATCGTCATGCTCGTTGTTGACATTGAATGTCTGGACCGATCGACCTGTCTGGACATCATATTGGAACGAACCCAGCAGCTTTGAGTTCGTATCTTTATCGTTTTCAGGATAGGACCAAGGCCACTGGACAGAGGAGAACACGGGGACCTCGACTTTGTGTAAACCCCATATTTCAAATGCATGTGGTGCGCTGCTCGTGTTCACGGTCTGTTCTCTATCTGGGTATTCCAAGGTAACACTCTTAATTGCGATCGGTTGGCTTAGCATGATACCAAGGGTTCCATTCGTTCCGGTCATGGGCCAGCACTGACCCACGTGTGTATCAGGCAATAATGCAATCAGAGGCGATGCGCGATAGGTTCCTGGATGAATGCCCACCGCGCGTGCGATCGCAGCTTTCCAAAGATGGCGGTTACTAGTTGAATATGTTGAAGAGGTCATTTTGGGTATTATTCGTGCGCCACGTGTGGCAAGTGCAAAGTCGGCGACTTGTTGCAAGAAGAGCTCTTGTTTGTGTTCAGCGTTTTCGTATTTGTCTTGTGATGATGATGATGATGAAGATGACGATGGTGGCGACGAAAGCTGCTTTTCCTGGAGCTCCGTGCGTTTTACATAATGGTCGTTCATGTACGCCTGTAAATTGCTGATAAAGTCCATCTGCTTACCGTTCGTTGTTCCTGGAACAAAGCTGGATAGGATACGTTCAACAGTTGCGCGGATTGTTTCTGCATTTTCTTCGCCAATAAGCATGCCAGTTGCTGTTGATGAATCGGGTTGCTGCTGTCCTGACTGGGCCGGGAAAGACGGGGCAGTATGCGGTAACGGTGATTCAGGTGAGAGGAACTGAGGCTGATCATGACCGTTAAATATGTGGTAAAACGAATCATACAAGGTATTAGATTTGACGATGACGGATGACTGGTCGCGATGAAGGTATGCATAGAACATCCAAAGATAGATTCCAACGGCAATCCAACAAAAGATCCTTTGTGATTGCTTTCGTTGTCCCAACATTCGTAGCGGATTACCGTGCGGTCGGTTACGCATCACACCGCAACTTTGCATGATCTTTAATACAAAGTTGTAAATGTATATCATCGCTGCATCGATGAAGGCGAACCAAGCCAGTACAGTTTCTTTGATTGAATACACCACCATGAATAATGCAAATGCTACTTTCTCGTACAGCATTTCGCCCACTGGTCGCATAATCGGCCATAGGATACCATCAATATTGCTACGTGAAGAGTTGTACGATCGGTTGATGCTGCTGCTGCTGCTGCTGCCATCTTTAACACTACTATTGCTTGAGTTGTTATCATTTGTATGGTGCATACGGGGGCCGTCTTCTCGTGAGAACGATAAGTCGTAATCTCGTAGATGCTCTTCGTCCAGATGATTGTTTGCTAAAGCATCCAGCTCTTCTAATGGATCCGTGTCGCTAATGTCGTCGTCAACAGTATCATCAAACCAGTTCAACTCCTGTTCTGTTCCAGTCGGTGATGATTGCTCTAGAAAATCCTCTAGTGTCTCTGCGATACGACGATGCTATTAGTTTTAGAGTCTTGAAATAAAATAAAAGGGGGTTTACCCAGAACCCACTTTTTCTCTATACGCATATGATACAAGAGCAAATCGATATATTAACTCACTTGAATTTGAATTTGAAAGCGGTTCGTCATTCGATGAGTTCAATCCAGTCGCCATAGTTGATCGCGAAAAATGTTTTTCAGGTCGCGGCGATGACGCCCGTCTAGCTTCCTCGGCAAATGCAGTTGCAATGTTCACGGACGTGTTACGATATTGGTCTGTTGATAGCTGCCGTAGTCGTTGGTCCAAATGTGCTTGTCGTCGTCGTATTGACTGTGTTGGGCTACCGTATGGGTCTCGTTCTTCTTCTAGAGATGGCCGTCGTCTATTGGGTGTCGTTGCGAAATCCATCTCGGACAATATGAAAAAAAGAGGGACCGTGCTGAACCCGACACACGCGCCTTATAATGTGTGTGACTACAGCTCAAATTCATTGTATTGTCCAGCAACAGCAGCTTATGCCGATTTTGGCTTTGGAAATAACAAATAAATAATGACAACCACTTCTCTCCTTATGCGAAGCGCACTAGGCAAACATACTTTTGCTCCAAGAGTAATCTCAAGCTTCATACAATTGCGACATAAGAGCACAGCATACGCCGGTGAGTTTCCCGTTTATCTTGGCATCCTCAACACCTTCCCATCGCTTTTATAATAGAATGCCACAAGCTCATTCCTTTCGTTAACAACCGGCGATCAACAATTGACAACTCTAGCACTGCCTTATATTCACTTTCACCCTACAACAAATGCACCTCGCTCCGACTTGAAGTACGCTGTATCATATTTGTCTTCAGCAGACATGGAAACGCCCAAGGGCGAACTAGTTATCGGCTGGACGCCTAACACAGACATTGACTTTAAGACGTTTGTGGACAACACATCGTTTGTCGACTTTTTAACACGCGTGTTGAAAGAGAAGGTGCATAAAGTGAACGACCCTGTGCTCAAGAGCCTTGCAGAATGGCAGAAAGAAGGGTAACGTGAACGAATAGTAGTGGGCCCAGTGTCAATAATATTGACGTGAGTTTACTCAAAATATTATATGTAGATGGCTACATATCGGCGATGAACGCAACCCACCACCATGGGGTCGAATCCCATACCCTGAGGACATCATTGGCAGCGTGCTTGTTCAGAAGGGCGTCATTCAACCGGATACTTATCAACCTATGCCAGCCCATCGTCTAGTTACTTCGAATGGCATCTTGCAATTATCCGAGCCTTTGACCCAGTGTGTGGTTCAGGAAGCAAAACGTGTAGCAAAACAGCAATAAGTTTACTTCAAATAAAACGCTTGTCTTTTAGAATCCTTCCAGTTTGTTTTCTTGTTCTGTGCTGCTATTGACCGCATCAGTGATAAGTCCAGCACGTTGCGAAGAAACTGTGCTATATCCATTTCAGGAGATGGAGAAACGCGCTGAATTTGACGCGCAGCGAACTTCGCGTTGCAAATAAAAAATTCAATACAGCTCAGGTGCAGACGTGTTTCTTCTTTCTACCGCACCTACGTTACCCACATACCTCTTTCGTTCTCTATAACTTGACTACATAACAATGGACGGCGGTAAGCTCTTTTACTTCGACGCGTTAAAAGGATAGCGCCCGTACAAAATCATAGACACGCGAAGAGACTCAAATGCCTTACTTTAATTTTCATGTTCTTAAGGATTTTTCGGTAACAATGACTCATCGTTCAATTCCGGTGGTGGCAGCACTTCATCGCGGGTAAAACAATAAAAAAAATGTTTCTCTTCGCAGCACAGTAAGAAAGAAGAGAGATTCTAGAAAAAGATATCTGTATAGAAACCAATGGGTGAACAAACCTTACGCGCAGTAACTGTGAAGCAGCTTGCCAATTGCACCATTACACAAGAAGGCACCTTCAAGGTCGATAACGTGGATCTCACTCAGGTAAAGGAAGATCGCGACTATGCTTCAAAAGCAGTAATACATTTTCGCTACAAAGAAGTGGATACTAATCAAAACCCTTAATAACCAGGTCACGTTTGTTGGTGTTATTCGAAACGTTACCGAGTTATCGACCAATATTTCTTACGCTGTTGAAGACGGTACTGGTAAAATTGAAGTACGCCTTTGGCTCGATCAGAGTGAAACTGCCGAAGACGCACAAAAACGACGAGACCTGACGTTCGTATACCTCTCTCTCTGTGATACATATCCACAACGCATAGAATGCACTCAAACTGACCAATATGAGGGGATACATACTTTTTTTCTGTTTCAAGTGAAGATACATATGTTCGTGTGTTTGGACGACTCAACAACTTTAACAACAAGGTCAATGTGGTAGCATTTACTATTCGACCCGTTAAAGATTACAATGAGATCAACTATCACTTTGTCGAGGCAACATTAACACACGTCAAATTCACAAACCCCGTAAGTTTTTGTTGGGGAAGAAGGTTGGGTAGGGGTGATGTGTGTATATAGATAGTTACATACATACATACAAGGCGTTCTTTTATTTGCTTGGTCCCAGTGATCACAATTATTGATTATCTCTGCTAATAACTTGTAGGCCGGAGGATCGGGTAACGGTGATGCGATGATGGTTGACCAAGGCGCAGGAGCATCTAGTGCCCTTGGTAATGCGCTTCACGACAAAATTATGGACGTCCTCAAGCAGTACCATGACTTGGATGAAGGTGCAAACATTCATCAGGTTGTCCATCAGTTGAGCAACGTCTCAAGCGAAGATAAAATCCGAGAAGCGATCGAATACCTCATCAATGAAGGCCTTTGCTACACAACCACTAATGATGACCACATTAAATCCACGGAATCCTACTAGCCTTTTTCTTTTCTCGTTTCTCTCCATCATATTTCCCCTTTGCAGCAGAGTATATTAGTTTTAAAAAAAATTAACCGCCTCAAACACACATATAATTACTCTCAGCACTCACAAAATATAAAAATGCAAATTCTTTTTTATTCTGTACAATCATAGATATCCTTTGTGCGATGATTGGTCAAGAGAAAGTGTATATTCATTACTTGATTGGTTTATTGGAACTCGGCGTGTCTTGTATGTAGAATAATATATGTGCTAGAAATGAGACTTTGATTTACATGATAAAATAAGTGAGCAAACAGGTAGTTGGGGAATACTATGTATTGATATTTATATAAGTACACGGAGATATTGGTGGGTTTATGTAGCAATATGTGCAGACTTGTCACGTTAATTACTTAGGCACCCTCATGCTTCGTAGTGGTGTGCTTTAATGCCTCAGCTTCTGCTGGGTTCTCCTGCTCAGTGCTCTCCAAAACACCGCTCTCACTCGATGGACGATGGCTCGAAGCAGTATCTTGCAACATCAGAGCTTCACGGGCTCGACGGAAAGCCAGATCAAAATTTGTAGGTAAGTGATCAAGGATAATAGATCGCCGGATAATGATTTCGCTGGATACTCGTTTCGGATCTGTTCGTTCAATAACAATCCTCGTATCATCACGTGGTGCAGGATCCTGCATATAATTTCTGTGAGCTTCATATTCTTAGAGCGAAAGGAACTAGTTTGGAAGCTAACTTACCACCCAGAATTGGTACACTTTGCCAGCCACGTACAACTACATGTACAAAAACCATTGGTCAGTGCTATGAGCATCCAAAGTACACAGCGAGAAAAAGTACCAAAAGGAAACATATATCTTTCAGAACACATACCCGTGGATTTTCCAGTGATTCCAAACATCGCCGTCGTGCTTCTCCGATGCGAGTAAAAGCATCTTCCCATTCTTTTCCCTCCGTCTTATCTGTCCAAAGCAGCTGGCTAAATCCAAGATTTCGAGCTGCTTCCGCACTGGCTAACACCAGCTCTTTGACATCCATCATGGAGCCATAGCTCAACTTGCTGACAACGTCGTTTGCAAAAACAATGGATTGGATATAATCCTAATGAAAAAGGACAGATGGGTTCCAACAGCTGGTTACTCCATGCCTCTCGATTTGATGATATCACAACCTAGCTTTCTTTCTTTCTACAAACCTGGTACCGTTCAGAGATATCAAGACTGAGACCACACGCTGGAGCATAACCAAAACATTTAAGCGTGAACTCATCACAGTGAGCACCTTTGAACTCGTCTATGAAGTCGACTAACATGATGGTCAAGATAGATGCTGTGGCAGCGCCAAGACTGTGCCCCACTATATACAATGCATTCGTCGAGTGTTCGTTACAGTAAGCAACTAACTGTGGAGCAACGTGACGGAAGAACCAAGTAGCAGCCGACTAATTAAAGATCCTTTCTCTTAGTATCACCTTGTTGAACTGTTAAAATATGCTGTGCAACCTACCTTCATGCCTTTGTGCACTAAACCACCCTTCCACTGCTCGTATTCGCACACAAGATCGGTCATTGCATCAAATGCGCTCTATTGATGTTTATTAATATTTAGTATAAGTAAGTTTTGTTGTCTTTACAGTCATGGAAACCATGAACAGTCATTTAAAGGCTTACCATAGTACCCCGAATACAAAGAACGATTGAATTGGTGGGACGGTCTAGGGCAATGTAATAACTTGGCCTGAATGCACTAGCCATTCGAAACTCGTATGCAAGAAGATCCTCTTTTGGAATAGACAGATGTTCAATGATCGAAAGCGCATCCGAGTGATCGCGCATAGCATCCGAAAAATACCCGTTGCCTTTTCCAAAAAAATTGAGACCCTTCCATCCATATGACGCGACTGAAAATTTCCAAAAGTACGCAGGTAGCTCGATCTCGGACAGATCTTCGATGACATCCCACGTGCGATCACGTGGCAAGTTGGCATAAAACTTTTCCAGTACTGAAAACCCTGTCAAGATCTGGATGTTGGATAATTCAAAGCCTTGACCCTTTTATAAACAGACATGACAACACTACGGTTAAGTATACCGTGCCAAGTCCTCGGTGTAATAAAAAGCGCTCTCCAGCATATACTTACAAACGCAGCGAGTAATTTGAGGATAGCCCGTAAAACTTGGTTAGTTTCCTTGTTTGTTGTCCATGAGCCAATCGCGCTTAAGAGAGGGAATGGCTTCAAGCTCCCTTCATCGTCTGCTAGCACATTGACGGTATTTGCCAACTCTGCATTGTCCTTTGACGGCGGTGGGTCCGGTTCATGCGACTCCAGACGGCTATACGATGCTGAGGAGTTGATGGAAGACGACGATGAGCGTTTGTGGGTAGCTCTGCGAGTAAGACTAAACCAAGAAGACGATGATGATCCTTGTTTCGTGGGGGATGCTGGTGCTGTATTTCTGCTAGTCGTGATAGTACTGGTTTTCGACTTGGAGCCCTCTTGTTCCTGCTCCTTTTTAGATTTGAGATTCGAGTTATGTATCCGTAACTGTGCCAATCCAAGATCGCTGCCATCCGCGTCGTCTTCCGTCTCACTTTCATCAGGGAAATCCAAACCGTCGTCCAGCAGCGGCTTATTGGATTCTTTGTCGTCATTATTATTTTCTTCGTACTTGCGAAAACTGATAGCTTTTGCCTCTCGCTGTTGCTTGACATGGCGACGGAATTCATCGGCAAGTTGATCATCAGACGCACCGTTGGACTTCATGGTATTGTTTTTGATTGATCGCAGATTCTCCCTTGTAGCCATATCTGATGACGTGGACGATGATCCATTTTTCTGTTGGTGATCTGTTGTTGGTGTTGTTGTGGCAGCAGCAGCAATGCCGTCTGCTTCTTGATAAATGTAGGAGATCATTGCTTGCACCGCACCAACGTTGGATGCCATGGTTTTCACTCGTCCCACCCGTGAGCTGGCGCCTGTTGATAGCTGCTTGTCCCACACTTCATAGTAGTTTGTAAATGTATGCGGCATACCTCGCAGGTTGCGTAGTCGAATTTCAGCTCGTCCAACGTGCTTGTCAGGCAAAAGCATATACGAGTCGTACAGGTCCATCTGGATCGTATTGAAGAGCTGGGCATGAAAGCTGACGGTGAACTCGAAGCTTTCGTGCCAACGACCTTGTGGATACTCGGATACCGACGTTTCAAATGCTTGTTCTATTGTCATTGTCCGTATTAGTATGGTTACGGTTCTCCAATTGTCCTCGTCAGTCAGCCAGTTCGTCTTCTTAGCTTCAGAGAAAGCGGTCGTTCTTCACTATGTTCATTCCATTTACCTCCCATAGTGATTATAATGTACGGTCGTTTCACAGGTATATTGAGGTAACAGTTGTGTATTTGAATCTAACGTGAATGGCTGTTAGAGAATAATTCATGAATACACACACACGCTTTATGTTAAATTCATTCGGTTTGCGGATCGCCACCGTCCGCGCAAAACAAGTGTAGTAGTACATACTCTTAGTTTTCCGGGCGTAGGCGTAACGGGGTACGAGGCCACCGAGCGTTGCGATTCCGTTGTTGGTGACCGCGACATTTCGTTTTTGGTGTTAAAGTAATTATGAAACAAGTGAAAGAAAGAAGGCGAAAACGGATTTTTGGGGGAAGAGGGGAAGACGACAACGATTATTTGATAACACAAAAACCTTGTCGGTGCTCAATTCGGTTTAGTGATTATGCTTCTCAAAATTCATTTAAAAAGGTTTAGCATCGGCATGCATGTTCTAAGTTGATCAACTCTTTGACGCAAAACCACACCACCATAGTCTGCTGATCATCTGTCAGAAGGCCATAGAAGAAGGCCCCTTCTATTTGTTCCCATCACAAGCAGTCCACAGAGACATGTTGAAAAGCAAAGGCTGGCCGAATTTTTGGGGAAGATGCATTGATGGTGAAGCACAATCAATTTTGACAGACATGTGACAGAGTAACAGAATATCTTTGTGTACCTCAACACATACCTTTGAGCACAGCGATTCCGCTAATGTGTCAGTTCGTTGTTTTTAAAATCTTTCACCACTTACACACTACTATTGTCGTATCTCCTTGTTCAATCTTAAAAGATGGTAATTTATCTTTCTTGGCAATCAAGTTGGCCATTAGCTGCGCAAAGAAGTGAGACGCTTGTGTTTTTTGAGATGACTGTGATCTATTGATACTTGGAGGAGCCCTTATATATGATTGTGATTTCAGGGTTTATCGATGCATTGTATTACTCGTGTCATAGATTTAGTATTGGGAAATTTAACAAAGTAAGAAAGTGTAGAAAAAGAAATTAAAGTTTCAAAAGCTAATTCACACTTGCTACGGCTTTATTCTTCTTCTCGATCCATTCTTTGACGCCAATGGTGGAAGGATGGTCTTCGACAGGTCCATTGACAGCTTTCTTGAATGGTATGCCATCTCGTGCTACGACCCACGTATCATAGGCCTCATCGGTATTGCGCATGTTGACCTCCTGCCCAGGCTTTCGCTTTCCAGACATCTTCAACTTGCCTGGCTTTGGCAGCTCTTGGTCCCACTGTACGTCATCTTCTATAAGCGCTACGATGTCATCAATTGTAGGGTTCAGTACGGCCGGGCTGAAGAGCTTATCATTTAATTCGCGAATAAGCTCCTTAATTCGATCGCTGTGCTTGGGTGATTTCATTAGCTTAACCATGGGAGGCGGTGCATGGCTTTCTGCGATTCCTTCTTTCTCCAGCACGAACGAACTAAAGTCGCCCTTAAGCATGTGTGCCATGGAGTAGATGGTATTGCCGAGTGCTCGGTTCAAGTCTGCATTGATAAAAGTGAACCGATTCTTTTGGCTGGGATCTTGGTACAGGAAGTAGTTGTTGTAGTTGATAATAAAGTTGTCGGATAGCCCAGCAAAGAACTCGTGTACCATGCTAGATATTGATGTTTGACGTAATAATAAGCAAAAACACTTTAGTTCACTAGTAACAAGGACATGTACATATACACTGAGATATTAGGGCACTTACAATCGCATGAAAACTTCCATATCGAGCTGGCTGTCCCAGTCTTCGGTATTTGACTCTTGTAAAATCTTGGTAAGATCCATCAATGGCTGGTACCCTAGCTTTTGGCCCCCAGATGGCTCCTCCTTGATTAAGTATTGGCCGTCATCATAGGCAGTAATGTTATTTTCGTAATATTCCAAATCGGAGTAGTGACCAGCAAGGTCAGAGGCCGGGGTTCTCTTGTGGCCTTGGTATAATATCCCATGCTTGTACTTCTTAGTACCATCGCCAAATACCATCCGAAGCCAAGATGGTTTAAAGTGCTCGATCATTGTATAGAGACCCATCGGTTGGCCATTAAAGAAGACTCTAAAACAGTAACACATTCATGCTTTATTTTTAGCCGATTTCTTTGAAAACACATGTAGCGTAATATCTATACCTTGCAAAAGACGCCCCAGTCGTGGGTACGCCCATGGAGACGAGCGTTTTGTAAGCCAAATCCTCCCGAATATATGCAGGATCTGTTGTTCCAAGTGCACGGAGTTTGAATCGACTGCAACCATAGAGGTTTTCTCCTTTGCCATTGAGATTTATGTTATAAGAGAGTTTTTCGTATCGACGTGCATTACGGCCGCTGATCTTGGCTTTCACTGTTGAAAAGGTTTGGACACCATCACGCCTTTCAGTTTAAGAAGTAGATATGGATTAATTACAATGCACAAACATCAAATAAACAAAGATGCAGGTATACATATAGAACTACCGAATATAAGTCATTGTTCCAAAAACGGTCAGATCATCATTAACATTCTTATGCATATTGTCAATCTCGCTTTGTTGTGCTTGGAAATGGAACGTTGGAATCTCGTCAGTAGGATGAAGCTCCGAAGGGAAGGTCTTGTGTGGCGGGTACACGGCAGGCAATTGCCGTACTGATTTTGTTGTCCAAGTCCTGTTGTAAAATTCGTTCGGGGTGTTACTGCCGCTGCCCTCCTGGAGAGCTCGAGTGAATGTCTCCTCTTCAAGGATGTCGCCCTGACCATCTGTGATTGCATAATGGTAGTTTTGAGATGAAGGTGCATTCCCGGTGAACAAAATCGATGAGGATGGTGATGGTTTAAGAGGGTATCGCTGTCCGTCAATGACAACAGCAACACTCTTGTCGCTGCTGCCAGGAGCACATATTACATTATAAGTCGTATCCGCTCGTACGAGCAGAAAGATTGATAGTAGTGATAGTAATAAAAAGTATACTGCAAATAAGGGTTCGGTTATAATTTAATATAGTGTCATATGTAATAGTGCCGTTTGTATAGTGCTAGTGACAAACTACGGGCGTCTTGATTCTCATTTTGACGACCAACTTATTGACTTACGAGTATGTTGTGGCATTGTAGAGGAAAGATTGATATGGGATGTTTTCAGAAAAGTAGTTTAAAATATGAAGAACAAGAAACAGCAACTCTTGAGTTTATATAAAGGTTACTGAACTGCGCGACTGCGCCCCCTGCATCTAATTCGAGAATCCTCTTTTTTTATCGGACTATTAAGATCCTGGAGCTCCTTTCAAACCCGTTTATACTTTTTAATTCTTTGTTGTAATAAGCCGTACGCCATATATAACACGAAATTCTATAGTCATATCATTCCACTATAGAATGCAGTGAGTATTGTCATTATTGTCTACTGTCTTTTCTCGTCAGCAGTGCATAGTAATGTAATTAAGGTAGTTATCTGTGAAAAAAAAGTTGTTAGATTGAGCTCCTCCTCAGTCCAACCGTCAATGAGAACAGCGATAGCATGAGAAGGAGACCGAAAGGCTCCTGTGTACTCGTTACATACATTGGTAACGATAAGCTAAAAAGAATCCTCAGGTACATATATATGATACATGGTGCGTTTAGGTTTTGATAAAAAGTTGCGCATTACGCTTGTGTCCCTTTGCTTTTCTCGTGCTGCCCCTCCCTATTCTACCAAATGCGGCATTATTTAAGGAGTGAGCTGTCACACACAAAAGCTCACAGCAGGGCGTACGTGTTAAGGGAGTCTACTAACTAAATAGCAAGATCGCGTTTTTCCGACAACGGTACTTGGTCAAGCATGGCTTCAAACCCATATTGGCGTATGTATACATACAGTAAGCATTTCTTTTTGTTATAGATAAGCGCTCAAAATCATCAGTGTAATTTTACAGCTACAAAATGAATATTCTGCGATTTTCAGAGCTACAACTGCGCTTTTAATTCGGATAGGTTGTTACAGTGTTGTTGAACTATGACATATTGGCGATAAGTGGTTTAAAAGATAAATAGGATATAACAGCAGCTTTGCATATACTGGACCAAAGCGAATAAGGACGACGGCTATGTGCAGTGCAGTAAATATCCTTGAAGAAGTGATCGCCATGCTGTTTGCTTTATAGCCTCAGTTTCGTTCGTTCTAGCCCTTCCTCCGGGTCTCAGCCACGGTAAAGCATCAGCTTTAAGAGAATATATTTATCGAAGCACGCATACGCATTAGATAATAAAAAGATAATTTACATTGGCGCCTCTTTTGTATGCCCCTGAATATTTTCTTTTTGCATCTAAACTCCAATTTCACTTTGTTGGTCGTAACGGTATCGCATTATTAGCAGTGTTTTGCTTAGCTCTCCCGGAACAAGTTTTGCCGCCAATATGCATGCAATAATTCTCTGCACTATCACATATATGTACAACAAGTGCTATAAACCTGAACATTATCATCAGCAGGATAATAGTCATTCATCCTATCATCATCATTTTGATCCAAACAGATACTGCTTGCTGTTGGCGTTGCTATTCATCTTTCTTCAATTAATTCAGGTCATTGTCATCCGGAGAAAGAGGCTCGTCTGAAAATGATGTCGCTGGCTCTGATAAAGAAGAAGTAGTAGAATGGTGTTCCCAAACAGAGGCCAAAACATTCTTCATCTGATGGTTATATACACATAAAAGAACGACGACCCTATACCATCACAATAATTGAGAATTGGAAACAGAATCAGTGCTTTTATGTTAAAGAGACCATAGATAAAGAGCTGCAAGAATGACATAAAAAATAGTCTGGGATGGGTGTTGAAGAAGGAGGGGATTGCTTACACCACTAAGTGCTCCGAAAATGCTGACCATAGCAAACACGCCATCAATGATACCCTGATAACTGCCCCGTTTTTCGGGAGCACAATATCTGAAATGATCACAAACACCGTGGAGAATGTACCAGCCGCGCCGATTTCTTGGATATCATGCCTAACTATCAGCATGGCGACCATGTATTCGAGGCGCCGCACAATACCGAAGCTGTTAAGAACACTATGAATTTACAAACAAGGAAGCTTTACGACCAGAGATATTGGAAAATTTAGAGAAAAGCGGCACTGTAATGGGGCACAGATACATAAATATCAGTTCATTCCGGCATTGATTAAATAAGTGGTTATTAACATACCAGTGTAATCCCAAAAAGAAGAACCAATACTCACGAAATCCGTCAGGTTATATAAAAGATATTCATTCGACTACCTTTTTCGAAACAAAATTGAATGCCACGATATAGAGTATATATCCTCATAAAAAAAAACTTGTACACAAGAAAAGTACGAAAACTACATACTGTACCAAGCGACATTTGATCAAAATCGGATCCTACTTTGGTTAATATGTGGTATTAATAAAGCTATATACAAGAGCAATACTTCTTGTCCATTAGTTCGCTAGATGCCGTCTATGGACACTGGAGCTAAGAGAATTAAAAAGGTACTATCGGTATGTATATTAACGTAGGTTGTTGATAGGTAAGAGAAAAGAGATCAAATAAAGACAATACGAAATACAGTGAGTGAGTCAAATATGTGATGATTTTTATTGAATGAATTCACAACCCTTTATATACTGTTTGAGATGCTGTCTAAACTTCCGTTGGATGGATGAACTGACGAGCGAATTGCGGACATACCGGATATTGGATCTTTCCAAGATGAGGAAGTTTGATTTTGGATGCCATGTTGATGGATGTTGTCTTCCGATTGTAATGAGTAATCTTTGTCTTTATCAGTATGTTCCTAGATGCAGTGTTACCTTCGTCTGTGTTAAAGTTGATCCATGCTCTTTGACAGGTACAATTCACTCAACTCAGATATCTAGATAGTGGGAGTGGATGGCATTGAAAATGACAAGGTCGATACACTGGACGTGTTAAGTGTTGACATTTCTAGATGAGAAAAGTCTGAACACGACGGTTGGTTCTGAGTCATCCTCGATTTTAGTTCATGTTTGAGGGATTATCGATATGGTGCCGCTCATGTATTATCTTTATTGGTTCATCAGTGTGTATAGTGTTCCCTCTACTGCATTATAATAGTTACGAAGACGATGGAGTGGGTTGAGTTGTCCGGATCAATCTCAAAGTAGTGTGCTTTACCACATTATATGTTGTTTACGCTATAAGTATGTACCCATCCAATGCGGCCAAGAACAAATCCAGTTGGAGCCAAATAAATAAAAAGATCCGTCGTATGCTGCCGTTTTTGAAACACGGTTATATGACATAGAGCACATTTGTCACGGTGTCTTTTAATAACGAGATCATTTCCATATGACTCTCTGAGTCCTATTAAGTCTTTAATGAGTGTGAGACTGGCGCTTCAATGAAGTTACTGTTTTGATGGTTTTGCATATTAATCAGATAATGGAAAAGATCTAGAGTGATAAAGTATGTAGTAGTATATATAAAAGGCACTTTCAAACCTATTTGCAGGTTTTTTCGCAAGTTCAAGTGCAAGAATTTTTTTTGACCAATAAAACTTCATGAAACATCTGCAACTTTGAGTGTGCCGAAAGGGTGAGTGGCCGAGGAAAATATAGATTGGATGACAATGAAGAGAGAAAAATTGGCTTTCTCAAAAGAGGAAAATAGAACAAGCGATTAAAGTTGATCGTTTATATAATGCTTTTTTCCACTAGCACGTTGGGACGGTAAGCGTTACATCACAGTGCATATGAATTGGACGCAATATTGATAATATATACTGTCTATTGTTCTATATTGTAAATTGCTTATTTTTTATGTAAGAGAAGAGAGCTATGGTACAACATGGGCGAAAGGCGAAGAAAGGGTGGAACTTCTCCCTCTGGTCGCGTGAGCGGATAAGTGACTAGTATGATTATGGAAACGGATAGAGAAAGAGGGTGTGTTTTGCGGTGATCATTTGGCGGTGGAAACATATCAGGATATGATATTAAAGAAAACAAGAACAAGTGATATAGGATATTTTGGCCAAACTACAAACGAGCGCTGGTTTCAACTTGGGTTGCAATCTTATCCTTTGCCGCCTTTTGAGCAGCGTCACGCAAAACGCGTCTAAGGATCTTGCCGGATTCACTTTTGGGAATAGCATCAATAAAGACCAAACCGCGCAGTTTCTTGTAAGAAACAACCTGATCAGCGACGAACTTTTTGATACGGTCGGCAGTTTCCTGGGTACGTGGTACATTCGGCATAGTCTTGATGTAGGCGGTTGGAACCTCGGATGCTTGGCTAGGATCATAGACACCAATGACTGCGGCATCGGCCACATCGGGCGATTTTAACTAGGTAACGTTATTGATTTAATGAGACAAAGCTCTGTTTGTTATTTCTACCCTCTCCTCCTTTCTCTTTTCTCTTGTCTTTGCATTAATGATGTTTACCAAAATAGCTTCGAGTTCAGCAGGAGGCACTTGGAAGCCCTTGTATTTAATCAATTCCTTGAGACGATCCACAATGTAGAAGCGGCCTTCCTTATCTACTACGCCAACGTCACCGGTGTGGAAATAGCCATCCTTGTCAATTGAAGCGGCTGTGGCTTCCGGGTTCCGAATGTAACCCTAGTATTCGATGATAGATTTTGTAAATTGTCAGCTGATAAGGGCTTTCATCTTTGCTACCAACATACTGCTGCATCTTCCTCCTGCATACCTTCATAATATTGGGACCCTTTAGCCAAATTTCACCACGCTCATCAAAGCCAACCTCTGTAAAAAGATGCCATATGAATCTCGCATGTTCTTTTCGAGATCTCTCCTTTATCTTCACAATAGACAGCGTATCATGTACTGTACCTTTACCATCCTCGTTGACAAGCTTGGCTGTCATGTTGGGCATTAAGTAACCGACTGAGCCTATGTAAGATATAAGGTCAGAATACGCCATTTTGCAGAAGTAATTTATTTTTACCTGGAGTGGTCTTGAAGGGGATTTCGGACACAGCGACCGGCGATGATTCTGTGAGACCATACGCTTGTTTGATCGAAGTATTAGGCAGACGCTCCTTGAGAGCAGCCAACAGTTCCGGTGCAAGAGGTGCAGCGGCACATTGGATCCACTTGATAGACGATAAATCATACTTCTGAGCGACGGCTTCCTTAGCAATCTGCAGCAGGATCGGTGGCACCAAGTAAGCGAACGAAATTTTCTTGGATTGGATCAATTGGCACAGACGCTCAAGGTGGAAACGCTTCATAACGTAGACGGGTAGGCCAACGTAGAACGCCAAATGCAGAATGTTGGTCAAGGCAAAGATATGGAAGAATGGCAGAGTGGCAAAGGTGCAATCCTTACTGCCATCAATAAAAGGACCGTCAGCAGCACAGTATTGCAACAAGTTCACATTCATGTTGGCGTGAGTAGTTATGACACCTTTGCTGGGTCCCGTGGTGCCGGATGAGAAGCACAGATAAGCTGGTAGTTGCTTGGACTCCTCGGGTGTGAGATGAACCAATTCGGCGCGACGCGATCCCATCAGTGCCAAGAATGGAAGACATCCCTTAACGGCCTTGTAGCCGAACACAAAGATGCGGTCTCTGGGAAGACCAACTTGGTCAGCTGCTTCGATGGCTGTATCAATGTTTTCCGGGTGAGCAATCAAGACTTTCGCTTCGGTCAGCGACAGCTGGTGGACAAGTTCGCGTGTCTTGTAGTTAGGGTTGGCAGGAGAAGTTGCACCGCCAGCGGCGACAGCTGCCATCAATGGAACAACGTACTTGTACTAGAGTATTCGATCACCAGAGCGATAATTTGATGACAAGATTTAGTATTTGCTTTGTTTTACGCTGGGCTCGCTGGCATGCGTATGCACATGCATGTACTGGATGCAGTAAGAAAAATAGATAATACGTACGTCGTTGGGCGCATAGACCAGCATCACATCACCCTTCTTGAAGCTACATTTGTCTTGCAAGCCTGCTGCAAACTGTAAAATTTGGTCCTTGAAGTCACCGTAAGTAAGCTTGTCGCCCGTGATAGAGTCGATGAACAAAGGTCGGTCTTCAGGGATGTTGAAATGGTTTTTGAATAAGAATTCCATAACGCCACATTGGGGCTCTTCAACAGGTTTGAATGGCGACGTGAAGATCATCTGCGGTTATTATGAAGTGAAAGGAAAATTAAAGTGTTTCATCTGAATTATTCACCCGGTCTATTTAAATAGATTTGAAAAGGTGACGGGTGGGGTAAAAACGGATAAGTTAAAAAACTAATGCGACAACCGCGTCTTGTTGACCGGGAAAAGGGCAAATGTGTTAATACAAGCTGGCGTTGGGTGTGGGGTAAAAATATGTAGTGGGAATTTAGTCAGAAGAAGTTAAATATTTCTGCCAGGAACAGATCGACATACTATTTAGCCGGAGAGGTTTCCCACTAGCATGATTCTCTAACAGCCTTTGCGTCCGTGGGAATACCATCCGGATAAAACTGCTGTGCCCACTAGTAAACCATCCTTCCTAATTTCCCCACACTCATAGGATCAATATCCGTGCTATTACCAGAAGAAGAAAACATGTTCCCCGTTTCCTTTAACTATACTTGAGCTCATCGTTTAACAATCATCGACCGTCCGATAGCATGAGATCTTCTCGCAAACGCCGATTCATTTACAGTATACGTCTCAGTTATTACCATTGCGGTCACGCCGGTTGACATAATTCCTTTCAATTCTGCATCAACTATCGGATCGACCGGCAATTTTGTACGTGGGTCAATTCCTCTAGCTTTACCTGGCCTTTTGTATTTCAGATTGTCTCGATAGTTATGCTAAGTTGTCCAGCAAGATGTACTGAAGCTATTTAATTACCGTGACCACGTAGCACTCAACGACGTGAAAAATTATTCAAACGTTGTGAGAGACGAAACTTTTAACGCATGCTATTTCATAAGCGCAATAAAAAAATCATAGCTACGGATCATTTAGGCATATGTGAGGTGGTTGCCCTTATTACCGAAAATGTTGTCAACGTCACACAGCCTTGCGCGCTGCTCACACTTTTTCTTCTCCAAATTTTCAAAGCCCTTTTGGCTGAATCTTTTGATGCAAAGGACAATGAACCAGCTTCAATTCGAACTGACGGCGATCGATAATGCATTACGTCGCGGTAGTCTCCAGTTTACTAGCAAAAACAAAATAATACAAACGCCTGCTTGTCTCGCATACACCGTTCGTGGATCCGTTCCGCACTTGATTGCCGACAATTTAAAATTACTGCCAGTTGACATGGTCCACGTGGCTCTGGAGCACTTGTAAGTTTCTATATAACTCTATCCTGGAAACATATTAAAAGTTCAAACTGATAAATAAATCTTAGTGTTGAACAAAAGGAACCTTCGTCTTTCAAATACCCCCACGGCCTTCATCGATATATCAATTTGCCTGTAATTAATCATTATTTTTTTTAAGTTTATACGTCAGATATGAAATCAAAGAAAATGGTAGTAATACGAGATTGATACTGGGAATAGAATCATTTAGTATTTTGCGATGTGCGTGATGCATCAAAACTCGAACCAGTATCAGCCAATACCGAGAAATACGTTGCCGTTGACACACACGGCGGTGTACGACGAGTCACGACGGATGTATGGAAACAGGCAATGACAGCATATGAGCCGGATTGGTGTGCTACACCAGCAGACGTGATTAAAGCGGGCGAGGAGATCAAAACGAAACGAATTAAAAAATCGGTAGATCGAACATTACGGTGGTTAGACGACTGTTTGGCTGCGTCGCCTGCCCCGGTGATTGCACCTGTGGTCGGCTTCAACAATGTAGAGGAGCGCGTACGATCGGCAAGTGAGACCGCCAAACGCGAACAAGTGGCTGGATTTGTGTTGAACGCGTTTGAATTGGAGGGTGATGTGCGCACAGAGTGCATTCGGACATCCATCGAACAATTACCTGCCAACAAACCCAGACTTGCCTATGGATACTCCACTCCAGGTAAGATTTGCTCTGTATTCCGACAGAGACAGCCACTGAAGAAGAAGAAGAAGAAAGGTTACTTATTTCTGAGCAGAGAGCATATTGGATGGTATAACGCAGGGAATTGATCTATTTGACGGAAGCTATGCATACAAAATGACGGAGCGTGGACGGGCCATTACATTCAAATTTGGTGATAGCATGTCGCCACCAAAAGATGAAGAGAAGCCGGAAAAATCGTTGAACTTGTGGGATACACGACTTGCACAGTCTTTTGATGCGATTGATTCATCGTGTGGCTGCTACACGTGCACCACGCCTCATACCAAAGCTTATATCCATCATTTGTTGAACGCCCACGAAATGCTTGGTCCGCTGCTCATCATGATGTAAGTAATCTCTTCCAATCTATGGGCTACTTTCTTGTAAGTGGAATATTTCTAATAATTTCTGTTTCTAGGCATAATGTATATCAGCTGGAGCATTTTATGGGTGCTGTGCGTAACAGCATCGATAACAAGACATTTGATGCCGACAAAGAAGCGTTCATGGCCAAACACAACCACGGAAAGGAGGGCAGTGGGAGTGAAGGACATCAAGATGAAATCGACTTTGAGTCACTCGGTAGTCCAGTGAAAAAGAACCGGGTTCTTTGAAAAAAATTAAAAATTTACTATGTACAGAAATATACTTTTCTATTATTTTAGTTACTTTAATTAAATTAGAAGAAGTTGCTTGTAATTTTCCAGCCAATATCCTTTCCAGTCAAGAAAGGAACAACAACGCCAGCATTCGCGTTAGTAGCCGACACGGGGTATTTCTCGGGCACAATAACATTGTCCTCCTTCACCAAGGTCACGCCGCGATCAACAAATCCTTCGCGTTGACCCAATCCATAAAACTTGCGGCCAAAGTGGCAGGCAAAGTTCTCGAGCTTGTCGAGACAGCCGATCTCTTCAAAGATCTTGGCAAGGTAAGGCAACACCATGGGGGTGGTGAATACGCCAGCATTGGCCTTGGAGGTTTCCTTGGTGTGGCATGGATGGGGAGCCGAATCAGTACCCAAAAAGAAGCGAGGGTGGCCCGAGGCGACAACGTCGCGCAAAGCATCACGATCATGAGGGTACTTGGCGACAGGCTTGCAGAAATGGTGAGGTTGGCCAGCCCAGTCGTCGACAATCAATTGCAAGTGGTGCACGGTGATACTGCATCCGACCGTGTCGCCACAACGCTTGACGGTTTCCACAGCAGCCTTGGATGTGGCGTGTTCCAAGACAATCTTAAGCTTAGGGAAAGCATGGTGGATCTTTTCGAGCTGGGGCAAGAAACGCTCCTCGGCGTTCATGACGCAAATGTCGTTGGTGGGATCGCTGGGGATTTCACCGTGCAAGTTCAAAACCATGCCTTCTTCTTCCATGGCCTGGAAAATGGGGTAGTAAATTTCGTACGATTCAATACCTGAATCGCTGTTGGTGGTGACACCGCGTGGGTACGATTTGACACCAGCAACGCCGGCAGCGCTAGCCTTGCGGATTTCTTCAACGGTCAGTTCGGGTGACAGGTACAAGGTCATGTAGAAGGTGACTTGAGGTGCAAGTGCTTCAAGTTCGCTCTTGTATTCCAAGGCCTGCTCAGTCGTCTTGATAGGTGGCACAGTGTTGGGCTATACATATTGTTTCTCGTTTAGTTTCGCTTCGACTAAACGCAAAAAGAAAGCGGGGTAAGTCTGCTCAATATCCTTACCATAATATAAGCAACCGAAACACCGCCTTCGACCACCTTGGGGGTGACCATTTGCATCATTTCACCTTGGCGAACGTGAAGATGGAAATCGCAAGCAGACGGCAGAGTAATGGAAGTAGTCATGACTAAATATTAGGAAAAGGAATTTAGTGTAAGTTCGATAAATAAAGGGATGCAACAATATTGAAACTTACTGGTACGAAGAAAAGCGGGGAAACGCTAAATCAAGCCACCGAGATGTTTGACAACATGGCAGATTGCTTTGCCGGACATAGAAAATTCCCTTTTCGCCGGGCTTCAAAGCATGGAAGCGTTTTTTTGGATGGGTAGAATTCTTTTTTTCTGAAAAAATCAACTTCCCCAAACGTGCAATTGCATTTATATATGATTTCAACGGTTTGGATCTGTATATATTGAAAGTTGGATGTATATCAAACGACATGACTGCCAAAACACTCCAGATATTCGATCGAAGCGACATATGGTCATATAGCTATACAAAATGGCAAAAGTCGTTGAAGTCAATACAATTCTATCAACGAACAGGCCAATTATATTATGACGTTGCTCTAGAGTATCAAACAGACTGAGGCACGGGATGTACAATGGCGCAGAACGACACTTCAACAGCATGCCACACTCGACCACAACCAATAACGATGAATGTTATTTACAGACACTATCTCGCTATCGCCTGCAATTATCATGATCAGAACCAGCATTTTGATGGAACACTGATGTCTTTGAGCATTACTTAATTTCTCGACTGACTTGGGTAGTACGTAAAATAAGGGCTGTTCTCACGATTACATATCACTAGCGGTACCATATCATCATCATAAGGAAAAAAGCTCAATTCGTCCACAGCCTCAAAGCACTCGCCCCTCAATCGATCGATAAAGCTGGGAATCCGGGTAATTGCCTTTTTCTACGTGTGCTGCGCAGGAAGGTTGAGTGAAATGATAGAAACAAGCTTTGCTGCTTCGGACTAACATAACCAGGAATTACGACGACATGTGTAATACACAAAACTGAGCTGACCACGAGCCAAAACTTCTGTTGTTTCCCCCTTTGTGTCCGGTTGCTATAGCAACTGCGTAGTAGCCATAGCGCTTCTACGAAAAATTGGTTGCCATGACGATTCAATTAGGTCAAACGCAAGGTGCCTGCGTGTGATACACAAGCGAGTAAATCATAGCTAATGGTGATAGTATAGCAAAAAGTGTAATGAATGATTTTATTTTCAGGGACTCACACTCTCCCGGCAAAAAGTATATGATCGCATGCAACTCTTGTCTCAGAATCGGAAAGAAGACGAAGTTGTTCTTGTTAGTGCTCCGAAACATTTGCCAATGACCGCAAGCTCCTCTCCCGATTTATTCTCCTTTTTTGACTTTTATCGTTTAGCAATGAGATCACTTTTTTTTTCAATTGATTAAAGTAGAAGGACAGATCAGCTAAAGTAGTAGCCAAGATCAAATAAAGTAAAACACGTGGAAGGCATTCATTATCGGTGTATAAGTTTTGAAGAAAAAAAAACTGTGCAAGCTGCAAATAAACATGCTCAATTGGGTAAATTTTCTCTAAAAGGTTTAATTTCACGTTTCAAAAAAAGTCAAATACATTTCGGAGAGGAAACAGAATCAAGACGGCTACAGAAGCAGAATTACGGAAACAAGTAGGTACGCTTACATCTTTATCTTTGGCGAAACGTTTTAAAAGAGTTGCTGGGTATTAAAAAGCTAAATATAAAGCTTGATGCGCTTCTACCGCTGCTGATGATAAAGCCAAAGGTGTCCGTCATGATCAAGAGCGCGCGTTCTTGTGAAATGTGTGCTAATTATGTGCCTGTGCGAGAGAAACGGGCCAAACCTTGTTTAGCGATATTATCAAAAATAGGTAAAAAAAGAATCTGCCAAGGGTCACACAAGCTTCATTGGGGATGTACGAATGCAAGTCAGACCGTGAAAACCTAATCCCGTGTGGCCCTGTCCGTTTCGACACATATAAAATGGGTTGCCTCTCTCTGCCGTTTCTGGTCCCAGTTTGAGTTTTCTTTTTAAAAGGAGTTGTTAATTGGGAGCTCCAGACACACATCCACATTCCTTTCTCTTTTGTATACGCTACTACCTCCACTACCTCCATACTTATTTTTTATTCCTTCTACCTCCCTCTCTCTCCCTCTCTCTCTCTCTCTCCAACCTGTCAGAAAACCATGTTGGTCAAATCCATTGCCATTTCCCTTGCCATTGCCCAAATTGCTTCCGCAGCTGAATACTGGGAGTCCTTCAAGACTCAAGTCGACCCTACCAACATCACCTTTCCCTCAATTGCTCAAACCACCTCGTACGATGAAGTCACCCAGTGCACCTACTACGAACCCTCCAACTTTGTCTTTGACGCTTCCGAATGGCCCACGCCATGGGAGACTGCTACCAGCAACGGCATGAACACTTCGGCAGAATTTAAAAATTTGTACAATTCTATCGATTGGGACTCGATGCCCAACATTACCGCCCGTGTTATGGGTGATGACGGTGCTGTTATTATGACTGACTACGACGAAAGCTCTGACCCTGACTGCTGGTGGTCCGCAACCACCTGTACCGTCCCCAAGCATGAAGGTGTGAATGCCGATATCTATGCCTGTCCCGAGCCTGAAACTTGGGGTTTGACCTACGATGACGGTCCCAATTGCTCCCACAACGCCTTTTATGACTACCTTGAAACAGAGAAGCTCAAGGCTACCATGTTCTACATTGGTTCCAACGTGGTTGACTGGCCCTACGGTGCTCAGCGTGGTGTCAAGGATGGCCATCACATTGCTGACCACACCTGGTCCCACCAGATGATGACTACTTTGTCCAATGAGGAAGTTTTGGCTGAGCTGTACTATACGCAGAAGGCTATCAAAGTGGTTACGGGCGTAACTCCCCGCCACTGGCGTCCTGTAAGTTAAATTTGTTTTGTTTACCTTATTAGTTCTTTTCGGAAGCCTTGTACAGCGATACAACGGACTTATCTCCTTTTCTCTCCATGATTATTATTTATTTATAGGCTTTCGGCGATGTTGATGACCGTGTCCGATGGATTGCTACTCAATTGAACTTGACCACTGTGCTCTGGAACCTTGATACTGATGACTGGGCTGCCGGTGAATCCGAGCCTGTTTCCACGGTTCAAGGCAACTACGAAGACTTCATCAAGATGGGTAGCAACGGCACTTTTTCCACCAGCGGTAACATTGTCTTGACTCACGAAATTGATAACACCACTATGCAAATGGCCATCGACTACATTCCCCAGATCAAGCAAAACTACAAACACGTTTTGGATGTCGCCACCTGTATGAACATCACCTACCCTTACATGGAAAACACCGTTGCTTTCACTGGTTTTGATAACTCTACCCACGCTGCTTCGTCCTCGAGCGTCTCTTCTTCGGTTGCAACTCCTGCCGGCAGTGCTGGTAGCTCTTCCAGCTCTGATGTGGCCCAGACCTCTAACGACCAGTCTGCTGCTTCCAAGGTCTCCGCCACTGGTGCTCTTGCACTGGCTTTGATCATTGCTATTTTCGCCTAGATATATGATGTATTGTTGTAAATCTACAAACCTCTTCTTTTCTTCACCCCCTCTGTTTACCACCAACAACAACCAATAATTTATTTTTTGTCACACTATTAATTTGTATCCTGTATGAGCTATATATCCAATGTGTTACTAAGTAAAAATAAGAGCCGTATAAATGTCGCAATACACGAATTCACACTGTCCAAATTCGAGCAATTGACACAGCACCAATTTTTATATAACTCTAATTAGCGAATGATACTAAACTCGGCCCGTGAGAAGTACACCATCTTTCCATGTTTGTTAACACAACAACTTCATACTTGTTCTACTGCATTAGATATAAAATGTCCGCTAAAAAAACATGCACATATACATGACCAAATGTCTCTTTTTCGTTACTGAAAAAACTTGTCTCTGTAAGGCATTGATTCCCAAAAGTGTTGATGCCTGATCAGCGACGTGGATTCAAAATGGACGAGGCAATCTCGGAGAACACGGAGACCTTAATAATTAGAAACTTGGCATTTTCTATAAACATCAATGTGCTCACAGCAGCGGTACACCTGTGGACAGTGTACTAAAACACGTATGGAAACTCGTAGTATCACGCATCATAGACTTGTAAAACTTGTTTTAGACGCTTGGCAACCCTACTTGCTGTTGCGTTATTCTGCGATAGTGTAGCTATGTGACCGGAAATTGTCCACGCCGTCATAGTATAATTTTTGCTCTTCAATGACTTGTTCTCTGATAATTACTACTTTATGGTGAAGTAGATACGATCTAAAATGTGTGCTGACGAATTGATGTTAACGATGGCTATGTCGATTAATGCACACTCTTCTTTATTCTAATCACATGGATGAAATTAGCCAGCGATTATCCTTTTTTATCTGTTCAAATTACCTATGTACTTATTTTGAGGTACATGGCTATATTACATGATAACAACGCACGATAAAGACGCTTCATAGTACACCTCTTTTATTGTTGCTCATGTAGAACAATGAATGCTTTATTGAGTTTGCTCCAGGTCTGGACGACTATGACGCCTTTTAATATCTAAGACGAATGTTTTATACGGCTTTCCATTAACTTACTATGTAACTACTTTTTTAAATTATGTTCGATAGATGGGATCAAAGCTATTGAGACAGTGGAAAGAACAAGCTGAACTGGAGCGCAATGCTACACACCAAAAATAATGCGAGAATATGCGGCCCTTATCAAAGATGTACCCGCGGAAATAAGCAAGTCTCCAAAAATCATCGTATGTAAATGTACAGCAATGCTACTGCATAGAACTCATTTACTAGTACTTAGGCTTTTTGGTTTCGATGCCCCTGCTGATAATGCATCCTTACTATATCTTAGTAAAGTATCTACTTGAAGTAAGGCAAGAGCTCCTTGTACTGTAGCAATCCAAGATGTATGTATTCCAGAGGCAAAATGCATATATAGAATTGCGCCAAGAAGGTTTGTTTTGATATATTGACTACATCAACTATATTAAAAAAAAAGTATCACGAAGAGATGATATCAAACGAACCGGCTCGCCTTAAACCGGTCAAATGAAACATAATTCTCATCAAGAAGTAATACATGCTCACAATGAGCAATGGTTATATTCCGAGTGTGAAAAGGGCCATCGGATACCATCAAGGAAACAAACCATCACAGATGCCCCTTAGCTGAATCGCAGTAGCACGTTCTTGTTGAAAAATGTGGAAATACAACTGAGAAACATCTTTCTTTTATTTTCTCAGTCTACTCTACATGACGATCAAATCCTATGTTAAAGAGTGAATGTTTTTGAGATACTTAATGATCAATGCCAGGGAAAAAAAGGCGACCGTTCTACGCTTTTATTATTGATTGCACTTTGGGAAACTACGACAAAGTCTTCTTACCAGGAACATGAAGGAACAGACTAGGAAACAATTTTGCAAATAGGAAATTTGCTTAGAGTCCCTGCGCGTGCGTGACTATCTTTCCCTTTCTAGAGCAGCTCATCCTGCATTTTGTGTTTTTGAAGTTTGACCACAATGTTTGGCATTTTGGGTAAGTAGGCCATGAGACGATGCTACCACAACGAGCCTTATTATAATATAGATCAATAGACTAATAAGAGACATATTTCTTTCAGCTGCAGCGACTCGAAATGCATTTTCCATGAATGCACCAAGCCAAACTCGTGGCATGGCAACCAAGCTCAAATCTCACTCGGGTGCGAAAAAGCGGTTCGTATACACAACACTTTTCAGTCCATAATTGAACATAAAAGATGCAATTACTAAATATAATGGTTGCCTGTAATAGATTCTTCCCTACGAGCAATGGTAACTTCAAGCGATGGAAGGTTGGACTTCGTCATTTGAATTCGTCGTTTTCGCCCGAACGAGTGAACCGCCTGAGCCGCTCCACGATCGTTAGCACGTCACAGAAAAAGATGCTCCACAAGGTTCTGCCGTATAAATAAAGTTGCTGCTGTTGTTGTAATTTTCATCTGCAGGGTATTTTCTGATTATTTTTAGTGTGTGACGTTATTTGGATATGGCGTGTGGGGAAAAAGAGAGAGGAGGTGCTGATAATGATGCATAGTCCCACTTGGTGTAGTGGTGATGATCGCGGTGACGACGGTGTCCATGTGAACAACAGCAAAAGTAGTGGTTTTGACAGCACTAAAAAAGTTGTTTAGTAGTCGCGAAATTTCCTTCATAAGGCTTAGTCACTTGGGGGATTAATAATACGAATAGGGTAAAATATACGTCCATTCTGCATGCCCATATGGCACCCTGAGAGAGTGTACAAAGAGAAGAGAGCGTGCGTGCACTGTGCTTATCAACGACGCCATCGCCGCTGAGCGGTTCGACTCCTCGTTCTCAGATCCGCCGCTAGATTATACGCACAGTTGGGTCCGCCCGCGCAAGTTATGATAACGGGCAAGTTTGTCCGCCCTCCTCCCTCCCTCTAACAACACTCTTTGTATCGAACGTGGCGTGCCTTTTCTATGGGGGAAAAAAAGGAGGAGATTGTTTTATTGCCTAACCGTCGGAAAGAAAGTGGGACTATGTTGAATCGGTTACTGTTTCCAGCAGCCGTTTCCAAACAATCAGTGTTAGAGAAACCCCATGATAGACGACGGGAAGGGAAAACGCATTTGATTGGCCAATTTAAAGTTGAAGCAGAAATTGACAGCGACCAGCAATCGATAAACAAACCCCTTTTTTGGTCAAGGCAATTGAAGCTATGACGGCAAACCCATCGCTCTGAAACCCGCTCGTTTTTCGAGGGTAACCCCGTTCCCCCCGATAAAACCCCCTATGATATATAAAGACGGGACTCAGTTCGCCATTAGCAAATCCCAACAATAAAAAAAACAACCAACTACTCCTGAATCACCGCGCAACAAAACAGTGCAAACAATGCCATACACCCACAACAACCCCATGGACATCTCCATACTACCTCCCGAAATCATCTGTTGCGTACTCGAACAACTTCCCTTGGCTGACCTCGTCCGCGCTGAGCGCACCTGCCGAATGATCCAAGCCTTTTGTCACAGCGAAATCCAACGACGCATTACCTCTGGTCCATTAAAAGACGATTGGGGCGTCCTAGTAAGTCTCGAAAGACCCTTCTACTATAGTTAGCATATATGCTTACTCTCTTCACTTTGGTTACAGGTCCATCTCGATCAAGCAACTGCCACTGCAACACATTTTGACGCTGTCACAAAAAAAGTCACCTTCACTATTTCGATGCCACAACCTGTCCAAATCAAAACCATGTTCGACCATCGACGTCAAATTCAGTGCTCACTGCTCCGACGAAACCGTTATTGCGAAGATTTTGTATTCACCGTCGAGAAGGGCATGACTGAAGGCTCTACAGTCAACGTTACTGCTGAGGGCGCAGCACTCTGCGAAATCGACGCTGCTTTAACACGACTCGTTAAAGCACCCTCACCTCCAAACAAAAAGATCATTGCACCATCACCCAATCTGTACAGCTTACAATTAACACAACTCCAGATACCGCTATCGGCCATCGCCGCTCAGTAGACAACAACATCATCGTCATTAATCATTACCAATATCATCACCGTTACCACCCATCACGCTATGCTGATAGAAGATATACCCAATTTTCCCTTTTCCTAATAGAATGGATGGCCGGTCCTTCCTTTCTTTCCGTGTATATTACCCATTCATCCAAAACAGACAATCTCAAAAAAAGTTGTATCTGCACATAGTTTTAATAATAGATAACATGGTTTTAATTTCTACCAAAGAGATGAAACATTATCTTGCGTACGAATGATGAAAGAACATCAGGTTCTTCTTGATAAAATGACTGTTGAGTGAGGGAAAAGAAGTTAGTATAATTATAAAAGTTAGCAGAGATCTAACAGAAAGAGATTACCATAATAATAGCCATAGCAACACTAGTCAACATGACCTCAAAGTGTTTAATATGAATGATCCATTTGCGCTGGTAAAGAATCTGGTAATAACTCTTGAGAGCAATGGGCAGACAGTACATGGCCAGCTCGCCACGACGTTTCTTTTCCTCTAAAAAGATCGACGAGAACGAGCATACAAATCCAAACCAGCCATAGAGGTATTTGCTGTTGAATGTGGTGATGCCGTTCGAGAGGAGCTTACGGTGCATACAGATCTGGTATTGGTATAAGGTGACGAACAATGCCATGAATGCACAGCTTTTGGCTGTACCTAAAACCGTTTTTGACAGCATTGAAAGGGGCATTTTGCTAAACTGTTTGAACCGGAAGACAAGCATAGGGACTAAGTGAAGCGTGCCATACACAGGAAACATTGACTTTACTACTTTGACGAATCGCTCAGCGGCAGTTGCATTGCAACCATCCACCCATGGATGGATCAATTCACAAGGAAGTGCGGTTGGGTATTCTGGCATTGACTGAGCCAACTTGATGGCCTGTTCGGTAGGTCGGAATTTGTTGATAGCGTGCAGTGTCTCGTGGGTCGTTAGCGCGCTGCCTCTGACATTTTTTTCATTCAGCCTCAGCAAATCGTGGGGGACTCGAGCCGTCTTGACCATGAAATCATAGTAACCTGGGGCAAGGGTCGCGGGTTGCATCTGGACAAGAAACTCAGCAAAAAAGAAAGAACTGATCATCGCACTCACACCTCCGCTTATGCGGCGTACACTTACTGTGTATGCATACAGGATCTCCATGCAAGCCAGACCAAACAGCAACGCATCGCCGTGCTTAAAGTATATGATGTCGCGGGCCTTTCCTGCGTTATAAACACCTTGGAGCGCGCTAAAAGACAGTTAATATACGATGGCTTTCTTTGTTGGAAGTGAAACATACCGAACAAACAATTGCTGTGCAATATCCACTCGGCTTTCTTGCTTTTCGCACAGAATAGCCAATCCAGCCACAGCACCTGCTACTAAGCCATTCAATCGATCCTCTTTGTCGCGGTAGATCCGCATGCCGTTGTTCACCAGTTTCCACAGGAAGGCAAACATGCCAAACATGCCACCGAAGCGAAGAGCAGTTTCATTCTTAAACGTGGCTGACAGGATGTTTGCTAGCGCCGCTCTTTGAAAGGAGATAATGATACAAAAGATGTTGGATCCAATTGTTAATATGTAACGACGATAAACGAAGGGTATCTTATCGGAAGAGGTTGCAATGGTTACTTTTTTCGAATCACTCGTATCAAGTAGAAGCAGAGGTTAACACCGGCTCTAAGACCATAGGCCATAAGGAACGCCCCTTATGGATATAAACAGCAACAGTGAGCACCATGGGTCTTATAAAAGAAATGAATTCGTATGATATGCTTGTATGATCTCTACTGCATAAAACGTACTCGCTCCGCCTTTGATCGCATGGATAGCGAGTTCTTTAGGCGTCTGTGGCCGAGCCCAGTCTTTCTTGGGGAGCTCCGTAAAGGACGAGGGGTTTCTCTTTAGCTTTGCTTTTAAACGCTGATATGACGACGATCGCTGTTCGGGCCTGAGCATCTGTGTGTACGAGCCGAGAGAATATATGAACGAGAGGGAAGGAAGGAAGAAAAAGGAAGGGAAAAGGCAATATATAACGTTTGATGTCCCAAACCGAGGAAACGAGAGAAAAAAAAAGAGACTGGAGAAAAGGTCGTATCAGCACTATCGAAAAATGATCAGTGCGTCCCGCATCCTGGTTGGTTGATTTCGACCCGCATTTTGGGGCACTTTTAGGCCGTGAAACTGGAATGGAACGTGATTTCAAAAGCTTTCTCTTTTCTTGCTTACACTTCTTTTTCTCCTTCGAAACATTGCTCACGATGAAATCAACGGCTTGCCCTACCACGATCGCGTATCTCACCCTTTCCTAACAGTTACCATGTCTGCAATGCGCTCCATGCACCATTTGGAGAAAACTCTTACACATCTTTTTTATAGGGATCTGCATAGGTTGAGATCAAGCGGTGTGAAAATCGGATGTTTCCTCCCGCACGTCTCCTGGTGGTCGTGGGCATACAATTTGATTGATGGAGACAGCCCTTGTGATTACACGTTGCTTACTACAATAGCGTGTAGAAGATCATTGACTTTTAAACGTGTGTCTGCAAAACTTGCTTCTGTAGTCTTTTCAAGGAAACGCTATAGTAGGGAATTTTTAAGGCATCACAGCTAACTGGATCTTAGTAGAAAGGAAGAGGAAAGATGCTGACATGATTATGGAGCTATTTGCATATAGAATCCATTTTTGAATGGATACATGAAGAGAATGTTAGTGCAAAAAAGGCTACAGAAGGTAGGTGTTTGAACAAAGGGCTCTTTTATTGATGTCAAGTACCATACTTGTTGCGGGTCACGTACCTAAGATTATTGTTAGCACCCAAAATGTGTATACGTTCTTCTGTACAACTCCCTTCTCACCAAAGCAAAGTCGGATGTGAGAACTTATTGATGTGCTCCTTTCATATGTCGCCTCAATGAACTCTTGTTGTAATACGTTCTGCTGCAGCCTTGGAAACCGCACTTTTTCAAATGAAATATGGTTAAATTGTCATCATTTGACGTTATTAATCCTTTTGAGGTTACTCGATGACTTTGTTTATGCTACTTACACTAAGTTTCTTTTTCTTACTGTTAATCGCCGAGCTGCCATATTCTATCTTGAGGCACATGAAGTGTATTATAAGTTTCTCAATACCAATGCGTCATTTCTCAACAATAGCTGTCGCCCACATCTTCTTGATGTTTACCTTCGCTATGTTTCCTACAGTATCAAGAACATTGATAGCCCAATCGATATCAACTTCCCTTTTGACCTACAACAAAATCACGAGTTTACACTTGTGGATCGATCTTTGCAAAAATAGCGCTATCCCTAATATTGCGTTGCAGCTTACATCTTTACTCAAAAGTTCTTCTGCCGTATGGTCTGGCAAGCACGATGCCATATCAGCTGCTAGTGCGTCATCTATATGGCGTTTTCGGTGGCTATTTTTATGTAAAATGTAGTCCGTGTCAAGATTATCTCATCCAAACACACACCTCAAGAGCTCACACACACAAAATGAAATATTTATGTATCAAGCTACGAACTGATAGTGCGTATCCATATTCTTTTTTTTGTAAAATAACCTATCGCATATTCTGCAGACGTATTTATTACTACGTCCACCACCGTGTTGGTCATTCGGCACTTGCATGGATTCTCTTCGTTTTGAAAGAGAAAAAAAGAGAGCCAAAAAAAGAGTGATGTGGGCGTATAATATATTTTCTCTCTCCACCTATAATCTACTACTGTATGTAGTGATGGAAACAATGGTTGAGGACTCTATGCTTGGACACTATTTGTGTATTTCTCATGAAACAAGGGGCATGTGCATAGTATATTCCCACTCCCTGTATCAATTAGAGTCTGTGCAACTTTATCATTGACAAGGAATAGTTCTTGTGACATATATAGAAGATCATTATCCAGCGTCAATCATCATGAGCACTTGAATGCCTACAGTATGCTATAGGCATAAGCCTATCATACACCTACTAGATAAATTATTGCAACAGCACGATATTCTTTGAGCACAATCCCTTTTGGTTAAGACGCTGGCCGTCAAAACAAACATGTAGTACCAATAGTATAGATTGCTCTGGGAGATGCTCATTGGTTTTTTACAAACAGAACAGGAGAGCGAATAACCAATAGCCACTGCTGCTGCTGCTTACAATACGTTTGAGATTCCTTAGCAAAGAGTCGATGTTTGAAGATTACTTAACACCCGACGTAGTGCAAGAAAATAGCACCACTTGTAAATGATATGCTGCGGTATGTGGCGAATTATAGAAAGTGCTTGAAAATCATATTAAGAAGCCATAAAAAAGGACAACAGTACGTACTTATTAAGAGACTTGGAAACGAGGAACCAGAACAGCGGGACGCTCTTTATTCACTACATAACCTTATTAGAGGATGAATCCATCATCATCGCAAAAAAGCAACCTGTTAGCATGTCAGATGGCCTCACTATAGTATTTTTCAGAAGCGAAAGTGAGTAAGATGCAGGTTTAATGCTCTGTTACGATTTTAGCAGGGATAGTAAATGACAGTTGTTACGCACCACATGGACATAAATACTTTGAAAGCCGGAATGAGTGACATATAAAACCGTCATGGACCTGCTTACTTCTAGTTTGCACTGAATCGTGCGGTACATTCGCCGTCCTATGGCAGCGCAAGAACAGCCCTGTTTTTCAATTGTGGATGGCTATGCAATAATGGTGCTAGTCCTAAAAAGTAGGTTTTCATAAAACAAAACTTAACAAGACACAGGATTGGGAGAAGCATTTCCGTTGTTAATACACAGCAGGATAATAGATATAAGAAGACGTACATGAGTATAATGCTATTTTGCTCCCTCGACGTTTAATTGTGTCTTGTATATCATAAAATGGTTGTATCCACAACGCTCAAGAAATCGGCAAGAAGCAGAACGACCGACAAGCCTTGTAAGAATTTGGACAAGAACGTAGAAACAGAAATTCCAAAGAGGTATATTCGCTTAAATCGCTGTGCTATGATGATGACAGAGTGATCATGTATTATGGATCGTCCTATCACTGTTATGTATATGGCACAGTGCAAATCGCTTCTACAAAAAGTCCCTGAAGTGGATGCTTGGAAAAACAAGCACTAGACCAAACTATAAAAATTGCCACTGCTGGTTTCGGGCCAATTGAAATCGAGGAAATGGTGCGACGCTACTGATGTTGCCCCAGCAACAACACCGACGATGATGCTTTTACGAGTGGCACCTTGATGATACACTGCTTGTACATAGCACAATAGAGTTGTATCTTAGCGTTAAAGTATTTGACAGGTATCATGGTCGATACTCTGTGGCATTTGAAGGTCCATAAGAATAAACCATGGTTGTAGTAGAACGGCACTAGATCGCTCAAAATTTTGCTGCTCATGCTCCTTTCTTTTTAAGACGGACTGAAACAGTTTTCTCTAGTCAAAGAACAAAAGCTAGTTTGCTTTCCCTAGATTTATTTACCCCCTGAATTCTACAATTTCAAATCAAAATAAAAGTAATTACTTTCTCTCTATTATGTAAGCGCTTACAACAGGCATAAATAAAAAAAACTCTTAATGAACTTTTTAACCTTTAATTGAGGAAAAAGAGTTTGATCACGAATGATGCATATTCGGTTTGATGAACAGCAACTTGATACGAGATGGCCCTCAAAACGCGCTTGTCAGGCAAGAACAACAACAAAAACAAGAGTAATCAATTGGTACCAAAAAGGTAGAATTCTTAAAAGAAGCGGAAAGGGGAAAATAAAAGAAAGACGGGTTCTTTGTTGGTATAATGTTATATTAAACAAAGTGTATATATACGACAACTAGGATGATATCAACGTTGATTATATTGCAGTCACGGGTATCGTGCGAGATGTATCAGCAAAGTTTGAAAATGTATCTGTTGGAGGCTACGGAGTAGTGTGGGCAAACAACGCGTTCCCTATCCAATCCGGCCACTACGCCGGCGAGGCGAACGTGAACTTACTTTACGAGCTAGCGGTAAAGTTTTCTTATAAACTATTCTTCAGTGCGGTCACAACTGGAAACAGATACCGGATGTCTAACACATCTATGCTCTATACATATACAGGTAGCTAAGGCGGTATTGAAAGCATGCCCCGAGAACGTTTCTCTAGCTATTGGTGTCAAACACCACCAAACGCTGACCTGTAAAGTATCGAACTTTTTTTCTATGTTTCTCCCTATACCGTGTGACGGTGTTTGCTCTTTAACTAAACATAAGCACAACAGTACTCAACGGCAAAAAGACTCCTCATATCAAGCGTAACCGTGTTGTTGGTCCTCTGATGAAAGAAGTTCGCACCTTAATAAAAAAAAGATCCGGAAAAGTCTAAGCCCTGAGAGTACGTTATAGATGGATAGGAAAATACGAACCAATATTGTGCTGACATCATTGTATCTAAAAACAGATGACAAGCCCATTATCTGACTCCTTGAAGAAGATGCAAAAGGTAGCTACGCAAGAAGCTATTGCAGCACAACAAGAAAGGTAAACATACTTGAGGTGTTCCTATACAACCATAAAGAACTATATTTGGCTAACATTTATTTTTTGTTGGTCAAAACAAACAACAGGATGAACTTTGACCAAGTGCAACTGGAGACCATTCTACCCTGAACAGAGGCAACGACAGAGAAACCTTCAGCAGAGACTCCACATCAAGATTTACAAACACCCCAAGCTGTAGTACCAGAACCAGTACTCAACCATCAAGAGTCGATCGTACCCTTATCATCCACAGAACAAGAATCAGCCCAGCGGAGAAATGGCCATGTGGATGATACCGTTGTTGAACGTTGGATACAACGAGCGTTGAAAAGATTGAGCTTGTTACTGCTGACTCTACCGGAAAAGATGAACTAGAAGAACAAGAAGAAGGACAAAAGGAGGAGGCGGATGATGATAAGTATACCCATGGTGGCGATGATAAGAACGGTCAAAACGGTAATAAGCGCTTGAGATCGTGGGATGATGATACTGATGAAGAACAAACGACTGTAAAGAAACGCAGCTCGAATAAGAAGCCAAGAACCGATGAAATATCACCATCATCGACCAGCTGGTTTGGTTGGGTGAAGAGTATGTTTGGAATAAAAGAGTAGATATTTAAGCACCTTACATATCCTCTTTCCTGAGCAAGTGGGATAAGCTGCTTTACAAAGTGCTTGTTGATGGGATGGATCCGATGTAAAATGTTCGTTTACAAGTGGCAGATAATGGTAGGGTCAGTCCACAGCTCGCAATTAGTGCGTTTCTGTCTAATCGCTTAAATGACCATGTAGCTTTATTATCGTATTCGCGCATCTGATTATTGTAGAAACTATGAGCGCAATTATCGCATGTGCTGCACTGTATTAGCAATTTGTGAGAAGCACATGTAGTAGGGGAACAAAAATTTAGTAAATGGATGCAGCGATGGTATATAGCAAAAAAAATTGATGAGGATATACTACTAATACCAAAAGTGCTATGCAATGTGATCTTGTTATGTACCAAAGAAATTCTTTATCATACCTACAAACTCGGCCATTGTTACGTATGTGTCAACGAGCCCAAAGGGCGGCACTGGGTCTCGTGAGGGTATGGATATGGATGAGGGAGGGACAAAAGCAAGAACCAACCAAACAACCTACATAGGAGATTGATGATATGTGTAGATAGTGGGACAAGCGGATAGCGTAGGATGATGTTGGATATTAAGGTAGTCTGATAACAAAATGACTGGTGAGGCTAATACGACCTAGAAATCAAACAAATTACGGATCCCTCGTCAGAACAAACAGTACAAATGGCCTCTTGGGCAACCGAGCGTGAGATACGAATGTAAGAAGCACACTATATTTCATTCTTGAGTGAAGTGGGCTATGAATAATATTATGGCACACACTAGGTGGCTTTAATCAAAGAGATACTTTAAGAAAGAAACATCTTACTTGGAACGATCGCTCTTTCCTTGATTTTAACTGCCTCAAATACAGTAGTTTGCCCTTTTACAAAGAGTGGTATTGAAGATGTTTGGCTGTTCGAAGTGGTCATAACCTGAAAGACTTACAGCCATATCGTTGAAATGTTTTGTCATCATCATCATTTTTCATGCTCTGAATAGGTATGCACCGTGTATTATAGTCTATACAGCGGATGCACACAATCGTATACAGGCAGACATTATATCCGGAAACATACCTGTGCCGAACACTACCAAGATCTGCCTATGATGCTCAGTAATGTCCCTCGTGAAAGAAACTTGCGATTTATGACATTCGATGAAGATATTATATCACTTCTCTTGTTAAACTTTGCACTACTTGTCCGTATATCATTTGTGTGATGCCGCTAATATAATCTCATGTACGTACATTGTCCAAGTAGAAGAATCGTCACGCCACAAGCTCAAGGTAGGAGAAAATTACAAGCACGTCTAAATCTTGTAAAACCTGCTTTGTACTATTTTACTGTATTGCTTAGTTAATAACGTTTCTATATATCATTATCCCCTTATAATACCTTATAACATCCCTAGTATTAATGATATCAAATTTGAGATCTGATCTGGTAAGCTCTCCAGTTGTTGTTTCCTGCAAAGATACTGGAGAATCTTTTTCTTCGGCCGTGTACATAATAGTAATGTATGAAATAACGTGCATTCAGCAAGCAGTCAGGAATCACACTGCTTCAGCATTGAGTAACGGCTATAACAGTTTTAACTTAGCCTTGATTGTAATTTGTGTCTATTGAGTATGTATGCCTTCCGTGTTGAGCTTTTTACGCGTACATTTCAAGGGGCAGTCGTCAAGTACTGATGTTTATTGGTCGAAAAGTGTTCATGAGAATACTTCCATAATAAGCTCAATGACATGATGAGAAATTCTCGTGTAAGATAAAGCTGTTAAATATTACCAGGATATGCATATGATAATCTATTTATTGGAGCAGCTTTCGCGTTGATACGGCTGGTATGGGCTTAGGTTGGAGTCGGTGTTTCTTTTTTTTGACGCGTAAAGCAAAGAGTTCAACGCGTCGCAGCTGGAAAAAAAAATAATGATAATAAAAGGGACCCTGTGACGGAAAGGCACTTTTTTTTTCTCTCTTTTTCTTCCAATTAAAATTTAAAAAGTAAGCCCATCTCATCCAATTCAACCCTCAACATACTCTTCTTTATTGAAGTGTTTGCTTCCCCTTTAAACATTTGGAAACTTTAAGAGATTGCTCACTTCACCCATCGCCAAGTTATCGATTGAACTAATTTGTTTGCCTGCATGGAAATCGTCTAGTGACTGGACGTGGTAAAGGTGGTAAAGGTCTCGGAAAAGGTGGTGCCAAGCGCCATCGCAAGATCCTTCGTGACAACATTCAAGGGTAAAGAACTTTTCCTCTTTCTATCTACTTTGCACTCGTTTACATTGTTTAGCTAATCAAAAAAAGTGGATGTTCTTTTGCTTCTTTGTAATATGCAGTATTACCAAGCCTGCTATCCGCCGTCTCGCTCGCCGTGGTGGTGTCAAGCGTATCTCTGGCCTTATCTACGAGGAAACCCGTGGTGTCCTCAAGGTCTTCTTGGAAAACGTCATCCGTGATGCCGTCACTTACACTGAACACGCCAAGAGAAAGACTGTCACCTCGCTTGATGTTGTCTATGCTTTGAAGAGACAAGGCCGCACCCTCTACGGTTTCGGCGGTTAAAGGAAGACACACTTCTCCTTACTCGCTATTTTTCTCTTTTCTTCTCTTTGCTCAATCGCATGCGAAATATCCACACAACACACCCAACTTTCTGTTTCCCTGCTACCCCCTAGCTTTACACGAAACTCAACTCTTTTATAAAAAAAAAGGCATTTACCTCTGTGCTCGCTACATATTGACGTGTTTGGTTTGTGTGGTGGAGGCAGTTACATGATGCACGTGTTCGTGTGCGTGTGATCGCAAGAACTACACTCAAGTTCTCTTCGCCAGCTTTTCATTAATCACGTTTTTTAACCTGAATGTAGGATTTATTCGCTGCGCGTTTGTACGGTTAAAGCTAGATTGCAGGGTTTTGAGAGCAAGGTGAACATGCCATATCCTCTGTGTTGTACAGTCTTTAGGCTGTTTGATTGCAATAAAAGGCTGTGCGTTATAACCGGCACCTCACATGCATGCTTATTCCTCCCCCCCCCTCCTGCACTCTGGCAACTTGGAGATTCAACATGCATTGATATTTACAGTCGATGCAAGACGTATGATAGCGAAAAATACTTTTGTGTATTGTAGAGAGAAGGAAAATATAAAAAAATTACAGCGTGCGATTAGAGCATCAAAGTAGCATGCACGGTCGGAATAGAGCGATTTAAAAAACCAAGATAAATTAGAAGACGTAAGGGACGAAGATATAGGGCACACGCTCGCAGTAGCGTTCCCAATCCTTGCCGTACTTCTTGGCGCAGCGCTCCATGTCACGGGAGACACGGTGGGTCAAGACAACGAGAAAGAAGCAGAAGTAGAAGTAGGGCAAGAACGAACCGAAGCCAGTGATCAGACCCCACGAGATGGCCATAACCAAATCTATGGCAAACCGACCGTTAATATCACTCGACCTCTTGATGTCCTCAATGCACAAACAGCCTCTCCTCTTCCATGATCCACGTTTTCCCAGTATATCCAATAATAACAACAACAACAACAATATGAAGAAAGAAAGGAAACCCTACCAGCAGTGTAATGAGGCTTGCGGGCAATGCCCCACCAACCAGAGGTGAGCAGCAGGTTGCCGTGCTCGGTCTTGATGTAGGAGGGATTCTTGATATGGCCCCAAGGAAGCTGGGGGAAAGTCTTGCGGACGATGAACGAGCCGTTTTGCTCCATACGGAAACGGTTCTTTTGCGAGTTACCGGTGTCAAAGACCCAATAGGCGAGCAAAAGAGCAGTGAACAAGGCGACGGTGTAAGGAAGAGAGTGAGTGATGGCAGTGCCGGTCGAGAGCTGGTACTTCATCAAGTAGATGGAGGCATAGCAGTAGGTGAAGGGGACACCGGCCATGTTCCAGAAGATAAGCATGAAGCCTAATTTCGATCGAGTCAATCCAGGATTCTTCTCCTAGTATTCTCTATAAAGGCAAAACGTACCATCCTTTTCATAGAACATATCCCACGAGGTAGGAATGCACTCTTCGCCCTTCTGGCAAGCGTTGACATAGAGGAAGTGGGCAAGGACCATGAAAGCAGCAGGGCCAGTGACCTTGCCATCAAGTTCGTACTGCTTGAGGAGGCAGGACAGCGAGCAGTAGAAAAGAATGACCCAGGGGAGGCGAATTTCGGCCCACATCTTCAAATCGACAGGTCCGATGCGAGGGTTCAAGGGACCACCCATGAAGTAGTCATAGAAGAAGTTGCCAGACATGCGGTGGTTGGTGCCCTGAACGTAACCGCTGATGCACACCAAGGTGGTCATAGTGAAACCCCAGCAGATAGCAACCTACACGCAGCCCCCAAAAAAATGTCAGATTACATTATCGCTGCAGACCACATAACACCATGACGAATCCCCACCCCCTCCCCTTCTTTTCCGTTCCACAGTACAGCACGTACGCTCATGATAGGACCAAAGTTATCAATAATCTCAGTGAGGCGGAAGATGCCAGTAACATGGAGGACAGCGGACAACGCAAGGACAAGGTACCACGACGACAAACCGTTGCAGACGTACTTCAACTAATTGGAGTTACACACAAACGCAAAGGAAAATAAATTAAAAGAGGGGCGGGTCAGCTCCTAATCTGAGAGCACGCGAAAACACCAACTTACTCTTTTGCCCTTCAACGAGGGAATGGGAAGACCCTCGACGACAGGACCAGGCATAACCCAGGCGAGAATGAAGGAGAACAAAGCATAGCCCAAGTAAATCTTGGCAGCAGTCCAGTTGGGCAAACCGGCCTCGACGATCTTGCCGACATACTCATTCCAGAAGAAATCGGACAAACCTTCCTTGGTGTACGACTCGGGGAAAAAGAGTCTACCCTCGTGGAACTCGAGCGAAACCCAGAAATAATACATGAGGGCCGGGAAACCAGTCATCATGGCGCAGACACCAATGGGGCCACCGAATTCATATACGATTTCATTGTCAAGCTTGACGTCGAGCTTGGTGTATGGTGACTTGAACAGTGGGACGCCATTGGCGTTGGTCTCCTGCTTTTCAACAGTCTTTGAGTCGACTTTGTTCGCCATTTGCGTAAACAGTGACAAAGAAGAAGAAGAAGAAGAGGTTGCCGATAGTGGGTGTGTCAACCCTAAAAAGAAATAATAAGGCGGGAAAGAGAAGAAAAAGGGGAAAGGTGCGGTCCCTTTTGGCCGCCGACATACACGGCTTTTTGTTTACTCCACCGCGCGCATGGCGTCGTACAAGACACCTTTCGGCGAACCGGCGCGAATGAGACTCGGAGCCGGTGCCCGCCCACGACTGCTGGCACAAGCGCTGGAAATGGAGTATCTTCTTGTGCTTACCAAGAACTCTTGTTTCCCACCTGCCCTTTTGCACGTCGAGCAAGAATTGAAATGATTGTTGCGGGTTAACGGGGTGCAATGTGTCTGGCTATGTCTTGCGTGTGTCACCGACCTCTAACGCAATTGGATCTTTCCAACCCAGTGAAAACGGTTAATCACTGGAGGAAAGCAAACGGCAAATATGCATGCATCAAGGCGCAAGTTATGTATGAAAGTGCAGCTAGCACTTGACCTCGTCACTAATTACAAAACTGTTCTTCGTTTTTGGTGCGGGGTTCGTTACCGTGCCTTGACAAGGGCATTGGCTCCGTATCATGAAGCACGGACTGAAAAAGCAATCACATCGGTGTCGTATCCCGGGCGAATGATTGCGTTTATTCCAAGAAGTACACGCATCACGCTAGGATAATTCGACTGCTCTACTTTTCAATTACATTGCCTTTTTAGTCATGGGCGCTGCGCATACTGTAGCCAGAAGAAACAATTCACATGAGCATTTTCCGGTAAATCTTTCTTGTTACGCGAAATCCATATTTGGAAACTGTGCACCGTGACACTGCACTCCAACATTATGCAAATCTAGCAAACTTGCACCTGGCAACAATGCACATAGAATTTTATTGAGCACTTTCGTAATGGCGTATACGTAGAAAGTCTTGTGTGCTGTGATATGCTATTAGGCACCTCCACTTCATCTAATGCGACAACATTTCCAATACATATACAAAAAGTGTGTACCATTACACCAGCCGCTCCACGACCTTATTCAAGTTATTTTTAGACTTCCTCTCTTAATCACTCGGTGTAAGACGCCGGGAGCCACCGTACTGTATTGCGTTAGATGAAGCTGCTCACACCATTAGCTGTCAACCCATTCCTAGCAAGTCAACTACATAGTTCCAAACACGTTGTAAAGAATTCATTATGTCAAGCGATCAATTTTCATACGCATGTAAGCGAAAGACGTTGAGTAGGTTATCACAAGAAATCAAAACCCATCGAAAAGTGCCGAAGAACCAGTACCGTGGAGCTTTTTTGAGAATAGATGCCTATACATGCAAACTCTAGTGGCTCCGCTGTGGTGATTGACTTACATGAAGGCCATTTCATACTGATAGGCCAAAAATAGGTAATTTTGAATAGACCTATATTTTTGAAAAACAAATTTAATTTGTTGTCACAAAAGATCTACGTTTCAAGATGATGTGAGAAGCATGATGTTGTTATCATACCGTATAAAGCCAAAGTTTGGCGGCGCTATCTTCTTCTAGAACGTTCTTTAGAAACCAAACTTCACAAAAGCAGAAGAACCTTGGAATTATGGGACAGCACATTAAATCGCTTAAATTCAATGTATCGGAAGCACCATTTCTTAGAGATATGCTCTAATAAGCTGCAATGAATAGTAAAAGTATATATAATTACCACGTGCCGTAATTTATAACAAATCGATGGCCTCTTCATGGCTGCTATAAAGTTACTGTGTATACAATGCTGTAGTGTAATGTGATGAACTATCTGCCGCGTTAAGAAATTTCACGGGATCAGAGATTACTAATGTTGTTTGTGAAAGACAGTTTCAATCGGAAATATGTCATGTCTCGTAAACTTCTTTTAACTTTTATCAGCTTACGGCTTCGATCTCAAAAGTACCTGATGTCCCTTTTGATAGTAACACGGCTTACATGACTTTAAAATGATGAACGATGTTTCTTTTTTATGCGCATACGGCGCGAATAGTATAGTATTGTTCTTATCACTTATAATTATACATTTAATTAAAAGGCCTTGCACATGGACGATCTAGATATCACAACAAATAACATTATGCGCGGTAACATCTGTTGATTTGTTTGTCTTTAGTCCGCAATCAAATTCATAATAAATACCAAGGTGTGATTATGCTACTGCTGTATGGTAGAAACTCACAGTGACAAGCAAACAATGTGGATTTGTTGTGTTTTTAACCTTCTTTATGGATAGATATGCTTTTTTTCTTTTGTTTTTTTTTATTTTTGGTCCTTCATTTCACACGCAAAAGCAACATTGTCTTTTGTTTAACCCCACCTTTTCTTTTCATATCCAGTTCTCAGCAGCCATTTCGCAATGGCAGGCATAAAGCAGCACAGTCGATCGTCTAGTGCTCCGGCATCAATTTGGCATACGGAGAATGACGGGTTGGACGATCAACCAGTAGAGACATCTTCGACTCCTCATCAGCAAGGGCAGGCACCAAGCGAACATATTATAGTACGAGTCGGCTCATCAAATGCAAGAACGAACAATGCAAGGCGAATGGCACAATGGGATTTCGCTCCTATACTACCAAAGAAAGAATCTGCGATTGACCCGATAAAACGTCAAGTACCCTATAGCAGTAATAGAAGCAATGATATGGCAAGCCAGCATGTAAAACTTTCGCTGGCTCGAAAAAGGTTGATCGTTTTACTGGCATCTATTGCTGCATTCTTTGCTCCGTTCTCTGCAAACAGCTATTTTCCTGCAATGGGTAATATCGAAAAGGTAAATTTACATGACACTCAAGGAAAACTCATCTTTACTTACGTAACTCATATCGCTGTCATCAACAATAGGATCTTTCCGTAACATCTCAACAAGTGTGAGCATCACGAAGCATGATTAAAAAGTGAGAGCCTAAAAGTGATTATAGAACTGACCTTTTTTTCTTTATTTTAGAAACTTGTCGGTTACCGTGTTTATGATATTTCAAGCGATATCACCATCTTTCTGGAGCTCGCTAGCTGACAGCCACGGTCGTCGACCTATATACCTGTATACATTGTTTATTTACATTCTCGCCTGCATCGGTGTGGCGCTTTGTCAAAGCTACTGGTGGCTATTGACACTTCGGATGCTACAGGCCTTTGGAGCAAGTTCTGTTATAGCGATTGGTGCGGGCACCATATGTAAGCTTGGGCAATCCACTCAATTTCCTTTTATTGTATGAGAGAATATGGGTCCGTGTAGGAAAAAAAAAACTCATTAAATTGTAATTATATCATGAAAACAGCGGATATAACATCACCTGCAGAGCGTGGCGGCTATTTTGGATGGTTTTCACTTGGATGGAATCTTGGTCCACTGGTTGGACCAGCCATTGGTGGCTTCTTGTCAGAATTCATGGGCTGGCGCTGGATTTTTTGGATTTCAGCAGCTGCTTGCACCGTCCATTGGATTATCCTTGGTTTAATTCTGCCAGAGACTTTACGCACGCTTGTCGGTAACGATGGATCAGGATACGCTAATCCAACGCCGTCGCAGTGGTGGGACCGTCGAAAGCAACAATGTCGTTCAACCACCACAACGGTTGACGATGTGAATGATGACAGTAGCAGTTCTGTAACAACAGTAGTTGCTGACGAAGTGAAAAGCAGTAGAGATGGTAGTAGTGAAGTTGACGGCAAGCACGACGACGAGGAAAACGAGAAAAAACCAGAACAGAAGATCTCGTTCAAAACTATATTGGCCATGCCATTCCAATCACTTATATATGCCAAGGAAAAGGATATCCTCGCGCTACTGATTATCTACAGCACACAGTATGCAGCCTGCTATGCCATCACGACCTCTTTACCCTATCTGTTTACACGATTATATAGACTCACCGAGAGTCAGGTTGGCGCCTCGTACCTTGCGAACGGACTCGGTTGTATTGTTGGTGCCATGTTTCAGGGCAAGATGTTGAATCGAAATTATCAGAAAATGCAGCAGCAAATTGGTCCCGTGGTAGATGAATTGAGTGACGAGTTGCCCATCGAACATGCACGTCTGCGGATGTCCTGGCTTCATGCTGTCATATCAAATCTGATAATTGCTTGCTATGGATGGTGTCTCTATTTAAAAGCGCATTTAGCCATTGTTCTCGGACTACACTTTGTTTGTAAGTTGGGCATTGCTTTTTTCTTTATTTACTAAATTTTCTGCAAGATCACGATGACGAGATGTATTTTAAACATTTTATTGCTTTGTTTCCAACACAGTGGGATTTACATCGCAAGTTATATTTAATGCCGTACAAACATTGTTGGTGGACCTGTTCCCAGACAGGTCCGCGTCAGTGACAGCTACGAACAATGTTTTCCGCTGCTTGTTTGGAGCTCTTGCAACAACGCTAGTCCTTCCTACGATCCAATTGATAGGCGTTGGCTGGACGTTTACCTTGATATCGGCGATTTTGTTAGTGTCAAGGATCGCATTATACCTTGAAGTCAAGCGAGGAGCTTTGTGGCGCCGTGAAAGGATAGAACGAGCCCTCTAAATATTGAAGGCATACAACTACGTATCTAGCCGCCCTTTTTTGTGTATGTGTATCTAGTAGGAAAGAGACCTTTTTCTCTTTATAGTGTGCATAATAGATAATTTCTAATTCTAAAGCTCCTTATTGGAGCTTTGCGAGACATTTGTTATCAGTTGCAGTATTTGTGATTTTTCTCGGAGTTTTTTCTACTAGTTTTCCATGTGTGTATACGATCCATGTATCATTCAACTTATCACAGAGTTCTGCAGGCAGAGCCATGTAAATGAATTGAGTGTATGAAGAAAACGTAGGAAGCATAAAGAGTAGTATATTCAGAGCATGATCTGCTTCAGCAAACGCACAGCGTCATTTGTAGGTGGTCTCCTAGTACAATATAAGAAAATAGCATGTCTTCCAACACATCATGGATTGGCTTCCTTTGCTATCCAGCGACTATCCTTCAAGGTATAGACCTATTCGAGAAACAAATGACCGGTTGAGTAACCATACAAACAAGCAACAGTCCTTCAAACAAAAGCACATTACCGTCCGTTTTGGAGGGAACGAGGTATAGTCCAAATACTCGACTTCAGAGACTTTATAAACTAGCAGACAAAAATTATCCATGGCGATATCGTGTACGACCTGAGTCTCGTCGGTCTTTTTGCGTGGATCCGGTACGGTGTGCTTCAATGATTGGCATGTAAACGCGACCTTGTCAGCCTTTGGCATTTCCCCTCTTGATGGCCATGTAAACATGGCGCGTGCCTTATCATCCAATGCCTTCCACTGCTTTTGTCGTTCCTTTTCCCAGAACTCCTGTGCAGATAGTTCATTCGTAACGCGTGGTGGCGGGAACCGTGTCACCTGGATCGGTGCCGAAGCGATATAGAATCTGCCTGTGAGTTTGTAGTATTCTTTGGATTTGGGCATCGTCCTTTATTAACCAAGCAATAGCATGATGTTTTCGTCAGTTTAAATAATAAGGTTTTCTCGTTCAGTGGCTTCCGTACCATGAAAGACGAGCGTTGGGATCAGATTTGATGTCACCCATAAGCAGATTATCGTTCATAGCAAGTGGAAAATGTAAAAACCGAGGATCGTCTTCGAGAAACGATAGAAATTGGAGACAGTGCATAGATACATCGCCCGAACGCTTGATATTGGCCATCGATATATACACTAACAGATAAAGAAGCCATGAATATACAGCAACAGAAAGGAGCAGCAGCAGGTTTAAAGCATCAGCAACAATAACCACCTGGATCGTCAGTGTACAAAAAGTTTTTCGTGTAGCTTTTTTTCAACATGGGAAACCATGGTGCCGGCGATGGAGAAGCCAGAATGGGAGATGTGGGTGACGATGGAGAGCTCATGATGTTAAGTTCATGATACTCGTTCGAACCAGGTGGCACCAGCTGTTGTAAATTTTGATCATTTAATTGATCTGTTACACAAGTGCTTCCCGTCCATCCAGAAGAAATATGCCGCAAATGTTTCTGCTTGTATTTTGTATTTGTGTAGAAGAGCATATCATTGGGCTGTTTCAGCAAAAATAGATTTATTACGAAAAAGGTATAATAAGCAAGAACGGCCTTTTGTTTTTCTTGTTGTTCTGCTATAGTTGGCTTTTGATGATGGCTTGGAGGACGAGTCGATGTAGTGAAAAACAATAAATATCACGTTTTATATGGAGGAAATGTCGTATTCAACAGCTTGAATAGCGTCTGCAACATCCGTATAGAGCTGCCTTCGACCGATCAAATCCAAAAGCCCGCCCCGTTCTAACAGTGGCATCGCATTTGGATGTACTTTGACAATGTACACATGGATGTCTCGAGCATGGTATGACTCAAAGATTTCATATAGGATCTGTACAGCACTACATAGATAGCCAGCATTTAGGAGTGAATACACTTTCTCTGTTGGTAGAGGCACAGAGCATCAGGTAGAACTATACCTTGCGTCGATGGTCTCCATTCCGGCCAGGTCAAAGATGATATAACTCAGATTCTCGTCACTACGTAGAGGAGCTTCGGACGGATGAACCGACAAATCGCCGTAATGCTCAATACGCCGTAATCTGTCCTTTAGCTGTCCTATAAATATATAGATTCATAGTGTATAGCCCATGCATACCAGACATGCATTGCATAATAATAATGTGTTCAAGTCAATAAAAAAAAAACGAGCAGCACCATTATAGAAACGTGAACAAGATCTTATGTAATGCATAATAAGCATGCATTGTATAGAGGATGTTATCTTACCTGTATTGACAAAGTAAAGCGGTTCTTCAACACGAACAATCAAAACTTCTTCCAAATGCTCGACGAGTCCCCGACTATTTTTAATCGGACCAAACTTGTATAACGTTTCTTTGACTCGTCCCTGTGCGTGTAGATGAGTTAATAGGTCCGAGTTAGGAAACGACCGTTCCCCTTCTTCTTTTTTCCTCCTCCCCTGTCGATCTCCCATTTCTTTCTTAAATCATGCACAGATATTCTATCATCATCATCACCACCCTCCTCCTCCTTCCACCCCTCTTATTAACAAGTTATATCAAAGAGGGAACATACCATGACAGTGATTCGAGGATAGCTTGTCTGTCGGATCGTAATGATCAAACTGAACAAAACAGCAATGGCCGTGCCGTATTCGAGTGAGAATGCCATAGTTGTTGTGAATGTGGTGGCAAGCATAGCGATATCCTGCCACGCATGCATTTTCCACATGAACTTGAGATCATGGGGAAGCTCGTGCAGTAGAGCCATCACCGCCATGAAAATGATGCTGCTCAGCATCGCTTGCGGTAGATAGTAAAATTGCGGCAGCAACAGTCCGGTCACCACCAGTGTTGCAATGCCCGATACCAAACCTGACATTTGTGTCTGCGGGTTAACGGCTTCATGCACTTTGCTTCTCGATAACTATAGATCATATCACACATAATTAGCTCTATCTGTCAGTAAGGAGAAAAAGTAATAGCATGAATTCATGATGCTCTTTTTTCTTGTCTGGGATGATGATGGAGAAGGAGAGAGAGCGAGAAGGGGGCTCAGGGAGGAAAATCATTTTCAATAAACGGTATAAAGAAAAATAGAGAGCAGCGAGGGGAGAATGATTGAAAGCTGGGGGGGGTGGGGTGGTGCGTCGGTTGAGAGCAGGTAAGATGAAGATAAAGGCCAAGGCAAATGGTGATGATGGAATCTTACCGAGCCAAATGCAGGAAATGTTTGAAACATACTGCCGATGACATTGGCTGTCCCAAGGGCCACCAACTCACGATTGGCGCTGACAAAGTAATTATGCTTGCGAGCAAACATTTTAGCCGCGGCAATGGACTCGACAAAGCCCACAGTGGAAATCACAGCCGCATTCACGACGACGCTCTTGATATCAGCACCCTCGGGTAACGATGGCCAGCTCGGCAATGGCAGTGGCGCCTGGTTTTGCGAGCCAACCTGTCCCAAGACATCAATGCCCAGCTTGTCCAAACGAAAGATACGGCATACAGCTGTGCTCACGATGACAACCAACAGGACCTCGGGAATGCGTTTCAATAACCCACCATTCATCCTGCGCTTTATAAAAGGAGCCATCACCAACGCACATAGTACACATGCAGAAAACAGTGCCGTGGGTGGGTGAATCGCCTCGAGATGAGTAGCGATAAATGCGACTCGCTCCAACGATGCAGAACTGGCACCAATACCGGCCTGCTTGGCCACATCGTCCATGCCGAGAAGGGACACCGTCTGTTGGATCAGGACAACTACCGCCACGCCAGTAATAAAGCCTCGCAATAAGGCACGACTCATTAAACTGTCCAAAAAGCCAAATCGTAATAGGCCCAGTCCGAGCGTAAACAGGCCAACAAACAATGCAGTAAGGCTAGCGATTGCAGCTGCGGTCTCTGGATCCATGGGTTTCTGATGAGCAATGCCGGCACCCACCATCAAAGACACAGTTGCTTCCGGTCCTACAGAGAGTTGCCTAGATCATCATATGTATCGTTTTTGACAGAAAATTTTCTACCGACTTAGTGTTACGTACAGAAAAGGGGGGCAGTACTACGTAAAATAGACACTTACGGAGACATGCCCAAACATGCATAAACCAAGGTCGATATCGAAATCGTGTATAAGCCGTGGATGGCAGGAAGACGACAGAGGCCGGTGGCATAAGAAAGTGCTTGTGGGATGAACAATGACGAAATGCTCAGCCCTGACAGAATGTCGGCAGTAAACTGCTGGGTAGTATAGTAAGGCAGCCATTGGAGCATTGGGATATAGTAGATCAATCGTGTTTTCAATGTGGACCATGCCATTTCTGACTTTGGCGTATCGATTTTGGCCGAGAGAACTATAGCCGACGACAAATCATTGATGATGATGATGATGATGTGTCAATATCCATGCACTGCTACAAGGTATGGTTCACTAAGTAGTCATAGTAGAGATAAAGAACGTTTACTTGGGCTTGGAGTATTTCCTGCTAATGCTTCCATGGCACTACAGTTGTTGTTGTTGTTGTTGTTGTTGCTGTTGTAGCAGCATTCGTTGGGAGGAGGTGTGGTGGAAAGGTAGTGCTGATGGGAGGCGCGATGCGCCATGAAGGCTGTTGTTTCGTTTGGCGTAGAGGACAGTGTGCTGCTGCTACTATCGTCCTGGATGGATGCACTGGTGGCAGTAGTAGCGATACTGCTGCTGTCATTGTAGTTTGGATCTGTAGTAAAATGATAATCAGCTAAATATAGATAGCTGTGGAAATGATCGTCACTGTGGACAGTAGAAAATGAAAGACGCACGTTGATTTGGATTGAAGAAGGGAGAGGTTGTTGTAGCACTAGGCGTCATGGTGCGCACACATGTATTTATCCAGTATAGAGACTGCTGCTTGAAGCCAAACGAGGGACAACAAAAGGGAAAAAAAAGGGACTTTATAGACTTTCCCACCTTTTGCACAAGAAAAAGTATCTTTTGAACGGTCTTAACAAGAGATGGTGTAGTCAAGGTATTTCTGCCATCACACCAACAACAACAACAACCAAACAGATATCCGGCCCTCCTCCTCCCCCTTTCTTCTGGCTATTAATCATCGTCCGTCTTTGATAATGCGCAAAAAAGAGAGCCCCTTATCCTACTTGGTGAGTGAGCTCCTCACCTCCCTCTTCAGGAAGGTCCCCCCCCCCACCCACCCAACGATATAACGACGGTCCCGTTTGCAATTACTCGACTACAGCACAGGACACTATTAGGAAACAGCCAGATGCACCTTATAAACCAAACAGACAGGTTTCAGCAGCGAGTGCATTCCAATTGATACAAAAATAGGGGAGGGGAGGGGATGGGAGTGCTTACACACCCCTCTTTCTCTCTCTCCCCCAATGAGAGAGGTGGCTTTTTTTTTTTTTTTCCACCTGAATCAGATGATCTGTCTGGGTGATGATATGAGCGGAGGAGGGGGGAGCATAACTACTGTGCGAGTGTGGAGTTTCTACACAGCGCAAGACCCGAAAGACAGTCTGTTTCCCGTTCCCCTTCCCAACCTTTTCTTTTTTTTTTTTGCTCCGCAACTGCTTTGGCAAAAAGAAGGACAGAGACGTTTTTGTCAGTAGAAACATTGCTCTTTTTCTCTTCTTCTCTCAATCTGTGTAATCCATTTGTCAACCGTCACCACCACCGTCAGCAACAGCCAGCCTATTTACTTCCAACAGCCCCCCTTACTTTTTTTTCTTTTTGTTTCTCTTTCCCCCCCCTCCATAACAAATCAAAAAGTAGCCCACCATTACGTTCAACACTCCGAGCCAGTCTATTCCCGTCAAAAAGTCCAGATTAACTCTCATGGATATTTGCGGACCCGAAGATCTCTCACCACCTGCCACACCACCGAGCTTCTTTGCGTCGGCTTCCTCCTCCTCCTCCTCATCATCAAAACAACCCAGCACAAGCAACCCAAACAACAATCACAACAACAGTAACAACAGCAACAACAACAACAATCCTAACAAACGACCCACTTCACGTCGCCTCTTGTCTGAAACGAATCCAGCCCACCTGGCCAACTTTTTCGACGACGAGCAGCTCGACCATATCCGACACTTGAAATCGTCGTTCCAGCAGTTGACACCCCAACAAAAGCAGTTTTTGCTGTATGAGATAATCAACTGCTGCGACAGCTCACAGCTCACCTACCTCAACAGCCTGATTGCACCCCGTTTGAAGATTGACTTTTTGAAAGAGTTGCCCATCGAGGTGTCGTTGCATGTGCTCTCCTTTATTGACGACCCCAAGACACTGGCAAGAGCTGCGTGCGTCTCCACGTTCTGGAACTCCCTTTTGCGAGACGAGGCAACATGGAAGTCGCTGTGTATGAAGCACCAGTACCGACGACGGAACTCGAGTATATGCGGTGGAGAGTTGCTGGACCCGCCCTCGCAGCGACTGGACTTCTCGTACAGGGAGTACTTTAAGCGCAAATACAACATCGCTGCAGCCTGGGCGCACGGTGGCGATGTCCAGGTGGTCGAAGATGGATTCGGCGAAGAGCTGGTCACGTCACTGCAGTTTGATGAAAAGTACATTGTCGTTGGCTGCGACAACCATCGCATCGAGGTGTTTGATACCCAGACAGCACGCAAAGTCCGAACGCTTGAAGGGCATGAAGGAGGCGTATGGGCTTTGCAGTTTAAAGGAGGTGATAAGCATGACCCGGAGCGTGTGCTTGTATCCGGCGGCTGTGATCGGTAAGCACCTTTTTCCTCTCTTTTTACCACTTCTTCTATCTTTTACTGACAGCTACTTTGGCCAATAAAGTGACGTTCGCGTGTGGGATCTGAACAACGGACGATTAAGACATGTCTTGCGTGGCCACACCTCGACGGTCCGATGCTTGAAGATGAAGGACAAGCGTATTGCAGTGACGGGAAGCCGAGACGCCACAATGCGCGTGTGGGATATCCAACGGGGCGTGCTCTTGCATGTCCTGGTGGGCCACCAAGCCAGCGTGCGGTGCTTGGACATTTGCGGCAACATGGTTGCATCCGGATCATACGATTCCACAGCACGCCTGTGGGATATGCGGACGGGCCGATGTCTGCATGTGCTTGTGGGCCACTATTCGCAAATCTACGCCATTGCCTTTGACGGCCAAAAGGTGGTGACAGGCAGTCTGGATTCCAACATTCGGGTCTTCTGTGCGTCGACCGGTCAGTGCCTGAAAACCTTACAGGGCCACACATCATTGGTCGGCCAGCTGCAGCTCAATGGCAACTCGTTGGTCTCTGGCGGCAGCGACGGCTGTTTGCGTGTCTGGGATCTCCAGACGTACGAATGCGTGCAACAAATCTCGGCACACGACAATTCGGTGACTTGCTTGCAGTTTGACGATCGTCGTATGGTCAGTGCGGGCAATGACGGCCGCATCAAGCTGTGGGATATTCGACAGGGCCGCTTGATCCGCAGCTTCTCACAGCCTGCCAAGACTGTGTGGAAGATCCAGTTTAACGACACAAAGGCGGTGGTGTTGATGCAGCGACGGCAGGCGGATAATCCGGAGCAAAACAAGACGGTGATGGAGGTACACAACTTTGACCTTGACCAGCCACCGCATCTCCTGCAACGACAACAGCATCAGCACCACCATCATCATCATCATAATAACCACCACCACCACCACCATCCTCATCATCCCCACAATCCGCATCGTACGACAGAGGCCGTGCCGACATCTTCTTCTTCTGCATCCTTCTCCTCACTCTCATCCTCCTCTGCCACCATGATGGATACCGACGAGCCATTATAATCCTCACCCATCGTCTCACATATTTATTCCCCATAATTTCAATGCTTTTTCTTTTCATCTCTCCAATTTGCTTCATTCATAACTCTCTTTTCTCTCTCTTTTTCTTCCCCCAGTCTTTTTCCATTCATGTTGCCCATCTCCACGCACTCTTTCTTGTATACACACATCCTTGTCAGAGTAATTGAACTGTTTTGTTGGGCAAAAAATTCTGTATACTGTATTCTCAATAAACCTTTTTTTTTTCTTTCTTTTTGATTTTTGACGCATCATAAAAACTCACTTGACTCTCATCAATCACGGCAACGCCAAATAGCTTGACTTGACAACTTGACATTTTTTCTGGATTGCATATGCGTTAGATCGATCATGTGCTTGACAGCCCGCAGTACATCAATACGACCAGCATCCGTATATTGCTGTGGTATGCTGTACTCTCTATTAAAGCATGCATAGCGTAGCTTTGTAGTCAAATATAGCGGGACCCTAGATTTGCCCGCAACGTAATTCAGCTCGCCGTAAATTACGATAGAGGATACGCGTGTCTGCTTTAACTATCTGTACTTTGTTCAACCCCTCTACGTCTCTTCACGCCCCTCTTTCTTTTTCGACAATGAACAAGTTTGTCGAAAAATATGCCTCATCGGCATTTCAAATGCCACTCGATGGTGGTCTAGTCAACATGCAGGGCAAATGGGATGCTGCCCAAGAACTCGCTTATCCTACCTTTGACATTCCTGATGTCCACAACGTAATTCACAACCTCGTCTCTTTTCATTTTATCCCCAATCTCGTGTTAATTTTGCCTTCCTTGGAGCTGACAGTTATATACAATGGGCTTGACATGTAATTATAGCCTGTTGATTTCCTTCGAAACGTGACCGATGAGGATTCACCAGAATACAAGATCAAGATTCAGCACGGTACAACTACGCTTGCTTTCCAATTCCAAGGCGGTGTTGTTGTCGCTGTCGATTCGCGTGCTACTATGGGCAACTATATTGGTAAGTTAAACGATGAAACGAGATCAAGAGGAAGCAATAAAAGAGAATACTCACCCATAATGAAAACACGGGAAAATAGCCTCGCAAACGGTCAAAAAGGTGATCGAGATCAATCCATATCTGCTCGGTACCTTGGCCGGTGGTGCTGCAGACTGTCAATACTGGGAACGTGAGTTGGGCCGTCGATGCCGTCTCTATGAACTTCGAAACAAGGAACGCATTTCGGTTGCAGCAGCAAGCAAATTATTAGCAAATATGGTCTATTCGTACAAGGGCATGGGCCTGTCCATGGTGCGTTTTGCAATTTTGGCTTTGGGTACGCGTAATATCTGCTTTGATTTTAGAGGCTAACTTGTTTGTTTTGCTTTTAGGGCACAATGGTCACTGGTTGGGATAAGTCTGTAAGTATTGATCGAGTTGTTTTGCAAGAAAATGGTGAAGAGGGAGGCCTATATGGCTACGAGACTTAACTTGTATAAATTTATGTATATACGTAGGGACCCAATTTGTTCTATGTCGATTCAGATGGCCAGCGATTGAAGGGTGACATCTTCTCGGTTGGCTCTGGCTCTACATTTGCATACGGTGTATTGGACAGTGGATACGATTACGACTTGTCAGTAAAGGACGCCATCGAACTCGGAAAGCGATCCATCTTCCATGCCACACATCGTGATGCCATGTCTGGTGGTTCTATCAACTGTAAGTCATATCGAAAGACCGAGGGCATACGGAGGTGAAATGACACTATTAGAAACTAAATCCATGCTTTCTGTCTTTTCTTGATTTAAAGTATATCATGTCACTGAAGAAGGATGGACATACCACGGCAACCACGATGTCGGACCGCTCTTTTTCGAATACCAGGATGAAATGGCAAGATCACGGCGATAAACCGGCCGTGCTGAATACACATACATTTCTCTCTCATGATTTTAAAAAAAGAAACATAAAAAATCGATGTTGGATTAAATGGGATGATTCGCGTCAGAAAAAAAAAACGGAAATAATGGAATATTTCTCTGGATTGACATAAATGAGGGCAACATAATTCGGAAGTGTGGAGATACCAGGTGCGGAAGCTATTGTCCAAAATGTAAAGAACATGGCCTGTTTTTGCTGCGCATGTGATGTACTTGATGAGCAAAGCAGTGTCTTCCTAGAGTCATTCTGCAATAACTAAACAGGAGAAAGAAGACCACCGACCATTAAAAAAGAGAAAGATACGTACGTACTGTAGCCGTACGCTTGTGAAATGAAGGCTTAGCCAAAGATGGCCACAGACTTTGCAGTTGGTCCCATATTTGTTATCACTTCCCATCCAAAATGTACATAGTTGAAAACGCTCTGGATAAAATTTGTTCAGTAGTGGTGCCATTACACCATTAAGACATAGCTAACCGGGACGACGTTAAAAAAAGAATGGGATAGGCAAGCAGTATCAAAATCGTGAGCTTACCGCCCAGAAAGCATGGACGAAGGAACAAACACAAAGTCACGACAGCTGAAAAAAAAGATCATCCCATCCAAGAGCTTTCACTAAAACTAGGTGGATAAAGCACCAAGCTGGACGATAGCAAATAGATCAACACATATACCAAGTGAAAGACCGGGTCAGCTATGCAAGCGTCGTATCAATTGACACTCATAAACGTAAAGACAAGCAGCTGAAGAGACGGCAAGCACATTTGTGCATTGCGAATCTGCTGGAGCAGCCATAAATTTGCTGCTTATTCGGTGACACTTGTCACTACTTCGTTGCTGCTGTTGTTGAGATTTTACTCTTCCTTCGAGCATAACGGAAGAAAAAGCGATACTGCATCTTTACTACATAACTACCAACTCGAGGATATAAAGAGCTACCACCTCTGTCGAGTCGATATCACAGCGGTAATGCTATAAAAGAGCGACCAGGAGATTGAGGTGGTGATGTATTACGAACTAAAGTAAAACGTTGAAGTAAGACGGGAGCTCACCAAGAAGATAAAGAGAAAGAGGAGATATTGTAATGCTGCGGTCAACAGATATTCTTTTCATCTCGTTTCTCGTTTTGCAAACAATCTTCCCCAAGGTAGTTTAAAGACGGTGAGCAATACAGTATATGATGGGGCTATTATCGACCACCCCTCGGTGCGTCGTAATCATCCTGCTTCACACACACTCTACTGTAGGAAATTGCAGGCTAAACACGTAGATACTAATTTTCAGCATTTCAAAAAAAAAAAATTTCAACATTCTGTGTGGCTTTAAAGTGTGCATATACAAGGTTTTTGGAGACGCATATACCGGGTTTCTCAATGATTGACTACGCTTATACGACTCATCTGCCTTCATCTGAGACACTTAGGAGTGCCCGGGAGTAACAGACTAGTAAATCGATCGATGTCATCCAAAGAGCAAAAAGGCTTTCATCCAATTAGTCTAAACTTTGCTGCAACCAAAAGACATAGTCTCCTATGATCTATGATTTATGGTATCCTCCAAGTTTGCGCGTGATTCATTCAGAGACCATGACATGTTTTGGTCGCTTCCTTGTAATAGTATAGCGTGAGGTAAAAGCAAATGATATAATGAGTGCTATGCGATAACGGGCTGCTGCCGGGATGACTGACTGACAACTTAAGCTGTATCATTAATGTTTTCCGGAACAACTCAACATGTACTTGGCTATCTATTCATTAATCTATCTTTATCCAAGAGGACCGTGATCATGCCTAATAGCTGGATTATGACACAAAGCACATAGCACAGATGCATTTACATATAGTCGTTGTGTCAGTCGGAACAGTTATGTTTCACGCAGGTATGGGCTCATATAGGCTATATAGTCTATATCTTGGTTGATGTAGCGTTATAATTTACTGAATCGTGCGCCTATGCAGCCAAGAGACGTGTTCTGCTGCTGCCTCACAACTGTGCACGTCTGTCTAGTATACCTGTCTATGTAAAACCACTTTCTCTTTAAACTAAACTAAGTCGATAGCGGTAAAAGCCGTCTACTGCCGGTACCGTCACCATGATATCCACTATTAATCAATTACTGCATAATGAAGCCCACGATCGCACGAATGTTCAATCCAGGCGTTTTTGATTTTTGTTATTGAACTAAGGTTCCCGTACGTGCTCATTCTAAAGAAGACGCCTAATCTACACTCTGAGTGTTCCGAAGCACTGCTACTGGACAATGGAGGGTGTTTAAAGAAGACACAGATCGCTACTTTAGTGTCATGAACACCGAATCAGATTTGATCGCGTGATCTATAAAGTTGACACGCTATATCTAGCCTAATGACCGATCGCATTATATCTTGAAGCGTTCTTGGACGTTTTCTAGGCATCCCCATTATGCAACAAAGCGTGAGATTAGTCCGTTTTTGAAAAACCCTAGATCTCTGGATATCAAGCCGTGTCTTCACATTTTCTACCAGCATGTGCCCCGGCGTCTGGCGCTCATAGTGATGCCTTCCACTTTTAAAGCGAAGTTGTTGAAAGCAAATTAGAAGAAAAGGCGTCAAGAAATATAATTTACTTGTGGAAGCTCACATTGCGAGCTTAAAAGCCCAGTTTTTTCAATGGGCCAGTTACAAACACAAGTGTCAAGGCCATATTAAATCCCCCAATTTCATGCATGGCAGTCAACGTCGGCATAACATTCTGCCATGACATTTCAGCCAATCACAGGCCTCTAAGTTGTCTATCCCCCTGCCAACTCAGTTTTCGCCTTCTCTTTCCTCTTCTGCCCACCTTTTTAAACCCCATAATTCCTTGCACACGTCATGTCACCTCATCAACCACTTTCGTATTCTTGTCTCAATCAATGGTTACTGACTGATTACTCTTTTCTCCTTTTATTTTTTCAACATAACTGTAGGAATCGGTCAACAACAGCACGCGACTGATGGCGACGTTTCCAAGCGTTTAGTTCCATTCCCGACTAGTAGTTCTACGACCTGTCGCTCATTTGTTTGAAATGCGTGCATTCATGAGGAGGTTGAACCTGGAATTAGCGCTGCACAGGGCCTATTCAACTAGGTGTGTGCAAGAGGCTTGTGAGGTCTACATCAACAAAAAGCCGAGTGAAACCCTCCCGCTTACTTGCATTGTGAATGGAGTTTAGCTTCTCCCGGCACCTTTTCAACCTGGAGCCGACGCGTCAGCGAAGATGAAGTTCTCAGTCATGGACCTGTGAATGCACGCACTTGGACATTACAACTACGAGCGCAAATACGCATACGACTACGACTACGACTACGAATACAACTACGAACGCAACTACGAATACGAATACGAATACGAACACAACTACGAATACGAATACGAATACGAATACGAATACAACTACGAATACAACTACGAATACAACTACGAATACAACTACGAATACAACTACGAATACAACTACGAATACGGCTACGACTATGAATACGCATACGAATACAACGAATACGAACACGAATACGCGTACGCATACGACTACGACCACGCATACGAATACAACTACGAATACGGACACAACTACGAATACGAATACGAACGGTACAACGAATACAACTCAACCAAAGGAAAAGAACAAGAATAGGAGATGAAGAGAAGCAAAACTTGCAAGTGAAGTGCAGGTTGACTGTTGGTTATAAAATCTGTATCGTTCCTGCTTTAGCTTTTGCTTTTGCTTTGGCTTTGGATTCATTCTCGAATGAACAATATTTTTGGAAGCTAAAGTAGTGGCACCTCTTCGTGGTAGCTTCTGGAAACATTGCTATCAAGCAGTGACTAAGAGCACTACAAATATCATAGTAAACATAATAATCTAATAAATGACTTTTCATACAAAAAGCATATTATCTCTATGGTCTTTGATACTTCTTTGCTTGGTTTCTTTATACGTCTTCTTGGTCGCATGCAATCTCGAATCATTGCAAAAAACAACATTGAATGGTTTATTGGCGTCATAAGAGTTATCGTTGCTGAGCGTTATGCTGCATCCACCGGTGGATCCCGCCTGGTCTGTCAAAGGTGATGGGTACATAAAGAGCATTTGTGACGAAGCGGCCCATTCGTTTGGGGATGCGTCAGTGGTTGCCTGGTATATGTAGTTTGCACGGACAATCCTATTTACTTATAAAGGAATAGCACTAATAGCAGACCCAGTTGTATCATCACCTTGTATTAGGCGAATGCCATCCACAACGGCGACTGCATACATGCGCAAAAAATGGCATAGAATTTCGGTCACTGTTATTAAACCTCTCTCTCTCTCTTCCTCTTCCTTTCTCTGTTTGTCTGTGTGGATATCCTTGTAGAGGGCGCTGTTTGTATGCAAATATTTGGGTTGGCAGGTTTAATCGCTCGCTAAAATGGCGACATATACACCTCAGTGACTGATTCTTAGTTTCGCATCCACTTTTAGTAGGTAATGTATGCGAACTTCATGACCACACCAGTGTTTTCAAGCTGGTTTCCTCCGTTGACTTTGCCTTTGCGATGAGCTTCTTAGCTTTACTTTTACTATGCACCCAGCGCAACTACAGAAGAACCCGTTAATTACAACCAGAAGTGTCCTAAGATTTGTTGAAATGAATTAATCGGGGATGCCAAATGCCTAAAACTGTGGCACTGGAAATCAATGCAATTGGTAAAGGCTGCACTTCTCGTCAATTTACTGTATGCACGTACTCAGGGATCGTAATACATACTACCTAAGTAGGACGAGTGGAGCATATATTTCTCCTGCCTTCATCATATTTAAAAGAATGCCTTTGGCATCTGTAAATGGAAGCTGAAGCTAAAACAGATGTGAGGACTGAGGTGATAAACTAAACCAATAGAATACGTTACCAAAGAAGCTATTAAATGTCGTATTTGTGGCGATTCGTGCAACCGTCACTGAGCGGATTGTGCACATCGTGCAATTTGTTGTTGTAATGCTGCTTATATTGTGCGTCGCAGTTCCTGAATACCTGTGGTTTAATACACCACTGCTGTACCTTCAAAAGTAAATAAATATGATTTAGACAATAAGCGGTCTTTACCCAATGATGACTGGTTGTTATTTATATCGAGTACCAGTACACAGTTCGTTACGTCTTATGGAACAAAGTTACACGTTGAAGTTCTGTTATAGTTCCACAGTTAATTTTTTTTTAAAAATGAAAAATGATGTTGCTCATTGCATGAACAGACTTAACCATAAATTTATATATGTAGGCAATTAACCATCTTATGCTCGTCGGTGCAGCACCTACTTGCATTTTCCTCAAAATTGACTGTACGGTTTTATTTAAAAATATAATACCACTACATTATATCCATTTACAGTAGGCATTTTCAATATGTATCTTCTTCATATTGCTGCCGCGTGCCTTTCTCCAGTTACATTCTCTTTCAGTTCAACTACTTTCTCTAACTTATCATCTTCACCATTACTACTGCTGGTAGTATCCGATGGGTCTCTTGCCGGGTTCTTTTTCCCTGAGTCGAGATGTACTCTTCGTGTAGCTTCTTTGTTACGTAGGACGATCAATGGCCCGCTAAAGATCTAAAAAGATAGACCGGCATTGGCATTTAATGAATAAAAGAAGTACGATAAATACGTGCACTTAAAAATTCGTTTATTTCTTACCGGCTCCATATCTTCCAATGATCTTCCACGAGTTTCTGGGACATAAAGCCACGTAAACATTGTCATTGCCAGTACCGTACTACCAAAGAAAAAGTAGGTGCCATAGGTCAACTGTGTGATCATCAAGGGTGTCACTTTGGCAATTACAGCATTCATAGCCTAATTATATATAGGCAAAGGGAAGATAAAACAGATCAGAAATATGCGAATTCCTCGGCGCTGCAATTCCTTAGATGATACCGTTACTACAGTATTACTCCCAGTTCAATCCTCTGCATAAGGAATCACTCATAGATGGGTGTTACTTACCAAATATATAGCTAGGAGGATACGTAGCAAAAAAAACGAAGCGTGTTATTTATCAATTTTATCGAGTAAATTGAGCAATAGTACTGGAAATGATCTATCATAATATCAAGCTTACCCATTGTGATCGACATGCAGATGGCTCGAATGCGTGTTGGAAAAATTTCAGCGCAAATCACGTACATCAGAGGACCTGCGATTTATATGTACAAAAGAAATTGTTAATATTGCTGCATGTATGTATCTCACTATCAGTATCCAACTCTTTATATTGTGCATGTACCCCAAGAAATTTCGTAACTATGATAGAAATTTTAAGAAAACTGTGAGTATTACTGAAATGTTAGCCACCCATTGACATGTCAAGACTATACTCATTCAAAATTGTTACCCAATAGCAAAAAGGAACAACATGACCATAGCAGCATAGCCTTTACCGCTTACTGAAGACGTTATGCCTGCGGCTGCGGCTACGGCTTGTTCCTTTTCAATGTACATAAGAAGTGCACCCAAGATGTAGAATGAAATAAACATGATGACTGATCCAATGATAAGCGAGTTTCTTCGACCAAAGAAAGGATGGTCCACCATAAAAAAGAACACAAACACAAACACGACCTTGACCGCACCTGGAGTATAGTATGAAAAAACATATGAGTACACATGTTTTCCTCAATCAACGTAGGAGATTTACAAAGCTCAGCGAACAACGATGATCGAAAGCTTACCATAGATACCAGTGGCGAGAATGTCTACGGAGTCACCAGTTACGCCGAGCTGACGTACCATTTCAGGGGCGTAGTAGTTCTAATTAAAATATACCATCATCATGGTAACGTTGTTTATCTCAGTATTTTTATCTTACTGGCACTATCATAAAACTAACGAAGCACTCACTATAGCATTTGTACCGGTCCATTGCTGGCATATACCGATGATAATACCAATGATCAGCCTGCGAACATTAGAAGGCTTGCGCATTTCAGCCCATCGCGTTGCTTTCCCCTCTTTTTCATCTTCGATCGAAGCCAGAATTTCTTCTATCTCTTCTGACACCTTCTCATGAGTTTCGGGCAATACACGGAGTCGACTGAGCGTTTTTCTCATTTCGTCAACTTTGCCTCTAAATATAGTGAATTGTTTACAAACTTTGTATTAGTAAAACTGCTGCTATACCTTTTATTACTCTCGCTGACTTGCTGCTGTATAAATATATAGCACATACTTGCTTCCCAGCCAACGTAAGGATTCAGGAAGGAAAAACATGCCAATAAACATAATTCCACCCGGTATGATTTGTATTCCGAGTGGCGTCTTCCATTGTATGTGGCCAACGGGTAAGTGGCGCAAGCATGCATAATCAACCCTAATAAAACACCATTTGGGTTTGATTTCAAACACTTTAAGCTTCTTTTCCCATATAGCTTTGTACAAAAGCAAAATCCAATAATGACAAATCTTCCTTTCGAACGAGACTAGTTCTACCGATGTATATGTGTTATGTACGTACCAATATGAAAGCATGATGCCAATGACAAGCATAAATTGCCACAAATTGGCCATTCTACCACGGCTGTTCTTATCAGAAATTTCAGCAATATATACAGGAACGACGTTTGCACAGGCCCCGACGCCCACTGATTTAAATCATAAATCAGAACCAATTTAAATCAGTAAGCTTCGTATGTTGTCTTCTTCATCTATAAATCATAACAATATTTTTCTTGTGCATGTTCTCCTTATAGTACATGATTTGCTGTTTAATACTCACTACCACCAACAAATCGTCCTGCCATCATTGCAGCGACCTATTTATTGACGTTCGTCAAAATGTGCCGTGTCATTGCTGTACATAAAGCATAAATTTCACAACGAGCGAAAAGTAATACATACATTAGGAGAAACTACTTGCACAACACTTCCGATGATAAAAACGGCTGCACACACAATAATAGCCGTACGTCGACCAAAAGGATCTATATCGTTGTTTGCAAAAACACATAAAATGGTCCAGTTACTGCCTCTTTGCTTTAAACATATAGTTGGCCTGTAATGCTACTGTACTACGGCCTTTTTACGAACCTGCAGCAAGGTTAATTAGAATGCTTCCTACACAGCCACCAGCTTGCATCATAGACACAATATCTCCTTTAACACGCGCTTCGTATACAGCATCTCCTTGCATTCCGAAAAAAGGACCAAATGTTGGCATTATCAGTACGCCTTTTTGTTTTATGATGATGCACGACAACAGCGAATGTCGTTAAATTAAGTCAGCAAGCACAGACGATATCATTGGTAATAGCGTTAATAACGTTTTTGAAACTTGCCTCAGATTATTGGAAAATGAAAGAGGCGTATACATACCAGATATTACTCCTACGTCGTAGCCTGTAAGCATACCGCCCATAGATACGATAAAAACCGTTAGCAATGACAGGATTCGCATGATATTATGAATGATCAAGCCAAATGAATAAAGCAAAGAAGAAAGAGACTCGTAAATGATCGCATCCTCAGCATCATATGCATTTGTCAACAATGGAACTTCGTGAGAGATACCTTCAATCGCTTCCCACCCTATTTTACAAAATTCAATAGTATCTCTATAATGAGAAATCACCTTGAACTACCGAATTAACGGAAAAGTCTTATGTATTGGAACAAGCTCATAGCTATACCCGATTAATTTAACTTTTTCATTCTGTACATTCAATAGCGTGGAAATATTCTGACTGCAAGATTTGTAAAAGCAATAAAGTTTTGAATCCTGGGTTAATAAATTTGCTTGAATTATAAAAGGTTTTAAGACAAGCGTCATAATTAGAATAAAAAAATTCTGTCACCTGGTACACGATCTGGTACTGTAGTACAGCCTCACATACATAAAACGCGTAAGGTATGGTAATAATAATCCGAGTTCCTGTCGTGGGAGAAGAAAGCGATCGCGCACGCAAATTTCCCAGATATGTTACAAAACCACCATTAAGGATGTCTTTTACCAAAAGAAGCTTTCTCCACAGTTCTCATAAAAACAAGGAGCGTACTAAGGCAATACTAAGGCTGTTCCAGAAGAAGGGAGAAACGAGGTAGAGCATGATGCATATTGTATACCAAAAGCTGACAGCTTCAAGATCTACTTCTGCTGTCAATGTTTTTATATATTTGCACTACGTATTAATAAACGGTCAGTAATATTGCTGCGTAAGAACATTGGTTTTTTCATACAAAACCTATGCACAGAAAATTACAACTTTACCCGAGGTTCTCAGGGTCGATTTACGCTGCTGTCAGCTAAAAGGCGCGATATGATACCTGCTTTCTCGATTTGATATGCAGCTATGTTACACGAAGTTACTTTAAGCTGAGGTGCCATAGGGACCGCTGAAATTTCCCTGGCATCAGCCTCGGGTAAATATAGTTCCGGAGTAAATTCCCTGGCAACCTTCGGGAAAACTGATTACCCGGAAATACCAATACTACCATGCACCTTTTTTCGCGTTTTTTTTAAAAACAGGTATTTTATAGGTGAGAAAAAGAGATGAATAAAGTTAAGAAAAGTTTGACAAGAAATTGAAAAAAGCAGAATATTCTATAATAAAAGGTTTAAGAAAGAGATCATGGAAAGTGGGATTGTATACGGAAAAAAAGATGGCAACCATAGTTATGCATGTCGCGTGTTAGCATTTGTTTCGCGGTAAGTGGTGGGCAACGTGCGTCTGCGGCGTAATTGGGCTACATCACTGAGGTATTCGTCGATGTGGCCACCTGATAGTTGCTGATTGAACCGGTTGCGTTGCTGTTCGTTTATGCTAGCTCTGTATAAATCAGCAACTTCATCAAAACGCCTGTCTTCTTCTTCTAGTTGTAACACCAGTCGTCGTCGACGCTCCCGGCTCCGTTGCATCTCTATTTCAAAGTTGCGCGATTCTTGCTCCCTATCTGGAAGAACTGCAGTTTGAAGAGAAAGGAGGTCGCTTTCTGTTGTTGATTCATCATCACTGATAAAGATGATACTTTGTCGGGAAGGAGGAGGAGTAACAGGAGCAATATTGCGATTAGCAGTAGCAGAGGTGCGGGTCGAGGTCGTGGTGATAGTAGTGATAGTAGCAGCAGCAGGAGTTGTAGTGTGGATGATGCTGGCATTTGTGGTATCGCTGTTGTCATTGTCGTTGTCGTTAGCGAATCCCAAGTCTCTAAAAACGTTGTTGGTGTACTAAAAGCAGTAAAGAGTTATTTATCCTTCTACATAAAAAAATACAGCACACTACGATTTCTTAATATATATATATATACCGGTCTAAACGAAATAAACGGAACACTGGTTTGTCGCAAGATGAAATATGTTCTAGCTGCAAGTCGTTGGTAATTAGAACGCTGGACTAGATGCTTGCAGATTAGATACCGGTTTTGTAGGTAAGCCGGGCAGCCACAGGTCCAATTTTTAATAGAAGGTAAGTACAGTCGATCTGCCTGTATGTTCTCTGGTGTACGATACGCCTTATTCCAGTGTTTAACAAAGTTGTACGCCCATTTGGTGGGCTCGTTACCAGCAACCGTCAAGCTATTGAATTTGTCTTTTACTTTTGGAAAGTACTTGTCGCAAATAACGTATACAAGCATATCCAAGCGAGCACGAGGATGTCTGTACAGGTAGTTACATTTAAGAACCTTCCAGTGTGCTTCGATAAAGTTGTTGGCTCTGCCATACGGAATCCGATTTAGAACAACGCTACGCGCCCACAAACGCCATTGGTTGTATGTATACCAATGCTTGTACATATATATCCAAGCGTCAATTAATCGCCTGGCGCGGCAGTATTCGTAAACCTCTCTGGCAGCACTCTGGTGGATTTCATTGGCAGTTTCGTATTGATTACCTACAACAAATGTAGAGCGATAACATTTAAGCAAGAGCGTGAACTTAAGCAGCGACAGGTCTAATCCGCTAGTAATATATAAGTATAGGATACTACCATTAGGTATCAATGGGTGTCTGTTGTAGTGCTTTCTTACGAGATCGATGATAGCATCTCGATCTTCTTTTCTGCATATGACACCTCTACGACCGCCAATTGATGGGGTGAAGTCGTCACCAATAAAGCCAAACTCGGTTCTTGCTGCTAGGAGATTGTATGTTGGAATACTTGTGGATTTATTCTCGCCTAACTTTTGGCTTATGCTCTTGGCAATATGCCAGATGCAGAGTCGTAAATAACTCTCGCCAAAGACTTGCTGAACGGCATTGATCTGAGATCTGTCTTTGTCGGAAAACACGAAACCAGGATTTAGCCCGAAGTCTTTTAGTCTTCGTAAGAATGCTGCCAATGTGTTGGTTCTTGTGAGTTCTGGTGCTCCTTCGAACGAAGTATAGACCAGATACCCAATGGGATATCCAACGCCATTGGTCATTGCTACGATGCCAAACAACTCGCAGCCCGCACGATTGGTTTTGAACGTCGAATCGATGTAATACTCTTCAACGTATTGGCATGATGCCAACTTTTCAAAAAATGGAGTGATAAATCCAACAGCAACAGCATGATCATCTCGTCTCCAAAACATCTAATTTTTATTTAAGTGTATAAGATTCTATATGCTACGTTTGATTCTATCTGTCTCTAGCTTTTAAAGCAAAGAGAAGGTTGATGATTAGTAATTATCATATCACATACCTCCACAAAACCAATGTTGTTGTATCTTCGAAGAAGCAGGCGAGTTGATATCATTTGGTCGTCATGCAAGCGGTACATTGACTGGAATCCTACCGACCACCAGTAATATACCTGCATGGTCGTGAGGCTCCGCGTCATGTCAGGATACCTTGTTTTTACTGCCTCGTACAAAGTCGACGCATCGATACCCCGTTCTGTTGCTCGCTCGGTTATATATTGTCTTACAACCATGGGAACAGCATTTCGTCTTGTTTCTCGATCTGAATCCACTCGATCGTGATTAATCGGATGGCGAATGTTAAGTTCGATATAGCCGAGCTCCTTTTTAATAGTGCCTTTTACGCGACCATAGCATTCAAAAGCTGGAAGCCTATGGTTCATGCGTACAAGGAGATGTTCGGCCGTCTGTTGTTGTATCTCCTGGGATCTGTGACAATATGCTCCGAAGGAAATGTTTGTCGAGAGCTCTGGATCTCCAATATTTTTAATAAGATATGTGTATTGGTCGCATCGGTGCACTTCCTCCAATATCCTTTCAACTAAATCAGCTGGATCCATCGCCTCCATATACGGTTCAATACAGATATAACCATGAAATGCATAAATCTGCAACAATATTGGTTACTTATCTAAAGAATACAATTGGTCTATTACAAAGCTACACATACCTCGCTTCCGTCAGTATCTGCATGAGCAGGGTAAACCTCATGCAACTCATCCAACTGCAGCATATCGTCCAAAGCAACGATTTCTAGAGGCGTTCGCTCAAAGCGGCAAGGGGAGCAAGTCCTAAAAGGCTTTGTTGCGCCTCTGAACAGGCGTCCTGGTTTGGCCTGGTAACAATCAGTACACTCGTAAGTGCTTTCCTCGTCAAACGTGCCTTCCGCAATTGAACGAATCTGTGGATGACCAGTGTTGCCGCGATTACGAAGACGAAATGCATCACCGGTAATGGGGTTGATCGGTGCTCCACCAGAAAAAATATCAATGGTAATGTCACTGTTCATTTCGTGTACGAGAAAGTAGTAATAGGAACAAGGATGAAAATAATTATAACAAACAAAAAAAAATTGGTGCATGGTGGTATAGGTATTCCCGGGTAATCAATTTTCCCGAAGGATGCCAGGGAATTTACTCCGGAACTATATTTACCCGAGGCTGATGCCAGGGAAATTTCAGCGGTCCTATGAACCGCTTTAAGCTGCTAGCGTGGATCGATAAAAACTTTCTACGAGAGTGCTATGTTATTGATATAATAAGGTAGTCTAAACACTGCTAATAGTGGAGATCGATAGAGTATATGTAAAAGCTTCCACGTTCTTGTTTCACATGCGTAGTTAAACCAGAACCATGTACAAGACAAATGAACTGCCACGGGCAGGAGCAGAATGTGTTTATTGCATACACTAAAACATTAGACATCGATGGCTTTGCTGGGAAAAGCTTATTATCGAAGTTTGGGAATATTTGCTCAGTTGTTATCGACCGATTTGTTTAAACTACTTAATCGTTCTTTCAAGACGGCTAACGGCTCTTTTTGTAGACTAGAGGCAGCCATGCTTTGTAATTTGGACTTTTGCTCAGAAGATACTATAAGAGATAAAGAAGAGTAATGATGAGCATCGGTATAGCATATGTTAATACCTCGGGGCCCTTGCTCATTGTTTTCTGTACCACTTTTACAATCTAAACGAAGCTTACATTTACACGACGAAACAAGTGCATCTAGTACGTCCACTGTTGCTGTTCGAATCGCAGAATACTTGAGATCGTTCAGGCGAGCGTTACAGGTGTCAAGAACACGGTTTAGCAAACTGTCGTTCACATGTTGAGAGTCGACACGCTCGAAAAACAGCTTTAAACTCTCCAAAATGGACAATTGGACGTTCCATACATTGCCCTCCAAATTGCCAATCAATGTCTGGCAGATCTTTTCTGTTTGTTGGTCCTCCGCTATAAGTAGAATATTTTAGATCTACTAGTTCTTCTGTGAAAAGTAGCCTCAAATATTCTCAACAAACTTACCATGATCAATGAACGTTTTTGGTTTGTACGCAGCTACCAAGGTTCTGAATGCATTTGCCTTGATCATCAAAAGAAGAGGCTTTGCATTGTCGTTTTCGTCGTCTTCTGCTGCTTCGTCTTCGTCAATTTCACAAAGCTCCGTAAGAAATGTTTGCGCTTGTTTTAGAATATCGACGCGACCAGAGAAGGTGTCGGCAAACACTTTGAAGGACGCCAAAGCGTGCCGTTGATATAGTCTGTTTTTACGTTTGCATTCACGGACCATAATCTAACCGAAGTTTGGGAGTATACAACAGCGTTGGTTGAGTATGTAGTCTAATTACGTTTACCATATTGATCGAGTACGATCTCATACCTTGACAGCTTCATCGAGTGTGGGCTCCTTGCCCTGTTCCTCAAAATAGCTTTGCGCCGAAACGCACAGTTGCACAAAGGCTTCCAAAACGTGCTCCTTGCCAGTCCATGATCGTGTTGCAAGCGTTGACACCATGACCGGCATAAGCTTATCTGCACGCTGAGCAATTGCTTTGCCTCCTATTTTGCACATGTCGGCAATTGCCAAGGCAGCTGTCTGCTTCGTTGCCCAGGAAGGGGATGATAACAGAGGCTGGGCAAAATCGATAATTTCATCGGCATGGATCGTGACCAAGCTGCGTGTGCCGGATGTCAGGTTCTCCCAAGCAGCAGCCCAAATTTTTTTAATACCTTCATCTGGGTCGTGTTCACCAAGATAGATCAGTGGAACAATTTCCGAAGCAACAGCATTCATACGGTCTGTGGCAAATCGAGTCATATCTGCCGCTGTGAGCGCACTGGCTGAATGTGCATCTTCATCTGTTATAGGGAAACGTAGGAAGTGTAAGCTAGCCTCTTATATATTTTTGTAATTTGAAAAGAAAACATGACCGGCTCTGTACCTGTGTCCTCAATATACAGTTTCTTCAAGTGCCGAACGAAGGAGCATATCTTGTCGAATGTGGCCAGCTGACATACATAGCCCGAGGCCGTGGCAAATGCTTTACGAATAACAGGATTCTTTGATCGGATAGCTCCACTAAGTGTCTTCAGGAATGTGTCTGCGTAAGGCTTAAACGCTCCTCGACGGTTCATCACCAACGTCACGATGAACCGTGCACAGCCCGCCTAAAATAGTAAGAAGTCATTCATTCAGTATTTGTTTCGCATGTAAAAATGCTGAGCAATAAATGAGTATGCCTTCCTGGTTTCACATTATACCTTTGTGGGAAGACCAGTTCCTTTTTTGACAATGCTAATTATACGAGGTGAAAGCTCCTTCATAACATCGTCGTCGATCTGATTAACGCAGTGCTCGATTCCTTCCATCATAGGTGAGTTTTTAGCACCACTAAGTCGAGCACTATCGAGCTTATAACAGGGAACGCAAGACAGCGTGTAAGTACAAATCGCTCAGCATATCCGTTTTTGTAAGATCTCGTTCTTTACCTGTTCTTGAGTGATATTATATTTATCTGCATGGAAAGTAAGATAGTTCATCGCTTGAGGCTCCATTGCTTGAAAGGGGAGAAGATGAGTTTGGTTAAATTATTGAAGAGGCGCAATTGTTTTTGGGAGACATTGATTCCAATCTGAAGCAACAAACTTACAAGACAAAGACTGCAGCAAAGTGTCGATAATTTCAGGGACAAAGGTTTTCAATAAGGATGCGCCAGTCTTGCAAATACGTAACAGAGCGTCCAAGCTGAATTTGCGCACGTCCTCTGCATCAGAAACAATGCCTTTCTCCAACAAGAACGGCATGACAATGCTCATAACCTTGACACCGTCACTAGTGGATACAACTGTAGGATCACAGTAATGCACCGTCAACTTAGTCAACTGCTTGCATGTCTGTGTTGCTGCTCGTCGAACAGATTCTTTAATATCGTCCAACGCGCGGAAAGACATTTTCCACAGTCGTTCAAGATAGGGTTCGATTTGCGCAAGCTGTCGACCTTGAACTAGATCGGTCACTGCTGCACAAGAAGCCTCACGTACACGCCACTGATGGCTACCAAGTCCAGACAAAATGTCTTCCATGATTACGTCGAAGTACTTGTCAACCGCCTTCTGGTTGTCTTTCACCAATGATCGCCAGATGGTTTTCATTGTCTGGTTTACTTGACCGTTCGGATCGAATTGATAGCGGTAAAGTTTTGGTACCAAGCGAGGTAAATATGGCTCCAGTTCCTTTTCAGCCAGGCTCATGAGGTTTTGAAATCCGAATGCTGCACCACGTCGTGACGTCCACATGGCATTGTGGTTAGCAAGGCTCATAAACTTGTAGATGAGATCCGGCTGGTTTAGTTCAGAGGCCAACGAGCATAATTCTTTATAGGTGGTGATGGAGTTGCCGTCAGGGGTAGTACCCAGAGCGCCCTCTTCAAACAAAACAGTGTTGTCGGTGACAGACTGTGCTTGGATACTTCGTCCTTCCGTGAACGTGCCAACAAGCGAGTACAACATATCTTCTTTGATCTTGGCATCGCCGTATTCGTACACCAATCCCAAACCTTTGGAGGCAACTTCTTGCGTAAAGTCTAAACATAGAAATGTTGATGTGTCAGTGCTGTTTGGCTGCTACAGTGACCGTGATGCAATCAATGCTGGGACTACTTACCATCTCTATCAGCAATAAGTCTTGAGAATGCAGCATGTAGCACACCCAAATTGTTCTAATCAACACTTATTAGTAAGTAACATATTCTTATTCTGCTTTTGCTAATAAACAAATCATTGCTTATCATACCTGAATAAGAGGTTGATCCTTGCCAAACTTCAAGATAGACAAAAACCATATACACGACGCCTTTCTATACCATGCGCGGTCGCTTACAACGTAAACCCGTGCAATCTTTTCAATGACGGTTTGGAATAACTCAGTCCGTTTTTGATAATCGGAACGATCCAAGTTTTGAAGTAACGCCATATCGTCGATATCTTTGTGCTTTTGCATTGCTTGGGAATCCCAGCCGAATGCAACCACAGACAAAGCTTCGCCACCAGCAAAGAAGAGCTCGACTTGTTTTGTATCAGCCGAAGCGAATAGTGTATCAATGACTAAACTTGTAACGGTGCTTTCGCTTGGCAACGGAATCGATAACTGGCCGAGCGTCAAGATAGCTTGTTCTTGTACTTTGGGTTCCTTGCATGTCTTGATTAAACGAGCCAGTTTTTCCGCCAAGTCCTGTGAAGATAATGGATCGTTGTTCGCATTGCCGGTGCTGTCGACGTCCATTTTTGCCTTCTTATCTTTATCGTCATTGTCGTCGTCATCGCTATCACGCTTTCGTTTTACAGTCAAGAATCCCAAAAGCTGCGTTCGACCAATTTCTCCAAGGCCAAGGCAGGCGGCCGCAGCCAACATATTAAACACTGCACCAGGGGCACCTTCCAAGTAAGACGCTAGACAATGGACACATTGGCGGACGACATCAGTGCTAAGCGGCCGTGCTCTGTAATTGCATCGACTGATCAGATAGCCAATGGTCAACAACGCGCCGTGGACCTTTTCAATTCCCATGCCATTCTTGTTTGTGGCGGCGTTCTTGTCCGCTATGCCTACGAGCTCTGAAAGCAGCTCTTGGATGGCGTCTTGTGTAACGGATGGATCCGTAGCGATAATGCCGTAAATCCGAGACATTGTATCACGCGCGTCTTGCTTCTTGGAGAAGATTAAAGCCTTGAAAAAGTCTAGCCTTCCTTGAAACGCGCCTGCAATCGCTGGTGGGCCCAGCGACACTACCTCCAAAAGACATTTGGCACCCGTTGAAAGCAGCACTGGATCTGGACAATTTGAATAAAATTTGTAAATTAAGTAAGAAAGCAAGATTTTTGTTGTATAGCAAGTCCGTAGTTTGTCGATGGAATATACTAACCTTTAAGATTTTGATCTAAGGAGCTTTCGATGAACTTCATCCATAGTTCAACAGCTCTACGCTTTTCAAGGTCACCGCCCAGCCAGCTGTCAACCAAATACTTTTTGAAATTGTCCATCACCACCGGGTCATCAGACATTCCATTGTCCACCTTGGATTCGGCATACTCGTCGATCAAGATCGTTTCTGGATTGGCTTCCAAAACCAAAATCACACGCGCAAATCGTAATATTTCAGAGTAAACTTCAAGTGGATAGCCTTGGATGACGGGCGATTTTGAATCGTAGACATATTGATCGTTAGGTCGATTTTCTGTCAAATAGACTATTAAATCATGGAATTTAGGAAGGGCTGAAGGAGGGACGATTGCGTTGGCACTGGAGAGGACACCGGACTCGCTTTGAGTAAATGGATGTAGGCCGCGCATGGATTCTTCCTTGACTTCAAGTTTGGTAACACCGGCAGAGGTGCCTAGCAGACATACATAGCGAGCAAACACGGATGAAAATGGATAGACAGCATTGGCGTACTTAAGCGCCATGTAGCGTGAATAAGAATTCGTCTACAGCAAAGTTTGATACTGGATCGTCAGCATATTGGTTTGCAACCATAGGAGTAAATATACTTTAGTAAAATGGAGATAGACCTTTTGAACACTATCAAGGATAATATCTTGTACGTCCTTATAGACAACTGAGTCTTCAGGAAGCTTGGTATATACATCAATTATGGATGAAAGTGCATCTTGTACATAAGTGCGAACGGCAGGTTGCTCGGTTTCGAGGCTTTCAAAAAATTGGCGCAGGATAGTAACATTCTTCAAAGCAGCAGCAGGGACTAGACTCAAAAAATTAGTCATAAAAAAACAATAATAAAAAGAAACGGCCAGCTCTGCCCTTTTTCTTCTTTTTAATGCTCACCTTTTCGGCATATCAGTCCAACACCAATGTAAGCATAACCTTTGATGCTTTCAGCATCTATAGAATTTCGTCAGATCCGAAATCATTAATGTATTACCAAACATGTATTTAAGGTGACACAGCATGAATCAAAACTTACCATGGCCTGACACATGTCCCGTTTGATCAATATACTTCAGCAACCCGGAGATCATAATTGGTGCAATAGGTGCAATACTTTTTGCGTCCGCCTAATTTTTTAGTTATTACCCAAGTATCGATGTTTTATTTTGATTGATCTTGAATCTTCACATTAGTAGTAAGAATATGTACCATTCTGGCGACCCATTGTAGAAATGACATAGTGGATCGACGTAGCTTCAAATTGGATAGTGGTCCTAGCAGAACGTCAGAATATGAATTGCGTAAGTATGATAAGAAAAATACGATATCAAGTTCATCAGCGAAGACCTTTTTCGCCTGCAATTACCATATATGCCATCAAATACGACTTGTACCATAAGTGCAGCCATGTTCGTTGCGGCGATTGATTTAGACAAATAGTTCAATATTCGTACTTTGACAGGCGTGCTCGCTGCTGCTCTTCGGTCATCTGTAGCAATCGAAACCGAGTGGTTAAAAAAATACATCACAAACCACTATAGTCCACCCGCCTCCATCTTTAAAAGGCACCAGACCCTTTTAATTTACCAGTGTTTGTCGGCTTTGTTCCCAAATACAAGTTGTACAGTGACTTTATCACCTGAACCTTTTCCAAATCCACACTGCCCGTCCATCGTCGTAACCCATCCTCACTCGTGCTGACGACTTCATGGTTTGCATCACATGCACCAGCGATGAGAATACTTAATCGTTCGTCGTCCGTAAACACGTGGGACAATACGAACTTCAATACACCAAGCTGATTATCATATACAGTTAGTCTAATCTTGACAGATATGTTCTATTATTATTTTTTGAATAAAAAAACACCTACTTTAGCGTTGGAAAGACGTTGGTGAGACCAGCTGGTTTTGCCCTTATTAGTAATGACATTAACAGCGTTTGGACTTAATCCAGCATAGACTGCTGTAGGCGGCTGCGATGATAGTTCGTTCGATGATGATGATGATGATGCTGCTGCGTTGTTGCTATTGGCTGACGACGGTTGATATAGCATTAAATCCAAAAAGAATCGGAGTATCATCGTCGGATCTTCCGGATGGCTATCAAATCCAAAGACATCTTCACGCGCCTTCTTTTGTCCCTCAACCGTCATGTCCCATTTTTGAAGGGCCTTGAATATCATAACCCCATGCATCCGTTAATCAACTTGAATGTAAATTCACTCCTTTTAATTTTTTTTCTGAATTACCGGTAATATCATGTGAAAAATGGTGACCCGCTGAGGTTCTGGTCGCCGAGAAATGCCTTTCAGTAAACTTGGGATATGCTTTGCTGTCTCGTCGATATCCATTCTGTCGACGCACATTTCTAGATAGATAATGGTAAAGTTCTTGACCATAGCTGACAGCTCATCATTCATGAATTGTTGTAATAGCGCGTCGAATGGTAGCTTGATGGATTTGTTCAGCTTTGCCCGTCTGTTGATATGCGACAGTAATTCCATCACCTTTTAAAAAACGTACTTTAGCTTTATCGCACTATATTCTTAACTCTCCCCTCCAAATGTCTCATTTTTATGAAAGTATCATACTTTGCGTCGCACTTTTTCATGAGGACTGGCTAGTTTCAACAGGACAGGAGCAAGAAACAGGTTGATGCATCGCTCCAGCTGTGCATCTGTGTTGCACATTGCTATTTTGAGCTCAACGTTCTCTATAAAAGAAATGGAGATTTAGCGATCTTGCAAACAGGAAACTTGCTCGCCGTTCAAGAGTATTTCATTTTACCGAGAAGTTGTAGCTCGTTGCTAGCCATGTCGATCGTTTATGTTTGCAAAATTGTTAAAAGAAGGTACACGCGTCAAATATGCCACGCACTAATTTCAACCTATTTTAAACCAATTTGAAACTCAAAAAACGTTGTCAGTGCGCATACGTAATGCATAGATGTTTTCAAAGGTATTGTCTACTTCGTTACTAAGCATAGTGCGCTGCAGCTATGGATATGTGCCAATTATGACTTTCTGTCATAAATATAGTCCTGACACATCATATTCCACATCATTCCGATCTTCGGTTGCACTGCAACTAATTCCTCCTTTTCAAGCAGTGTAGCGATAAACTTTGCTGCAACGGCTCTTTATCGTTTTATACATTACGTAAGTGTTTACATGGATATACCATCATTCATGTCGTATGCAGACGTAAAGAGTATGCACACGCGTACACTGCCGCTAACTTTATTGATTATTTTATAAGCACCCCACTTATGGTCAAAATAAGTAAATTAATACATAACAGCTATTTTGCCGGACGCTTTCCCAATCTTTTGCTGGAAGCGAAATGATCTGCGCTACTACGGTGCTGCTGTTGATGGTCTGAATTCAGCATATCTAGAGTCAAAGCTTCAGTCATAGTTCCAGCTTGTTTATGTTAAGTAACTTGTGTGAGAAAAGGAAACATCATTACCGGCCCAAGTGTTATTATGCACTAGCCCATCCATAATCTCGGTTGCGTCTGCTTCAGGCATATCGACGTGCGCATCCAATGTATAGTATCGTGTAAATAAGCTGATAGACGGATCATAAAAAGCTTCGGTTATGGCAGTTACAGGTAATGATAGTGAGCTGATGGAAGCCCGCTTCGTAGGTGACATGGGTTCAAAACTCTGCCGAGGGACAAGAGACGATGCAGATTGCGAATATGGAGACGCTGTTCCTTCGAGAACAGGTGTCTGTTCCCTTGTCACTTCTTCCCTACTACTAGGTGTTACAGGAGAGGGTTGCCGCGGTGGTCTTCGAAGATAGAGCGGTTGCTTCTGCTGTTGCTGTGGTGGTGGCGGTGGATGAGGTTGATCGACCACAATGGTTGGAACTGGTACATAGAAGGCTTGTATTAGTTACCTCATTAGTCGCATTTATTAATTGCCGTTTTGTGACTCATCAAGCTTTCGAATGCTTTTAAGTGCTTGAAAAGGCGGTTTAAAGCTCAAAGAGGCTTGAGAAATGTTTGACGCTGTCGGATGATTGATATGTATATCGGGTAACATCTTACCTTCTGGCGACTCTTTTCTTTGAATCTTTTCTTGATACGCGCTGGCATTTGCAATATTTGCTAGTGGTCGAGCATGAGGCAGACTACTTGTTCGATACTGATGTCGAGAAGCTTCTGATTCCCTGCGACGACCCGGTGTTTGGTTCTCGGATGGGTCATTAAGATTCAATGGCACTTTACCAGCAGGTGAAAATAACTCGCCAAGTATGCTCATGTTATTAAACTGGTTTTCTCGGAATAGCTCGCGCATTTTTAAGTATTTATGCCGCCTGACAAGCATAGAAACTAAGCTTTTGGCTTTCTCGTTCGCAAGGCTTTTGGCCACCTTGTCTTGTTTGCGTGCGTGGTTGACCAACTCATCAAAGCTAGCTCGTTAAAGTTAAATTATCGATTAGTAAATGTAATAACAACATGCAGCAGTCTGAAACCTACGTGAGCGATTTGGAAACATCCACTAGCTGCATAGACAAGATTTGAAGCATGTCATGGAACGCGATACCTCGAGCACCGGCCGAAAAGAGAATCTTCTGTAGAAAATTACCGCTTTAATAAATGCCATCTTGTCTCGTGCTTTTTGATCTTGTCTTTTTCATGCTGCATACCTGATACACAAACGTATAACGCCTCTTGTTATCTCGTACCGCAGCAACATCCATAGTTGCTAGTTGTCGGTTCACAGCCTGAACATTGTAGAAGCGCTCACCCAAAATATTATTCTGTGCGAACTCCAGGTTGTTTGTCGCTGTAGGAACTGATGCTAGATTTGCCACATCTGCGTCCATTTCATTGCTCGCATCCAGTAAACTTTTGATACTATGCTCTTCGTCGTAAATGCGCATAGCTAAAACACCTTCCAGAGCCTAATTATATGGATAATATCTCGGTTCAACAGAAAGAAATGAGGACCCCAAGAGCAGCTTAAAATATTTTTACTATACAAACCCTCAGAAAACCTGGCACATCTCGCTTATGTATATATCCCGTAGCCTTCGGATCAAAGTGGGCCCATGCTTCTTTATAACTGGTTTCAATTTCGAAGTATGAGTCGGCTCATTTTATCAATACATCATTGAATCCAAACTCGTGTCTTAAACTTACTGTCTGAGATCTGTACGAGTGATCAGCGTAAATTGATTTCGGTTGTCAAATGTAAACGAAAAGTTGTTGATAACAACCTATTATATATGGTGACTGTCCTTTAGGGTCTTTGTTTTTCATATCACCTCCGTTGCCGTATGAAATCTGAGCAAATGACATAAGTACTCACCACCGTAAACAGGTTTACGAAAATATATGTGCATACAATGTAAAACACAACAAAGAGAGTAATGGCAGCGCCTGGTGACCCACAGTCCTCGCTATTAACACAGTTGGGTTGCTGTACAGCAAAGTCATGCATTAAAAAGTCCTACACACATGCTAAAAGGTTATATAAAAGCCTTCAAATTTTCTGCGTGTTTGCCTACCCAATTTTCACCAGTGGTAATTCTCCATAAAGTTTGCAATGTATTGCCGAGAGTACGAAAGTTGGCATGATTGTTTCCGTAAGGCCCGTATCGCGTTGTCGCGAATAACTCCTGCAAAATTACCGCAAAACAAAGGATGACAATGGCAAACGCACCGGTAACATATATGACGGTTGGAATCGCACGTCTAGGTAGACATTGTTAGTATTAGTATCGTTGCTTTCTTAAACTTGTACATTTTATTCCGAAATTTTTACTTGGCTGATCGTAAAAAGGTATCTAGGGATTCGTTTCGTTCGGCAAAACGAGCCGCAATGCCAACAAGCAAAAAGCTGTACAAAAGCTGGAGTGTGAACTGTATTGTTACAATGCTCAGCATATTAGTAATCTTTAGCTTAGAAAAACATGATTAGAAACTGTTGCTTCTACTTATTGCTCTTACTTGGGAGCTTATAGCATTTCTTGAAATGGTAAGAGCCACCACTATCAGAAGAAAATAGAAACTGTTGATGAAATTTGCTACTTGAATTGTTAATCCATGTTTCGTCCTTTTACCTAGTATACTTATTGTTGCATCATAAATATTCCATTTTGAAGACATCCACTACAAATACATCATAGAGCAGTTAACAAAGATGACTTGTTGACAAATGAGGATACGACGTATTCATCCATGCCTGTACCTTGTGCATGCCTAAACCGGTCATTTTGATCACCGTTTCAAGAAGGTATATACCAATGCACGTGTAGCTAATTATATCTACTCCACCCGTCCGCCATGTTTCATAAGATTAACATCTATGGGGATGGTAAAACCTCATTGTATAGTCGCTTTTAACTCCTACCTTGCATACTCGCGAGCATTTCGGATTGATGCAAATGAACCGACGCAAATACCACTAGAATAATTCAGTCAATGCTTATCTTTAAAACAATTCATCACTCGCAGGATGCCTGATGCTATTCTACTTACGGATATGAACTGTGATCACTTTGGTAATAAAATCAGAGAACGCGCCTTTTTTGTTAATGACAATGTCATAGCAAAGTGCCCGAAAATACCCATTTCTTGGTCTTGTTGCTTTTCTGGAAGGCTTAATCAACGAAAGTTGTCGCTGCAAATCTTGAAATTGTCGCTGCGTGTTCGTTAAAGACGATATACCGCGTCGTTGCTTAAATGTTTCCAAAATGACACCAATGAATAATTGAATTGAACAAAGGGATGCAACAAACATGAACACAAGATAGTAGATAGCGTTCCATGATGCTTCTGATCGCCAGTCAAACCGCGGTTGCGCTTCATTAACTGTTGAGACGCTCATGGCAGAGAACAATGACAAGATCTACAAGGAGAAGAACCAAATTAATCTTTTATGTCAACTTTCCAGTTTCTTATTCCTTACCCATCCTTCACCCGATGCACATTCGAAAAGATGCAATAGAGCGTTGCCAAATTGGTCATAAGAGTACTTGTATGGATTGTCCCAGTTGCGTGGCATCATGATATCCGTGTCTGGCGATTTAAATTCACCAAAACATTCCATGCGCATGCCGACATGATCATCGTTGCATTTGGTGAATCGAGCGCTAAAGATATAGCACCCGTATATAGCAAACGCAGCAAACACTATTATATTAAGCAGCACAGCGTCCAGAATAACGGGCAATCCATGCAGCAGGTCCAGAATTATAACGCGCATGCCTTCAACATAGTATACAATACGAAGAGCTCGTAGTGTCCGAAGCGAACGTAAATATTGTGCTTGCTGAAATAGATCTGACCGGGAAACGGCAACCAAAACGATAGTTTGACAGGTCAAGAATGCCACATCCAGTACATTCCATAAACTGCGAAAGTATGATGTTGGCAAAACCAAAATTCCGTCAGCTGTAACATGGAAAAGGACGTCGAGCCAAAATACGACAAGCATAATGCATTGAGCAGTTTCTTCAATGCCGAATGCTGTTGGGTTGTATGTACGGAGATTTTCATCTGTAGCAATGGCAAGCAGTATACTGACGCAGAGCAGAGCCACTATCATTGCGTTGTAAATGCGCGATCGTAACATGCGGACTGAAGCGCTTCGTAGTGGGTTGTTTTCTTTCAACAAGAGTAAAGTGCGAAAAACATTCAAGTTCTCGACAATGACGGCCTTGTTTTCTTTGGCTACATTGATTTCGTATTCGTCGCCGTACTTGACAAGTGGTTCATCTGATTCGTCAGGCTCGTCGCTGACTGCTGCGGTGCTAGTCGTGCTGAAGGCAGAGCTATTATATATTGTTATTGAATTTTATTTCAGAACGCATCATAAAGTGGTGGAGTAGAATTATACTATGATAGCAGTGCCATTATCGCTGCCTCAAAGATACTATGTATCTGCTTTACTTACATAGCGGATCCTTTCCTGGTGCTAAACCGACCCAGGGACGGTAAGGAGGAATTATATCGACGCAGCAATCCTTGATCGTTAGCCACAGAAGACCGTCTTTTCGATAGTTGAGGTTCAGGTACCTCCATATTTAAAAACTCTTTTAATTTTTCCTGGGTCACAGAAGCAATCAAATTTTGGGGCATTTGAGACATGTTCAACTTGCGTCGATCTTGCTTAACAAAAATCGGTAGTAGCGTTCTATAAAGCATATGCATATTAATCTTTACTGTTTTTTTTGAACCGTTGACTAGAAAAGTTGAATTAACAACAACGTACTGACTAATCATGTCGAGCTTAAAGTATTCTGGCTGCCATCGATGTTGCCGGATATATTTCTTGATCTGGATTTGCCGAATTTCGTCTTCATCAAGATCGAAATTTTCCATAATAACAGCAATAAACAGATTCAACACGAGATCTATGATTGGCACACATATTCATATTCCTAGTGAGCATTTGTTGCTGTGTACTCAACATGAAAAAGTTAAGAGATATGCATAATAATAGTTACAGTGGACAACAAAATAAATTAGACACATATAGACTGCCGCATATATGATTGACACGTGTGATTGACTATGCATAGCATCATACAAAATATCCTATAAAATAAAAACAAGGGCATTAAAAAGCCAGTAAAAATGGAATATTACTTTGAAATAGTCGAAGTTTACCGTCCAATTTTCACCAGTCATGATCTGCACAAATTCATTATTAGTATATAAAATCAACCTGATATTCATACTTCCACGAGGGGTTATACCTGAAATAATGCAATGAATGCTTGATAAAATGTATCGAAACGCATTTCCGGTGCATCTGGACCCGATGCAGTGAAATCACCACCAAAAAGCTGTATGGATATAGGGCACAGCAAACACAGCACCCAAAATGTAAAGAATGATAAATTGATGATACCTTGACCATCACCTATCACGTTTGACTTTTTACATAATAGTAGGAAAAGCAACAACTTTTAGCTATTTTTAACACTATTAATGCATACAACCGTCTGGAAAACTTACGAGCAATTTGAAAATGCGTGGAAATAGATATACTAAGCGGTACGACCGAAGAACAGCGAATACTTGAAGATATCGATGAAGCAGCCTATTGTTACGTACGAATGGCAGTTCATTCACACTAGAGGCTATTGCAATATAGAAATCAATCCTATTCCGTGTTTCCAGGAATACGATAATGGTTAAAGACTGATGTGTTCAGCAGTGCTTAAAAATGACCTATTCATCCTTTCAAAAACATAAATTTAAAAGGATATGATTATAGCGCCAGAATTGAGTCCAGTTCGCAGATCCTGCTATGCGTAACAGAATTTCAATTGCAAACAAAATCGTAAATCCAAGCTCTGCAAAGTCTTCATGGAAAAAAGAATCATAAAGAGTTTGTCATTATTTGTACTTAACATAGCCAGAGAACTATAAAATGTATTATTTACCTCTGACAGTAAAATTATCACCCGTTTCAGTGGCAGTGTAAAACATCATGGTTATCATGTTCCAAGCGACCAACGTACTTCCTATGATTGGGAAAAAACGCTTCGAAACAATGGAGCCAATCCAGCGTCGAAACATGTCTGTCCTGCCCACGCGTACATTTGTATTCGTTGTACCGCCTCCATAAATCCATTCTTCATTCGGGTCGATTTCATTTTCTTTCCCGTCTTTTCCGGCCACAGTTATGCTTCGTGTCAACAGTAGCCGCGTCTTTTTCTCTGTAGCAAAAGCACTATGACGCATGTCTCCCCGAGCGCTAGCAAATGAACTTGTGATCACAGCTATATTGTAGTAGCTGCATTAGCTTTCTTATTTCTTCATCACTGACAGCTTCTTTTACTACTTAGATTGATTACATTACCAATAAACATGGGGACCATGATGAATGTCATGAGATAGATACAAAGACAGTAATAAATGGCAGCCGCTGTGGTGGAAATGCTGTCTTCGCTGAGGTACATTAAGTCTGTCCAACCTTCGGTCGATATCACCGTAAATACGTTCAGCATGGTGAAAAGGATGTTATGGTAGCTAATGTAGCCCCATCCAGGCTGAGCTCCACCGCTTTGGAGACACACTTGGCCTTGTTGGCATGTGAATCCATCAGCGCCATTATACGGAATGTAGGTTGCAGAGTATTGATCAAATATTCCTGCAATGTTGCCTTCGCTGTCTATATAGCTATTACAAGCAACAGGTGGCTCTACAAACGTCAGATCTAGGGAAAAAGGAAGAGAAGTTTTGCCTTCAATCAGAATCTATGTGGAAGAACATATATTTTAGGATAAAGGGAAATGACTTTTGAAAACGTACTTCCAGCATACATATCGGTCTCGCTACCAGGATCAACTGCGCATCGGCGAGAGAACGAATTCATAAAAACAAACGAAGCAATCAAAGAGAAGAGGACCCAAAAGAATATAAAGAATCCGAGCACATTTTTAAGCATAGCAAAACTTGTGCTCAAGGATTCAATGATAACCTATATGTATTCCATTTGCCCTTTAAACTACAGTATTATGCTAATATCCACGGTTTTCGGTTAGAGAATAACTTAGTGAGAGAGATGTCTTACTGCTGTTCCCTCTGTTATCACCACCAAACGCAAGATCCTAGTTGCCCCAAGTGCTTTGAATAGCGACCACGTTTCGTTGGTAGACACCATGAGCACAACATCGATCCAATAAGCCGTGATAGCAACGATATCGAGTATGTTGGACAAACTGTAAATATAAGCACAGTGGGATATTTTGAGGAAATTTTCTTCGTCGTCAATCAATTCAGTGGCTGTCACACGGGGTGTCGATCTATAGCCATGACTACTACTTTCTATCGCAAACGACGAGGCTCGGTTGATAACAGTAGAAGGGATCGTTTCGCGGTCAGGTGACCCTAACTCAGACTGTTGATGATCGTAGAACGTCGAGCGACGGCTAAGGAACTGATTATTATTATCGGCAACAGGAGGCGAGCCTACAGGCGACCATGGCGCATGCTGACTGTCGCTCCCGTTGTTGTCTTCTTCAAGCTGTTCATAGTATGGTGGTGCGTTACTAGTGGATATGAATGGGATGCTCTGGGTAGATTGTCGTGAGGGAGATGGAAAGTTATAGTCCGCGCTAGGCTGGTGTGCAGTAGCCGAGCGTCTTTTTCGTCGACGAATACCCATACAGTTGAGCAATTTTATGAACCGGCTAATCACACCTTTGAATGGTCTCGGTCGTGCTTTGGATGGCGTTGATATTATAAATCCGTATGCTACAATTTTAGCCATGGCCTCTAGGCTGTGAAAAAAATAAATCATATCAGCATAACATTTTTTACAAAGTTATTTCACAAGAGAGCAATCACTTACGTGTATATGATGTTGATAGCTAATAATAGGTATTGATAGGGTTGTGCAAAATTCGTCTTGTGGGCATTCTCTGTGATCGGCACAAATGAAAGAATAGCCCATTGGGCGAACAAAAGGCCCAAAATGAACAAATTAAACCAGCTAAACATTTACACAGTACTTAGTTAGATACACGTCTGGGGTCTCAAGACCAGTCCTAGAAGCAGAGTACAAATAATAAGAATTTCACTTACTCGGCGGCTAATATTTTCCATAGAAAAAGGCGAACATCACTGGTCGGTCCGAACGTCCATAAAGACCATCCTTCAAACCGAATTGCTGGGCTGGCATCGTCCGAGGATCCGGAAGGTGAAGAAGACCCAGAAGATACACGAGCTAAGAAGCTAGCTCGTGGGGACGAGAATGAACTCGACACTCTTCGTATAAAGTCGCGAGGACGTGCAAGTTTAGCCTTATTAGCGACACTACCTCTACCACAAAGTGGGTCACTGTAGTGACCAGTCCCTGAACTAGTATTATCTTCTTGTTCATCACTGCCATGCTTGCGTTGTGTCTGTTGCTCACGTTCATTTGGTGATATTCCTGGGCGGTGATTATGGTATTCATCTTCATCGTCGTAGTTGATGATCGAATTTGGGGAACCTAGTTCTGCATCCTCGCGTGTTGAGCTGGACCGGAGATAATGGTGCTGACGGTGTTTGCCATTACTCTGCTTGTGCTGGTGTGGTCGGTATGGGAAGATGTTGCCCAAACTCCCTAGCCGATTACTTTCTCGATGTTGCTGCTGAGGTAACAAGCCAGTGGATGAGGACTGATCAGATGTGGACTCGATACTGGGTGATTTCACAGCAAGATGATCCTCCAAAGGATGCAGCTGTGGACCGTCTAGATAGGGCGATTGCTCTGCGCATTGCGACTCGCTAGCTGTATCCATACGATTGCTTATTACAGCAACTGAGGATCGCCGCTGTGCTGGGGCATTTATTTTGCTGCTGTAACATTCAGTGGACCGACGGCGGTTCTGCTGCTGGATACTGTTGATCTCTTCGTTTTCATGGATCAAATATTCCTCCAGCGCATATACGCCAGCCAATTTTATATATTGCGCCAATGTTGTCATTTCCTGAACCGGCATGCGCTCATCTTGTGGCTCGCAACTACGTGCATCAGCCACACGCCAGGCCATGCCTTCTAATATGCAAAACATGTTTCTCCATGTATAACGAACGGTTGTCGTCGAGGCTGAGGATGCGCGCGCGGCAATTGCTGCTGCTGTAGCGGCTGATTTTTTCACGCCTTTTGATGATATTGATGATGCAGGATGCTTTTTGGTAGCCATGTTTTTGGCACGGGCAACCGTAGACAGTTTCAACAATCGTGACAAACGCTTTCTGGACTCGTACATGACCTTGGATGCATTGCTTCCGCTAGGTCTCCGTATCGGGGGTTGTTGTTGCTGCTTAAATCGTGTACCTGACACTGCTGACTGAAATCGACCTGAAGGGGAGCCGACAGCAGAAGATTGTTCACTCGATTCACGGATCATCATTGGACTATCGCCTACGTTGCTGGTTCTGTTATAGCTATGCGCATCGTTTGTGCCACTAGCATAATCACGTGCATGATAAAGATGATGCTGTGAGCCGGCATCCGTCGTGGTGCCTTGGATTATGTCTGACGAATGGTTGCCGCCCATGAAGTATGGGTTGACTGACTTTTGTGTGCTTTCGAGCTGTTCTTGCTCGTCCACTTCTGTATGGCCCGTTATATGCATGGGTGCATTATCTTCGTTATACAGATGGCGAAAAATATAGCCGTTGGAGATGCTTCGTCGTCGCGGAATACTTTGGTGCTGACCTGCCGCTGCGCTGCGTCCCATTATTAAAACATCCAGTTTGTTTTTCCTTTCCAGCCGATCTTTGGTCAAGGGCGGATAAGCTTGAGCTTCATGTTGTGTCTGGTATATCGTCGGTACTAGAGGCTGTTGCTGTGCTTGCTGTTGCTGGTCTTGTTGACCACTTTGCAGCTGCTGCAGATGCTGTGTGCTTGCGCTGTTGGTGATACCAGGAAGCACAGACGCGCGTCGTAGTTCAATTGACGGCCGGGTACGCTGTTGTTCATCGTGTTGTGAGCGGCGACGCGCTTGCTGATGAACTTGAAATGTACTGCAATAGGATGGAAGCTGCGGCTTGCTTTGAGGCTTCATTTGCAGTCAACATGAAAAGAAGGGAAAAGGCCACTTTTATCAACAAGAAAGAAATGATCCGAGGGAGTCCAAAACATGAAATGCCCCGATAATTTATTCCATTTCGTTCCTGGGGGGGTGGGGGATGAGGAAAGCTCTTGTGTGACGTTTCTCTACTGGATGCATGAAAACAATTGTGGTCACTAGTCAATTGCTCTTTTGTCGTCTTTCTTTTCGTGCCACCAGCCATTTGGCGATACGACAAGCCAACACTCGCCGGTGTAGCACATATGCTACAATGACGAGACAATCATATATGACAGCGAGCATTCTAACAAGTGCACACATACACTGGTTCACTGGCTACGCTACTGTATCATACGTAGTTTCGATCAAAAAGCATGGCTTATCGCTGTTATCATTCACTCTACAATGGGATATTAAGTGTCTGAGCCTTTACTCGGCAAAGGTAACGGACAAAAACGAACAGATTCCGTAAAAGGAAAGGGCATCGGGTATTGAATTAGCAATCCTTAGTGGTGAGAATACTTTTTTTTTTACACTACTTCTCTGCTCTTTCTTTTACCAGCAAATTGCCACCACTTTGGAGAAAAAGAAACGGAATCGTTGCAGAATATCTTAAAAAATTCCGGTTAATCACTCTTTACGATGAGTAAGTATGCCGAAAAACAACCCTTTTTCTTTCTTTGCTACGTGCTACAGTGCGATCCTTTTCTTTTTCTTATTTTGTTGCTTTGTGTTATTGTTCACAAAGGGAACAAAAAGTGGGTTGTTTGGTGTAATGCCCTTTGCATTGTTCTTGTGTATGGTTTTTTTATGCTTACCACTTTCGCCGCTTTCTTTTTCCTTTTCCATTCTCCCAGTTTTCACCTTGAAAAAAAGAACTCATTGGTGCAATTTACTCTTTGTATAGCTGCTCAAAGACGTGGTCGAAACGGATATGGCGGCAGACGACGACAGCAGCAGCAACAGCAACAGCAACAGCAACAACAACAACAACAACAAGTACAACCCACTGCTCAACAGTCAACATCGGATGAAGAAAGCACCGATGCTGGCTCAGTAACTCGTTGCGTGTGTGGCGAAAGCCGTAAGTTTGTCTTTGCCGTTGTTGAAACCAGGCAGATTGTTTGGGAAGGGAAAAGAAGAAAAGGATCGCTTGTTAGTTTGGAAATGGGGAAGGGGAAGAAGAGAAAAGGGGTTGGGCTTTTTTTCCACCCAACCACCTCCTTCGCGTATAACGTTAGAGTTTTAATATGAACTTTTTTTTTGTTTTCTGTGAATAGACAACGTGGGACTCATGGTTCAGTGTGATCAATGTGAAGTATGGCAGCATTGTGAATGTGTAGGCCTTGAAGAAAAAGATATACCCGATCATTATTATTGTGAGCAATGCAAACCGCAGAATCATGCCGTTGTGAAATTGGCTCATGGAAAGTAAGTTACGTTTCTGACAAAAAATAGGATAAAGAAGTGAAAAAGAAGACTAAAAAATTTTCTTTTAAAAAAAAGGACGCGACGATCGTACAGCTCGATAGGGCGGCCCAACACTACGGCACCTGTTGATAAGAAAGCCCCGAAGAAGCGCATGACGTTCAATAGTCGCGAGGCATCCATGTCGCTGGAGGATGTGTTGGCTGCACGAAGTGCTTTGGAGGTCAATTTTCCTCCTTTGGACGAATCCGCTCCTCGCTCACCTGTTGATGCATCGCTGATTTTCGAGGATGCTATTGAGCAACAACAGAAGTTGAGTTTAGAAAAGCAGAAAGAAGCTGAAGAAGAGCAACCACAATACCAGCACCAGCAACACCAATTATCGCAATTAGCAAGGCAACAGAAAAAGTCTTCTCCAGTTGCTCAAGAGAATGATGATATGGGTGTGGATGTAAAAGAGCAAGGTACGATCAAGGATCATTATTAGTGCGGAAGGGAGCAAGAGTACTCACTCATAACACGCGCACTATGTAGACATGGAAACCGCGGACTCTGAAGCAGACAACGCCATAGTAGCCACTCCAACGACGACGACGACAACTGGTAGACCATCTAAACCAAAACGATCATCGAGTGGGCGTAAAGCAGACAGTGAAGGAGGCAGCGGTGTCGAGAAAGGTCGAGTGTATAAAACCGAGAAACGATCTCGTGGTGGCGGTCCACGTCGGAACAATGCCGCAACTTCCCGCCGAGCACAGACAAGTCGCCCACGATCTCGAACATCTACTCCACAACCTGAAAGCGGTGGAAACGGAAACGTCAATGGAGGCCAGCCCTCAAACTGCAATAACAACAATACTACTGTGGACATCAGCACGGCGATTTTCGAAAAACTGTCACCAGCCGCTCGCGAGGCGTCACCACCCGCCAAGGTCCGTTTACCGTCTTCTCGTATGACCATTTCCGAAATGAACAGACGCGCGAAGCAAATCCTGGAATATATTAGCTCAATACAAGTGGAAATGGCGACCAAGGAAATGAGCGCCTCTATGATGGTTAATGTCAGCACTGTGGTGATGAAAAACAGCAACAACAACATTGGCGGTGAAGGCAACACTCTAACGAACGAAAACAGCAGCAAAGATAAGAAGCCATCGAAGCGTAGTCCGAAACCGACAGCTATCACCATCCCTGAAAAATCCAACACCGGCGAGGATGAAGGACCGTCTTCATCCCTCAGTAGCGCTAGTACGATTCCTTTAGATGAAAGCGAAGTGCAGCAACGGAATGCAGAGATGATGGCGGAAAAGGGCATAGCCGAAGAGGCACTTGAAAAGGCACAAAGTGAACAGTCTTCGATGGAAATCATGGATACGTTAACGCGAGAGTTGATCCGTTTTCAACGACGCTTTGGCTCGACGCAAGACTTTGGACGGCATCCAAGATCACGGTTTCTTCGGGACCACAATGATGGCTCAGGCAGTGAAGGGGAAGGTCGAATAACACGTAGTCGAGAAGCAAGTGCAAGTAGTGCTGGCACTAGCAACATTCTGTTTGAAAAGCGTGCAGCGCACACTTGAGTCCCTTCCCTCCTTACGTTATCTCACATATCCTTCGCTCATCCTAAACCCATTATCTTTACTTAGCATTACTCTTGTCATTTGTCAATATCAATTGCCCTCGGTTGTACATACATTCTCATATCTTTCTTCCGTAGTTTACTTTCCTGTGTACGCTTTACTCGTCATCTTAATAAATAAATATCACTTCAAGCTTTAGTTTTCCCCCAAGCACACAAGTTAAAGTAGATATAAAGATGTACTGTAGTCCAGAGGAAATGAGCAAACAATGACTTCTTTATTACAATCGCAAATGTGTATGTTACCATCTCAGGGCCTGCCCCAAGTTCTGACTTTCCCTCGTCTATCCGCCGTAACAATGCAATCTTTGTGGAAGGAAATATACGTGCATGGATCGGCATGTACAGTTTGAGACATGACGGGTTGTAAATAAGGTACTTGATCCTTGTTTAGAATAGGATGCATTGTTGCGAGTCGTAAATGCAACGCTTGGTCGTGCGTATACATGGAATCGTCGTCTTCGTCATCGTGGTCACCAAACACATTGGCAGAGCGTGATGTGCGTCGTCGGAATCGACTCAGTCTGGATTTGCTGCGTCGGACGGGCGTGTGATGATTCGACGATAGGATCGGTGGTGATTTAGGTGCGTGATCTTTGGGACTGTGCGGTGTGGAAGAGAAACGTGATTTCTAACAAACAGCAGTACAAGGATCGGTCACTGGTCAATCTTCATGTAATTCTAGCTTGTAAATCAAAACATACATGTTTTGGTCTATGCAATGCGCTGAATGAGAAATCCCAAAGGATCATGCGGCAGTCTTCACCAACACTACCAAACCGATACACTTTATCGTCACACTTCCACGGATCAAATGCTACCGCGGTTACCTAGTTACCAGAGGCGAAGATTAGCAACGTAAAGAAGAAGATACGTATGTACCTTTAGCCACCTACCCAAGATTTATGTCCTTGACATCGCGCAACGATTTTCTGCTCATGTAATGACCAGATTGTAACCAGATCGTCCTGACCGCCGGTCTATAAATCCAAATTGGTTTAGATGACAGAAACTTATATTGACTCGCTTCACTCGCTTCACTCTTACCAGAATGTAACGACCATCGGGACTCCAGGCAACACAGTGGAGCTTGCCAAAATACCCTGCATAAACATCGCATAATCTTTGTGTCACCCGAGTCAGTTACACGCGGGCATGTTAAGAACGAAAAGGCAATCGGTAAGAGCTTACCGTTCGTTTGTGTAATCAATGATACGCAACGTCCCATCTGCACACGCTACTGCCACATTTGACCCCTCTGGTGAAAATTCTAGTGCTGTGTTGATATTTTAGTAAACTGTTTGACGATAGCCAGAGTTGGGAAGAGTACTTATAAGCTTACCCGTTATACTTTTATCAGCTACTTTCCAGTGTGATACTGGGTTATATTTAGCACTTTTCCGTGGCTTGGTCACTTGAAATCTAGACAGATATAGAATAAGGTTGTTAGAATGCAGAAATTTAACAGTGTAACAGCAACGTTGATAGACAATCAAACTTACTGTTGCTCAGCCCAAGAAGACGGAGACGCAGGTGTAAATGCCTGATCATCTCGCTCCTTATCCATCAATAAGACAGAGCCATCGCTGAACGATATCAGGAACAACTCTTCTGATCCAGGCACCCATTTCACACAAGTTGCTACTGATGTATTAACGATTCCCTGAATGGATTATGTCTTTTAGTAAAAGTATAGCTAAAGGGAATGATGCAGTATGGGCTAAACCAGCAAAAGAACACTCACTCCTTTGTTTAAACGTGCGTATTTACTGCTGATTGGATCGTACCACATGCAATCGCCTGTTGAAAACCCAATAATTACGTCCATATGGTCACTGCCGTTTGTTGCTTTATTTACATCGTGACAAGTGGGGTATGCTTTTGAAAAGATGATTTTCGATAAACATTCCTGACAAAGGGTCACTGTTTTAGTAAATACAGAAACACGCTTTGATGCCCGCGTACTGCCACTCTTGATAAAATGCCATATGGGCAGGCACTCCTCTACATACACACTCATCTCTACTAACGCTCTCACACACGACTCCCTCGGTCCGTTCCGCGAGATTACCTTGACTTTTTGACTACCGTCCATCCATACAAAATTCATCCCAACATTGAAGAACAAATATGTATCGTCGATGGTGCGAGTGGCCAGAATATTAGAGAGCTTTTCGTGCACTGTCATCCGCACTACAAAGCTGGAGTTGGTCTTGATAAGGCTGTTTTTCGGTTTTTTTGGATGATGGTGGAGATGATGATGGTGATGACGAAGACTGTTTCGACTGAACAGAGAAGACAGTGATCCAACGCTACTGCTTGCTCCGATCGACGTACTAATACTTCCCTCTGGAATCGTCAATGTCGTTAGAGGCGCTTCGTGTTGCGGTTGCTGTATAAACGGCGTTGATGTACTTGGTGTAATACTTCCACTTAGAACTCCATTTGTTGACGTTCGTGTAATATTGTTACTATTGTTATTTGTAGAGGAAGTATTGGCGAGGGAATTGCTCGCAGCAGACGAAGAAGCAGGCAAAATACCGCGTTCAACACTGGATGAACTCGACGACGCAGCATTTTGCTGGTGCTGCTGCTGTTGTTTACTTCGAGGCGACGAGTTTGGGATAGGCAAAGCGGCGGATTTTCTTGCTTCGAAATAAATGCCAGTGTCATCGTCTGAAGACACCGGATCGTGTTCACGTACTTCTGTCGTGACAGGTGTCATGGCCAGTAATTGGTCCGATACTGATGACGTGGTCGACGACGATGCCGTTGCTTTGTTATTGTTGCCTTGGACGGCTAAACCTTGCTGCTGCTGTTTAGCGTTAATTCGAACACATTGAGTGCCTTGACTGAATTGCGGTTGGCACGTTGATAAAAACACTTCATGGTGGAGCGGGTAGCTTCCGTCCGGTGTATGCAGCTCGTTGCATTCAAAATCTTTGTTGCTCGGTGGAAATGGTAGGAGTAATTTGGGTTGCGTGGAAGCCGGTGCTGACGAGGTACTGATTGAACGAGTAACGTGTGGTGAAACGCTCTGGTGATTTTGTCAGTTTTCTTTTGCATCAAAAATGAACAATTAGAGAAGACCTTGGTGGAAAACGAAGCTTACCGAATGCATATAACTTTCCATAGCACCCAGCTGACGTGAAAGGAAAAGAAGAACAAGAAATAAAACGAGAGACACTCTACTTATTCTTTTGCGGGGAATAATTCAGGAACAATAGACCTGTGGTAACATTGTGGTTCGGAATTTCTCACGAGTCTTGTTCAAAGTAGGGCTTGGCGTTTGTTACTCTTGCTTACCACTGTCGTTACCGAGAAGGAGACATCAGAATATCAGCACGCCAACTGACAAGAGACTTAAGCTCGTAAAAAACAAAGCCGAGATCAGTTGTGTTGATTGTTGTTATGGTGTGCTATGGAGCTTTAGCATCATCCTGCATAATGCGCACACTTTATCTTGGTCAGTTCCCCGACAACGCGGTGAACGAAGAGAGTCAATACTGTAAGACATTCGAATGCAGATCATCGATATGCTTGTTTTACTATTTTTGGATATCCTTCAACTGCAGATAATTACAATGTACTGATGTATTATGCACTTCAGTACATATGCAACTCAGTATACTGTATACCAAGAGAAAGAGATTTCTTTGGATAATCAAAGACATGGTACTTTTTAGATGTTTATGTATATCATACGTATAAACAGTTGTTTTACGCAGTAATTTGAAAACTATCTCACATGGAAGTATGTTTACAAGTTATCTTCTACTACCGTTTGTACTTAGTGATTCCGAGCTCTATGAAGCGTATCAAAACGAGACGCTCTGCTGATTTGCAAGAGCAACGATATTTCCAATCATAAACCATATACTGTAATTACAGTCTCAATATTGTAAGCAAAGTTTTCTCTGCGGTCACTCCATGTGTACTTTCCCGGATCATTTACACAGAGTTTTTAAAGACTGTATACTTATTGTAATTCTATGTCTATTTTGACAATGCATACATACTATCACTTCCTCCTGCACCACTGAAGTTATTGCTATTTAACAGGGACGCCGTTATTTTATGTGCGCGATCGGTATTATAAGACATTGGAGCCAGGGATTTACTAGAACCACACTGCTGACGCACACCTTATTGCTACACTTTTTTACTGGAACGTAAAGGTGGTGTTCCAATACTGCACACTTGTACATGACCGTTCAACATAAGACGTTCGTTAACTACACTACATTCCCGTCATCCTGTCTGTATAATTCACAAACACGCTTACCTTCCATTTTTTACATATAAGACAGTGTTTGGAAGTATGTACATAAATGGAACAAACCACAAATGATAGTATACCTTTTTATGTACTTGCTTTGAACAGGTAGATCGCTCTCAAGCAGAATTTGAGTAGACCTTTTTGACATTTCCGCATGGGCTGAATTTCTGTTACTGGTACTTATAGCAGTAACATATCATTATAGTTGAAAGCGAGCTTTTGATCATCACAAAAGAGGCAATAAAAGATTGCCAGAGAAGAAGTTGAAATTGGGCGAAAGTGGTATCTCTCTTTGCCACAAGAGAACGTTGAATCAGCCGAACTAGTTAGGCGGTAACCTTCTGTAGTAATTATTATACACAGGTTTTTGCCATTTGCGAAGATAAACTCGATGGAAGCATGGAGCTAATCCGACGTTCTTATTTTAGAATGTATGGGAAAAAGTGGATGAGGTACACTTCCATTTTCCAACGTTCTAAATTCTCAAAAGTCGTTCTCAATTTAAAAAAAAAGGATGGTGCTGCTGTCATTCGAATCCTCGCTATTCCATCAGGTCCCAGTTCTTCTTGTCAAAACTACTGCTGTTTCAATAGTGGGTTCATGGTGCAAAACATAATCGTAACACTGATAGAATTGGTCATCTCATATTTTTCCTTTGTATGGTGCATTCAGATATGATATTGAGATGTTTTTTTTTGGCAATTATTTAAAATAAGATGACGCGTTTTGCACACATATCAAAACTGAATATGTAGTAAAACGAATGTAGATTCTTCCTGCCTATGTTGAGTCACAAAGCGTGGTTTCTCAGTTCACATAAACCCTTCTACGTAGGCTGGATTTTGGGATATTCTTTTACGAACGAGGTCTCAAAGATCAGAAGCATATCGGAATGATCCAAATTTACCCTGTCTATAAAGCTCAACGAACTTTCCTTTGAATATGCTCCCGGGATGCGTTGTATCTTAGTGCGCCAAGTACCTCGTTGTGCAAATAGATTGAATGGTTCATCTTTATCATAACAGCTCTGGTATACTGTATGATGATCTATGGAGGGATTATAGGCTGTCAATTTTACTATGTGCGTAAAGTATGTAATTCTAACATTTCGCAGGTATTGTACCAAATTTAATTCTCTGTACTTGAAGTGCCATTAACTAGAGCACCCAACATGTGCGTCAAAAATTTCCTTTACCTAATAATATTAAATGCATACCCAAGACTTAAAGTCTTGACGGCTAGATTGGCCATAATATTTTTACATATCCAGTAACAGAGTGTTTCCCGCCACGACGATCAGTATCTTATCACGAACAGCAAAAGGAGCAAGGATGTACTCAGGCCGAGTATCAGTTTAGTAGCAGATTATACATAAAATATACTCATACTAGACTTCAAAATGCTTTTTATCATATTAGCTGATGTCTCAGCCTGCTTCTCTTGCTCCGATACACTGCAGCAATACTGTAACGAATCCGAAGACTCTCACACAACATTACTATACGCGGTACATTGATAGCAGCACTTGAAGCATTTTGCAAGTTTTCGGAGCTCACCGCAACTTGGTAAGGTAGCGACAAAGCTATATAAGGGACAGATAAGGCTAATATAAGACCTTTGTTTTTTCAGTTTCAGGATGACTATTATCTTTCATTAATACTCGCTATACACGCAAACTATGGATACTTCTAAAGATGACGAATACATAATTAAATATTCTTCGATATTCCAGATCACATAAGGAAACGAACTGGACTTGCTTTAAGGGTTCAGCTACAGGTGTGTACTCGACGCCCGAAAATTTATAAGTCTTTACGAAAGCACAACCTTAACACGGTAGATAGTGCCTATCGCCTAGTTAACAATTCTCACAAAACTTATGATGGTGGATCCGTCTATTCGCTTTAACTTTATAGTATGTTGCTTTTCAACAAGAAGATACTATGATTTAATAGGATATGCGCATGGATCCTAAATAGATATGCAATTGGATAAAGCGGATTTTGCAAGCCTTACTATTGAACGTATCTCCCTACTGAGTTCAGTACAGACTCATTGGAAGCTATAGTGTTGCATACACTTAAATAAAGACGGTATGCTCAGTTCAAGCGGTTGTCGGCTGCGTCTATAAATCAAGAATTATCACCACTGTTAATGAGATGCTGCAGTGGCTGATATATATATAACTGTCATAACTACTATTATGAATAGAACTCAAAATAACTAGCAATATGAATAATCTTACGAGATTGTTTGCTTGACGACCACCAGGCGAAAACTGATCTTGTACTCGGGTATTTTGGAGCTGAACGACCTGTGATTAATTACTGGAAAGGATTCTCTCTTTTTACATTGGTAGTATAGTATTCACAATTACTGTTAGAATAGTAGTGAGCTTACAATAATTGTTTTAGAAAAAGAATAAGCTATACTCCCTGTTGGCTGACGAGGACTGCTGGTTGAAAAAAGAAGAGGGTTTGGAAGGGCCGCAGCACCTGTATCATGTAGACAACATAGCGTCTCAATATCAGAAGCAAAAGCATGTCTAGACGATCGACTTTCTACATATCTATCAGAATCATGGTTGCCTCGGTTTTACAGAAAAATTGGTTTCTATAAAGTCTCTTCTCACTATATACACTGCTTTCAAATGTGCCACAGAACATCAGGCGTATTTCTAATATTGAAAGGCAAAACTCATTAAAGCCTTTTCAACTCCGCAGTGGTTCGTTAATGGGCGTGGTGCGCGTGTGTCCTCGTGGCGAATGACGTTTCGGTCTAAGCAACTTTACTACTGTTGAGGCGCTACAAATGCCCAAAGCAACTTTCTTCTTCCTCCTCCTCCCTTCATATTCCTAGTATTCCCTTTTCGCTTCTACATTCCCGACCACATACTAACATTAATCCCTTATCTGCTCTCTCTTTCTTTCTCGCTTTTATTCTCTCTTTTCTTTTTCATTTTCCTTTCTCTCCCCCTAGTATATACACTTTAAAAAAGCTCATAACAGGCACAACCTTGCAACTACGACTTAACTCCCCCTTATTTTTGGATCCTCAACTTCCTCTTTAATACAAGACGTTTTTTACACTTTCATTTAAAATTATTACTCACAAAGATGATGTTATCAAAAGCCGGTGCCGAAGCTTACGTTGATTGGGTATTGAACAAATCATTCTTTTCAACTCAAAACTTTCGTCGTTATACGCTGTCTCGGGTTTTTGCTTACACTGTGTCTCACCAACCAACACGGATGTAGATCAACTCATTCCCACATATTTCTCACCGATGCACGCATATAACAGACTTGTCAGACGGTATCATACTATTTGAAGTTCTTGCCGACATGTAAGTCAAAGGTGGCGGCGGTGGAGGTAGCAAAGCCAAATGTAAAAAGAAATCATGCTTATCTAGTTGTTGTGTTTGTTTCCACATATGCCCTTTTCTAGCGACCCCAAATGGTTTAAACTGATTCGGTCGGCGGACGTGGGCGACAACTGGGTGCTCAAAATTAACAATTTGAAAAAGCTACACAAGCTAGTCTCTCGTTATTTCGAAGAAGTTCTCGATCGCGACAGCGAAAACCTGCCCTCAGTCAACCTGAATGCTATCGCCAAAGATGCAGACATCAAGGAAACCATCAAACTCTGCCAGCTTGTCATCTGTATCGCAGTCATGTGCAACAAGAACCAAATCTATATTGCGAAAATCCAAGACTTGTCGCAGACAGCACAGCACGCTTTGATGCTTAGCATTGAAGATGTCATAAAGACTATCCCAGGCGTCCCTATGGATCAGGAACCCGCTGGATCGGCTGCTCCAGCCCCTGTTCGGGTTGGTGGCGTTGCTTCTGGCGGTCGCTCTCGACCCACCTCATCCTACGGAGAGTACGTTGATTTCTTTTTCTGCGTATGTGTTGTAGATATGTGGCGTGAGCAACCAACAATCATTCAAAATTAGAGAGGCCATGTTCCGCAATCCTGCCGAGCTTACAAGAATTATCGAAGAAAAACAAGAATTAGAGATGCAGCACAAGCAGTTGATTGAGGAACACGCTCAGCTCCGTTATCGCTATGTAAGACCCTGACTTCCTTATCCTTCATAGATGTCAAAAGAAAAGTGGCAAAAAAAAGGAGCTAACTGGATCGAACCGAACCAACCAATAAAGGATGAACTCGAAAGCGAAAAGGAGGATCTGCAGCTTCGCTTACGGGATATGGACAAGGCAGTTGAGCAGGCAAACGAGACGGGCCGTGCAGATTTCGTCATGCGTACCGAGATCGAGCACCTGAAACAAGATCTGTAAAGTGTTTGTTCCGTCAATGCGTCCCCTTAAATACTTCAAGAAAAGCGTATATTAATTCTTTCTAAATATAGGCAGCGCAGCGAAGATCGTCGTCAGGAAGTGGAGATGCTCCTGGATACTCAGACAGCCACAATTGAAGATCTGACCCGCAAGGTAACCTGTTTCTGTGTGTGGAGTCTTATTCCTCCTTCCACGCTATCGCTATAGTGTGTACTAAATAGAGCCCAAAAACCTTGCATCGTGAACATTAGGGCGAAGACCTTGCCAAGCGCGCAGAACAAGCTACGAGACTGAATGATCAGCTTGACGAATACCGCCATGCAGCCGAAAAGCTCCAAAAGGCCGAAAACGTGATTGAAAAATACAAGAAAAAGCTGGAGGAGAGTGCTGATTTCCGACGCCAGATCAAGGCTATGGAAGAACAAAACCATACCTTGATGGATCGCAACCAACAGATTGAAGAAGAGTACCGCAAGGTGCTTGCTTTTAAAACATTGATGGATTCATACAAGGAGCAGGTCGCCAACCTTGAGACAGCCAACAAGACCTTGATTCGTGATAAGAACAAGATGGAATATGAGCTGCAGCACATCACCAAAAAGGTGGAAATTCTTGAAGCGGATCGAGCTCGTGACATGGACCGTATCCAAGTGCTTGAAGAGAATCTGCAAGAAGTCCAACTCGGTGGTAAGTAAAAGAGCACTTAGTGACTTGTAAACTCTTTTAACCCATGTTCTCTTTCTTCTTTCTATATCACTGTTATAATCAAAAGGCACCGTCGATCCAGTGATGTCTCGACACGAAGTTGGTGACGACACGGATGACATGGATTTGGACGAGGGCGGTTTTAATGATTCTTTGGAAGAGTCACTCAAGGAATCCAACGTGACTGAATTGTACGTCTCGTTTAGTGTTTTTATGCCATTATCCGCGTCGCTTCTCTGACTTTTATCTTTAGAAAACTTTCCAAGCGTCGTCTTGAGCGCCAGATAAAAACGTTACAAGAAGAAAATGCATCTGGACGTGATCAGCGTGAGCTTGTGCTGAAGCACTTGCTAGAAGACGCCAATCGTCTTAAGAACCAGTTCGAGAAGGTAAAGACACAAATCTCAATGATAGTCTGCGGTTACTCATATTTTTCCTTTGGCGACGTGCATCGATAGAACTACTTGGACGTTTCACAAGAGCGTGATATCCTCCAAAGTGACATGGCTCGCATTCGTGAAAACGTTCCAGACGCACTCGTTGACCAGTCGCAGCACACACTATCTCTCCGTTTGCACATCGTTGATCTCGAAAAAGAATCCAAGAACTTACGCGAAGAAAACTCCAAACTCGAAGCAAAGATTGCCGAGGGCAAATTTGCATTTGGCGACAATGCTGAAGAATTCAGACAGATGTCTGAGCGCACGCACCAGCTTGAAGAGCAGACCAAGAAGCAGCTTCAACAAATCAACAAACTCTTGCTCGAAAAAGATCATTTGCAAGGACAGAGCATCGAACAAAAGGACTTGTTGCTCGAAAAGGAACGTCTCAACAGCGAGATGAAAGCATCTCTTGCAGCATTTGAAGCCAAGGACGACGAGCCAATCAAGCAAGAGAACGCACGCTTACAGCAGCAAGCCATCCATTATCAAGAGCAGATCCGCGAGCTAAAGATCAAGAACAAGAAGGCCAAGGATTTCATTATGCAGCAGGACAAGATCATCAAGGACGGCAAAGGCTCCGGAAGTGGCGATGGCAACTATGGTGAGGCTGTGGCATCACTACAGGCAGAGTTGCGACTGCGTGACGAAGAAAACGAAAAACTTAGAAAGCAATTACACGAGGTGCGGCTACAGACGCGCCGTGAGCAGCAGCTGATCATCTCGGCATGGTACGATGTCGCACGCCGTACACACAAAGAACTCGTAAATTCCAAGGTAGCACCGCGTTCGAATTCTTGGCTTGGACAACAGCGCAGAGTCCTGGAGAGCCAGCTCAGACGGCGATAAATCAATCAGCACCCTCATATACTCATCGCACTCACTCACTCCATCACTCCCTCCCTCACTCACTCACTCACTTTCTCGCACTCGCTCAAACATATTCTATTACACCTCACACAACCAAACATTCATCTACACATTTTACTTTTGCTCCTTTTCATTATATCAGCCTTCCTCTTTATCATTCTATCCCCTTATATCTCATGTTTTAATAAACTCTTCACTCTATGGTTCATGTTTTAATAGTACCTGCGCAGAGGGAACAGATCAATGTTTACTCGGATTCAAGAAAACAATGGCTACTTAATGTCGTCTGTATTCCTGCGGATTGGTGGTCTGGAATTATACTGCTTGGTGTTTTGCAGCAGTCGATGACAACATGTTTGAGCAAAAGTGTCATTGAGACCTACAGAGCTTTCATTTACAGATGATACCATGTATCAACTATTATCAAAAACAATATGGTAGCACGAAATCATTCTTGACAGTTACTATATCTGGATGTACATACTTTCGTATGAGATGCGGGCAGAAAAAAGGTTACAGGTGGCACAGCAAATGAGAAATATAGAGACTTGCCGGTCCTTCGCTTACATTCACTTGTCGGTTCACCGACACCTGTCAAAACTCGGCGCAATATCATTGCTCTTGCTTAGACGACTGATGTGCTCTCAGCAATATAACATTTTGCTTTTAATATTCTTCACCAGAGCTCTGTAGGGAAGACATATACACTATAGTGTACTTTTCGTGAAGTAACTACTGTTTGCCAAGGAGTAGATGATAATATGCACTATAACCACCTGGTGCGTCTTCGTATCCTCCGACATGTAAACTGTGATCTGTGATTCCGACCAGTAAGTACCGAACAATAAGACGTAAAACAAGTAATATGGTAGTCAGTAGCTGTTCTTCGTAGGTCCAGACCATGAAGAAGATTCTCTCAATAGCCATCTGCCTTTCCAACAGGTAAATTGCATATTGCTGATGATCGTCCAGCCTTATTCGTAAGCATGCTTCCAACATTACTCCTCTGTCGTTAGATCGTTTCATAGAATGGCTAGGTGTTCGTCGATCATTTGAACGGATAGCATGTACGCAAAGGAGAGAGTGGCAATACATAATAAAGCAAAGGAAGATGGGCAATATTGTAGCTTACTCACCTTCTAACCAACACCGATGGCTTCAACGCGTAAATTATCAGCCCTGCTACTCCATATATTGTTGGTCCCATTGTCATATAGTTATATTTGATCGTAGGCCGGTGATCGTGTTTCCTCAATTTTTACAATAGAAAAAAACGTTTCTGTCGATCTTCTCGTACTAGTTGCTGTCTTCTTTTTTTTTCACTGCTTCACTTTATTAAGGTTATACAGACATGTTTCATCATGTATGCATCGTACTAGTACGCACTGTATCTGTTTGTGCTTAAAGTTATACTTATTTAGATATTTCACTATGTATAATCTGCCCTTATCAGGCTGTAATTTCAATCAATGTAACTGTTGAATTTCCAAAAGCTTGTTCAACTTAATTTCAGTAGTATGTAATCGGTAGTATTCCGCTTTAAACATTAAGGAACCTATTATGCCACATGTATGTAAGGGAACTGTCAGGCGAGCAGCATGAGAGGTCTATGATGCAAGTGGATAGCACAGACATAAAAATACATGAAGGAAAAAAGAATACTTGGGAGTTGTTGAACTTGGATTCTACCACCATCGTCATCCGATGTATCACGATTTTAGCAACTTTTTTTAAAAGCTTTTTTATTGACAAAGTGAGGCATTTTTTACGTGTTGGGGTTAGCACTCAATGCAAACCTATTGTAGCTACCGTTCCAGTTTCTACTGTCAAAAATAATAATTACATACTATTGATCTTATTGTTTAATGTGATTACAGAGGAGATAAAATTACAGACAAAAATAATACTGATCGTGACGGAAGAGCTAATGGTCCTCCTATTTTATAACACATTACATATTAATCTTGGACAAGTTGCTAATGCAGATGAGAGAATTTTTGATGAAAAAGGAACCTGGATGTATGGGCTCGGGTAGTACTAAGCAATAGAGTGTAGAGCCTCAGAAAGAAAGGAGTCGATTTACAAAAAAAAGTTTCTGTTCCAACGTTCTGTTACAGTAATGCTCAAATGATGTTTTCACATGCACATCTATCATGTTTCGTAGTTGTGTCATCTTAAGTGACTTATGAAAAACCGGCCAATCGATTGTTTATGTACAGCTAAGTGTAGGGAAGCTCAAGAAGTAAAATGACTTATATTACATTTGAAGATTTCTTATTTGAAACTGGAGTGGGATAATAAGCTATTTAGGATCAAAAATCGTGTGATACACGATAAAGTTGAATACGTATTATAATCAAACAGCGTGTTATATTCAGCAGTCCACATACAATTAGTGCTCATTATAGTCAGGTACAGAGTAAACATAAACAATGTAGATTTATTTTCAAAAAAGCAAAACAGGCAAGTGGAGTTTTACTTTTACAGCCTGCGTCGACTAAGTAGTAGTAGTAGAATAAGTACAGGTGATGGGCTATTATGTAGTAAGATTGAGCTTAAGGTATATACAGTACATCGATGGAGTAATAAGTAGAAGACTGTTTAATTCTACAGTGGTAGCTTCAATTTGCATTACTTGATTAGTGTGACATTGCAATGTTTGTATAACTGGTTTCCATAACACAAAAAGCGAATCAGCCGTTAAATACAATGAGTGGCGTGTACAGTATGTGGTTGGATTATCTATAAGCTCCTCCTTGCTTATATGATACATGTAAAATAGAGGTAAGGGTGTTGACGTAGTTGACGACGTACTGCTCGTACATTAATGTGTAGGCTTTTCCCAAACAGTATCAGTAGTTGCCAATTGTTTCTTCATTATTGCGTTCTTAAAGCAACCTGCAAGTCGGAGAACGCACTGGTCATCGTTATTATCAGCTTGCGACGATCGGCAGGAAGATCGCGAAGCATGAATATATAACTGTCAAAGGTATGATATATTCTCACAAACAAACCATATGGTGCGCGTCACCAAGGATCGAAAATTTTGAAAAGGTGCCATTTTTTTAATTTAAGCTCCGCGTGATATACATAGAGGTGAGGAGTGAGGGTGGATCATTCATTAGAAATTCTATATATAATGGGACTTACGCGACTCTTGATCATCACTTCCATAATCGATAATGATATTATTGTACAGAGGAATAGCAGTATCATCTGGCATACGCATAGCAATTTAAAAAAATTCAGGTTCTTTGAAAACATTATTAGCAGTACGGGCTTTTTGGCTGGCTGCACGCTTTTTAGCTGATTAATGTCCCATATTGATAGATGGGCAAAGAAAGAAGGGGAGCTGCCACAAAGTCAATCCCTCGCGAAATTTTTTAAGGCACAGCCCAAGGCACTGTTACTCGGTTACATAAAGTCCCGTGGTTACACAGTGCTTAGCTGCTCATCGCGCTCATCCTTTAGTGTGCCAAAATCTGAAAAAACCATGCATTTACATATGAATCTTGCCTAAACCGACCAACTTTGAGCCCTTATTCCAAAAAATTATTTTATGAAAGAAAGAAAACTAATCCATAACATTTGTCTGTAAAATATTAAAGAACAAAAGTTATGGATTGAATTGGTTTAAAAAGGTTTAGATCAGGAGAAATAAGCTCTCAAAAAATAGGTAGAAATTATCGATCCTTGGTGACGCGCACCATATAGCAACAATGTTTACTATTACAAGGAATGTTGATCCACTCTATTACTAAGTCTCCGTAGAATCATTCCGCCAAAAAAAAGTCTTGAGAATGAATGATTGCCAGTGCGAAGTTCTGATTGTTTCAAGACCAGTCGAAAGTCCAAAGTGGGCCTGGTTATCTCGACATTGCCATTTCCAGTTCGGTAACCGTGACTCGTCGGGTAAAGTGGTACACCACGGTTAGGGCCGAAAATAATGACTATATATGATGTGAAGTTCGAGTCAGGCGGAACGTTCTCCTGTCTTACCGTTGTTAGTAATTGAACAAGAGGTATAGCTGGAGTTTTTTAAGAGCACCTGCAGCGGTCGCTGTTAAGAACCTGTTATGTTAAATTTAACAGTTTATTTAACAGCCAGACCTTGCAGCGGTTGCTGTTAACGTCCTGTTAAATTTAACAGCCCGAACAAAAACTGTTAAATTTAACAGTTTCTTGAATCGAGAAAAAGCACTTGAAAAATAAAGCTATATCTCTCTTCATTCTTTGTTTGTATTCTTCAAATTGAACAACGCTACTTCTAACGCCACTCGCCTGACTGACGTTTCTGCCGCTGCCCCCTGCTCAGGAGAAAGGGCAAAGCTTTCATTAAAACCAACGACGTGTGAAGTTAACAGCTTCGTAACAGTAACCGCTGCACGAAATGCCCTGTTAAGCTGTTACGCACTGTTAAGCGGGCTGTTAAACTCTGAAATTTAACAGTTTCGTAACAGCGACCGCTGCAGGTGCTCTAAGAAGTAGTTCAATAAAATTGTGTTCGGACCAACAGCTAGCACAAGCAGCGACGTCATATGTTACAAAGAGGATCCGATTTATGTTCAATGTGATCTATGCATTCAGAACGATGATAATGATGGTGGTGTGGGAACACATGCCAATCGGTCTGGTAGCATATAAGGAACATTGATGGGCTTAGCGATAAATAAAACGTCAATCCTGATAAGTCGTCATGCATTAGCAAAAATGGTCATCGGTAGTACAGACGCAGCTTCCGTCCATGTATTCTCATGGTGTGAGCAAAACGAGATGTTTTTCGGCATGTTTGGTTAGACTTGTTACGCAATAAGAAGTAGAATGTGTAATACACCTTATCCTACCTACATACCACCCACGAAATAGAAGTTTTAGCAGCATGGTGTAAACGAAATGAACTACAGTTGACTCCGTAACATGGCGCATTTAGCCCAGGAACGGGGAATACACAAATGTGGTGCGGTTATACAACTAGACGAAGTACATTTTCGGTGATGAAATTCTGTATAGCAATAAGGATGATAGAAGGGAGAATGTGGTAATATATTAACAGGATGGGACACAAAAATGATAAACTGGAGCATAAAGCCGTATGAAGAAATATAGCACTAAAAGGTAATTGTGAGATAATCATACAAAATAGTAAAATAAAAGTACGCTAATGGTAGGTAGGACAATAAGAAAGTTTTTTGTTTCTAAATTCTGTAAACATGAAGAAAGGACAATAATTAAGCCATCTTCTCACTACCCTTCTTCTCCTGTGACGAAGAGGAGGGCTCCGTATCCGAAGCAGTAACTTGTGCTTTTTCGGTCTTGGCAAGGGTTGCCAACGGATCGTTGGGATCGATACCCTTGGCAAGCAATTCTTTCTCGGCGTTCCAGACAAGCAATGAGCGCGTGCTGAAGATGACATCGAGCTCTTCCAAGGTCTTGTTCATTGTTTCGGGATACATAGCCCACACGACGGGAATAGCAAGGAAGTTGAGAGCGCCAAACAACAGGAATGTAGCCCAGCCAATACCTGCCAGCATAGGTGGCGTGATCTCCATGACTACAGCATTACCAATAGACCAGCCGACCACACTCCATGCACCACCACGAGCTCGAACACGAAGTGGGTAAATTTCGACCTATGGTATAAGTACATGCCCCATTTTCTCCCACTTAGTAAAAAATATTCTGAGATTGCTGATGTTATGTCATGTTGTGCTATGTGTGAGTATGATACCTACAGGATACAACCAGGGCACAGTCAACCTAGCGTAGTAAAAAGTTAGCATTTATCTATACAAAACGGTTAAATGTACTGCCATATATGCATTTACCAAGTCATTCCAAAAAATGCAGTGTAGGAGAAGATAAATACAGCGGCAGCAATACCAAAGGCCTGGTTTGAGAAGCAAAAGTTAGTCATCTGATACATGCCACTGCTGTGTTTCCCGTATCCCCTCATCCTTTCTCAACCTCTCTCATTTGATAAACTTACCGTTGGATTCATTTCTACAAGGTCTGGCTTAGTCAGAACCGCCACCAGAATCAATGAAATGCCTTGGAACACTGCCCCATAAAACAATGTGAACCGACGTCCCCACCTATCAAGCGTGAACACGGCTACCAGGGTGCAGAGCATGTAACTGACGTTGTTGCATCCAGACAAAAGCTGGGAAGTGCGCTCAGAGAAACCGGCGTTGGCAAAACTTTCGGGCGCATACACAGTAATCTAAACAAATACGTAAGTATATACAACCACAATAGTATCAGAAGGAAAGAGAAATGGTCAGTTTCTGTCTTGTGCTACCGTGAATAAAGCCCGGTTTGGATATTGTCCAAGAGAACAACAGGGCTGGAAACAATAACAAAAAAACTTACAACACCAATACCGGTAAGTTCCTGGATGATTTGGAGCCAGATGGACAAATGGACACGACGGGGGATATTGAACTCGTCATACTTGAACAACATGTCCCAGTAGTTGGGCTCGCCACCTTGCTTCTCTTCCAACAGCAATGTCTCCTTAATTTCCTCATACTCTTGTGTGACATTGGGATGGCTCACATCACCGTCACCGCGCAGGGCTGCCAGGATATTTAGGGCTTCTTCCGTTCGGCCCTTTTTGACGAGCCATCGAGGTGATTCAGGGAAGATATTGATGAAGACAGCAAGAACTAGTAGCGGGATCAACTGGAAACCGATGGGGAAACGCCAACGGAAACCACCTTCGTGGCTGTTAAGACCATAGGCGATCCAATACTGTTTTGACAAGAGAATTCATAATATGAGTTATTTGAGGACGAGGTAGAGCGTATGCTTATTACCAATCTATAGATGCTACATTACCGCAACAACAACACCAAAAATGTTAAGCGTGAACTCCATAGCGATAAACATACCGCGCGAGGTATGATGCGATGTTTCGGCACTCCATACTGGTACAATAGCGTTTCTGTCATATAAAGTGAGTGCATTTTAGTATTCATATTACCCTGACGAAAAAGACAAACAGTAAACTTACAAGTGACCAGTGCCAATACCGGTAATAATACGAGAGCAGATCATCCATGGAACATTAGTAGCAGCAGTCTGAAGAGCAGCACCAAAGACAGCGAAAATACAACCAACAACAACACACTTGATCCGACCAATCTTGTCACCAACATAGCCGCCCATGAGGGCGCCAATCAGTGTGCCTGCGTAGTACACCGCAACAATACCACCAAGAAGAGCTTCGTTATCCCACAGACCCATAGTAGTCTTGTAGTCTGGAGCGATGTTGACGCCGCTCATGACGCCTTGATCATACTATGTGTTTGATCGGTGAGTGGAGAAAAAGGTTTTATTTCGTCGATGTCAGATTACTCATCAAAGAGAAAACTTACGCCAAAGAAGAAGATGGACAGGCCAGCGGCACTGTTGATGGCAATGACCAGGTTGTTGCCTCGAAGATAGTTTGCTATCTGCAAGGACTTGAGCATCTCAGAAAGTGATGGAAGAGCAAGAAGAAAGAAAGAAGAAGAAAAAGGCAAACATGTTAGGGAAAATTAACCTTTTTATATATGCACAAGGGCGCGCGCGGCCAGGCTTCCCAATAAAAATCTGCGTGGATGTGTGAGCACAGAAATGGGGTCGGGCGTTACACAAAGCAGAGCAGCAGCAACGACGTCTTCCGAGTTCTTCCATTAGAGGAACAGTTACCCTACTCGGCAAAATTTGGTACTTTCTAAGCATCCGCGTGACCATCACTTCATTCGTAACAGAAACATGCTGGGTGAGTATGCATCGAGCGGGCTGGCTTTGCACATGGGCCAAAGGTGCTAGCTTCGATACGTAAAAGATATTGTGGGGATGTCTTTACCCCGCTCAATCTCCACTCGGTTCAAATCCACACCACCGGAAACAACACTACGCCCCACACCACCCTCTTACATGCGGAAAAGGAGAGTAAACGAGCTGAAATAGTTGATTGGCTTAAATCGACCAATAGGGAAAATTGTTGCTCGAATTGTACATTTTTTCTTGCTCCGGTCACAAAAGCCTTTCTATACTTGGACAATTTGATGAGATTGGGTCGCACAGATCTTCGTGTGGGAACCAGCGAGTGTGATTTTTAGGCGTTCTATACGGAGTATGAAATCGCCTTTTGGGTTTGCCTTGACCGTCCGTCCGTCTGTCACGCTGCGATTTAAACCCAGTTAGAGGAAAAAATTATCAGCCGAGCGAAGCGAGGCACGTGCACGTTGATGATAAAGACAGTTATACTGAGCTTAATTCACACAACGAAGTATCAAGTATAGAGCGCCTTGCCAAGGGTCGCCGCAGGCGACTTTTTCTATTTGGGTTGAGCGGGACAATACGTTTAAATATCAAATTCAAGTTTTTATATGACTGTGAACGCTGCGTCCTTGGCGGACATTTCGCTCGAGCCCGATCATGTGAAGAACAATTAAATAAAAACCCTTCACGGATGAGAGGGGAAAAGGTGGAGAGAGTGGGGTGATGGTTACATAAGAGATTGAATATAGAGGAAGGGGAAGAGGGAGGAGAATGCAATACATAGTGTGGTGAGAAGAAAGCCTTACTTAGCCAGGTTCTGGACGAGGAGGAGGCGGCAAGATCCAATCGATTAGGGCTTTACCAGGGTTGGCGTCATAGTATTGTTGGAGGTCAGAGTACGCTTGTCGTAGAGCGTCGAGTTCTGCAGAGTATCCGCCATGTGGTTGTGAGGTGGTTGATGGTAAGGGGTCATTTTGGTGGCAACTGAGGGAGTTGGTTGAGAATGAAGGACAAAGGGTCGCTGTGTTGTATGCGGTTGACACGGAGGCGGTCATGTATGTTTGGTTGTTGACAGTTGGAGCATGATTACGGTTTGCCATCGCGTTTAAGAATATGAAAAGTGATGGGAGGAAATCCAATTTTTGGGTCTGCCAATATAAGATTTCAGAGATCAGTACGATTCTTGGTATTTGAGTGTAATTTTTGCTCCATCGTTGAAAATTTATTTCAACCAAGAGAGCATTCCAACGAAAGGTGTTCTGCGTTTGAGAAATTAAGAACTGACAGCAGCACCTAATCCAGTTTTTTGATCTCGCCGATATAAATTAATATTGACCAGTACAGCCTTCAGGTCATGAATATAATTTCTCAAGCATTAATGCAATTTACTTAGAAGCCAGTGTATAGAAGCAACAGCATATTCGAATTATTATAACAGCTCTATCTTCAGATGTCTTTTACGTTGCTATTTTAGTCGCGAATAGTTTGCTGGTCACGGGACCCTATAATCCAAAAGTATTTTTTTTTGTAGGTGACCTTGGGTCAGTTTTTATTTGCCTACACGTATCGGGGAATGAATGAGGTATAGACAAGAAAAGGTAAGTGTGTGAGATTGCAGGAGGACCGGGACTCAGAGAAAATTAAAAGAAAGAAATCGGGAGTCTCAGTAAGTCGACGGAAGCGGATGGTTGGAAACGGTGGTGTGTTTTGTTCGTGGTGCCGAAGTTGGTTTTTTTTTTGTTACTTTTTTTTTTTTTGAGTTAGTGCTATATGCGATTGTGGGTGTCATATGGCAAGAGTTTTACGGTGGTTCGTATACAATGGATGGGCGAAGGCAATGGATAAGAAAATGTATGTCCCGGCAGATGTTGTCATGGACAAAGGGTACTTGGTCAAATACATAAAGCCAGTGAGCAGACCACTATTATCCAAAAGTAGAGGACTAACGCGAAGTGAAATTTGCAGGTCCGCAGTAATGCCGCGTTCCCTTCTATAACTTACTAGAGTGGGTCAGGAATAATCTGTCACTAGGCAACTCTTTCTTCGTTTGACACTTGCCATCACCATGGGAACGCGTGTTGGATACGATGGTAAGCATACTTTCTTCTTTTACTTTTACGTTGTGGCTATTTTATTGATCCTTATCTTTTGCAGAATTGCGCAACTACATTGAAAATAACAAGAACCCCTCAATGATCGGTTTTGTCACCAAGAATGCTGACCAGCTTGCATATCTTTCTACATCGACATCAAACACAACGCCCCAGGGATATTTTAATCATTGGAAGAACCAGTTTGTCATGGCAGTGTGTGAATTTCGACCTGACCTGAATATAAGGTGTTTATCTTTAGACATTGGACGGTATATATTTTTTAAAAGCTAATACTTTGTTATTGTTATTATTATTTTTTGTTTGCTGTATCTATAAAGCCATCGAAATTCTGCAAGAAAACATGGACAAAGCATCTACAAGAGTTGAAATAATTGGTAAGTTCTGCATATTTATTCATCTAATATCCACTACATTACATTTCAACATATTGATTTTTTTTTACTCACTCTCACTTTCATGCTTCTATAGCGAGATACTTTACAAAGCTCCCGCGTACAAGGACTGAAAGCTATCCAAAGTGCCTCGAAACAAGCTGGAAAACGAGTACGCAGAATCCTTGATTCAGAAAGCGGATATAATAGTGGAGAGGTGGATAATGACGAAGAAGACGAAGACGAAAAGCATACATCAACATATAACGAATTGGATGATGTGGATAAGTTGATCAAGTCGTTTCTACGTCATGTAAGAAAAAAAATACTTGGGTACTTGTGTATGTTGGGCTCTTTTGATCTCTTATATGAACTTCTCTTACAGACAAACGGACAACGTATAGTTGACGAAGAAAAAGCTTTTGTAAAACGAATGATGGACAAAAAAAAACAATAAGAGACCAATTGCTTGGGGTGGCTGCCTCAAATCTGTTACTTCAAGACGGTTGGAACAACTGAACAAACATATTTACCAAGTAATGTTTGCTCATTTTTTTTGTATCGCATGACTTTTGAGATGAATAAGAGTAAACAAGACTGACTTTATCGATCCATTCAAAATAGACTGTGTTTGTCCAGCATTGCCAACCTTATCTCGCCTGAATCCCTAAACTTTTTACGAACCATTCTGACACCATCTCAATTAAAATCTTTGCAGACAACTAGTACACCATCCTTACAAGGATTATCAGAAGAGTGTCTTGTAACATTTGATGAACTGATAAACGACAGGTAAAAGGAGAAAAAAAGCAGTAAGGTTTATGGTACCGAACGTTCTAAGATTGTATAACTTTATTCTTAGCACGATTCTTGACAGTGATGGCATAATGGAGAATATCCACAAGTTGCAAGCAACATTCTGCCGAAAAACAACAAGCGACATGTATAAAATGTTGAGCATTCTTCAACATGTGTAAGTACTATAGGAAACTGCGAAGAAGAAGAAAAAGGATACCAAACTAACAACAAACATATCATATTACTATCTATAGCATTGCACAGTTTGACGATTGGAAATCCGAAGTAGAAGAATCCGAGACAACTGTATACCGTCGCTTTGCAGTTCTTCTAGATTGTCTGTTTAGAAATACGGCTGTCATAATGAAAGAGTAAGAAGTATCTGGGGGATAATGAGAGCAAAACATGCCACGCAGATTATTGACTTTTCTTTTGTGCTGGCTTTATAGTGGAGAATGTGTTGCACAAACCACCAAGGATACCATGATCATTTTGCAAGCTCTTGCTGGGTACATTTCGACATCTAATCAACCTAAACCGTATGGTAGCAAAATTGACCTGCTTGCAGCAACTTGCTTGGACGGGGAGCAGTACGACTTGTGCAGTAATGAGTGGAAGCGAGGAGGCGTTTGCGATTCAATATTACTCAAGCAACAAGCCAAAAATTTACGAACAAATGCTGCCATTTTGTCAAATTTAATCAAGTTAGGCTGCTCAGATTGGATGGTAGCTATTGATTGGGCAGGTGAGTAGAATCTTCCATTCAATTTTTTTGCCTCCCACATTTTTGCGTCGACTCTCTTATTAATAATCACCACCAACGATGGAACAGGTGTGAACGGCTATACATATACCCTTTCTCTCCGTAACGACACCTTTGTAGCAAAACCATATAAAAACCTTATGATACCGAAACGAAGTACACAGTTGAAAACTTTCAAGAACACACTTAACTTTCTTTTTAAATGGAGGGTAAGCACTGAACAATAACAACCCTATATTTAAAATGCATTCTAATTTTTTTCTTACTGAAACAATTTCTACATGTGACATAGAACATGTTGGATAAAATGGCTGCACAAATTGACGATCAACCGAACGAAAATCCTCTCCGTGGAATCGTAGATTTCACAAGTCATACAACCACCACCAAAGTACCTACTATCATCATCACACCCACACTGGGCAAGAGAAAAATTGACGAAGTTGACCAGGACAACGGCGAACAATAACTCTTAGTATCAACTCATTCATCCTTTTTTTTACATTTTTCCCAATCTTCACCAAAACATTTGCTACATAGTTTCTACATTTTTTTGAATACCCATGATCAATACTATACTACAACTGTACTCCAGTTAACAAATAAACACGTATTGACAAGTAAAATGATTGCATTATAGTAGTGTTGGGGCTTAGACCAAAGTGGGGTACTGTATTTGGTTATTTCAACAATAATATATACATAGAAACGAATACAATAAAAACGGACCGATCAATCCCTCGAGACTCGGTTATCATACATAGTTTGATAATAAGATAGGAAATTTGAATCAAGTTACTTTTGCACTGATTTCTTACAATGACGTTTGATATTTTTTTATCATTTGATGATGTGGGTGATGGACGATAGAGCCGGGTACTTTCCATTAAATGTTATTCTTGATCTGAGGTATCTTAGGTTTGGCCACGATTGTTTTTTTGTTCTTTGTTTAGTTTGATGGCGCGTAAGACATCGTTATGCGATGAGCAAAATTTGCTTTACAGAATTGAGAATTGCTTACTGCGATATTTATTATGGTTTTGAGCTTTAACTTTTGTACGACCTAGGATAAAGGGACATCGTAACAACACAAAGAATAGCAACTATAAGGGATACAAAATGATCAATCAAGTATGATGTCTAATCTGTTTCTATCCACGTAGAACGCTTTCGGTGAATGCAGAAAGAGACACGCTACTCACTGCGAGATGGAAAAGTAACCGGAACCAACTGGTATCGTGCACTGCGCTACTAGTGATAAACCATATGAATGCAGTGCAGACATACTGTATTATCACGTTCACTTGGGGCGTTCTTCTTTCAATCGAATCAATTACTACCTGAGAGACGTGCTAACAGATAGATTCCCTCGGCAACCAATATGACAGACACTCTAAAAAGTAGAACATTCATACACCTTCACCGTCAGTTAACTGTATTCCTTGGTATGTTCCCCACGTCACACGCTTTCGTTGAATGCAGAAAGAGACAAGCTACTCACTGCGAGACTGAATAGAAATTGGAACCAGCAGGTATCGTGCACTGCGCTACTAGTGATAAACCATATGAATGCAGTGCAGACATACTTTATTACCACGTTCACTTGGGGGCGTTCTTCTTTCAATCGAATCAACTACTACCTGAGAGACGTGCTAACAGACAGATTCCCTTGTCAATTCGTTCCAAGGTAAAAAGATGGTTCCGATAATGTTTAACTTAAAATTGGAGCTAGAAAAAAAGGGATTTAGCAGCGACAAATTTTGCCTATTATGTATTAAATTACACAAAGAAAAGAAGATAAATATACCATTGAAGTGTCTTGATAGAATCAAAATTATGGTTCAGCTTAACCAAAGAATATTCTCAATCTGTAAAACAACACCTAATAACTCGGCTTGGCTGGTATTCTGAAAGAACCCTATCTTGCGCTGGTAGGAAAAAGCCGTCACGTCCAGCATAGTACACTGCAGGCTCGTAAAAGCATTCTCTCTACGGTCTTGGTCTACCATGCACAATTGACAGTAAATGAGACGCAAATGAAGACTGTTCATCGTAGAGAAGAACGGAAATTATCATGCAAATAATTTTTACTTTTCAATTGTTATTATTATAATCAATGTGTGTGTTTTCATAGCTCGAAGGACGGACTTTATTTTGGCAAACATACCCCAAGACAAGCCATGAGTGATGAAATAGAGCCACATCTGTTGGTGGAGGGGATTAGTGCAATAAGTTTATATATAAGACCGAGGAATAATGGAGGCTTCGATATGGCATAAAAGGGGCTCAATGTATTCTTGTTAACTAAGACTGAAAAGTAGTCACGGATGAGCAGCAACCAAGTAAGCTCTATTGTAGGTAGGTGACACTGTCGTTGGGTTGTTGACATCTATAATGGGCCCCCAGCCTTTCGCAGTAGTGAAGGTCTCAATAAGCTGCTGCAAAAAGTAAGGAATTCGCAACAACTGGGGTGACCGATTTTTGTTGCTGATTTCAACAGTACCTTATCACGGTTTGTATATCCTTAAGTAGCTGTGTACATAGCGGACAACAATATCGTTCATTATATTTGCTGTACTGAGGTTCTTTGGAAAGCTTCCATGACAGAGTTCTAATAACGGCGATACTTGTCAGTTTCAGTACTTTATTAGGATCAATTGAGACCTGAATACAGCGAAGTTTCAAGTAAACATCATGATAGAGTTGCTCGTCTTAGTGTCGTGTTGCTTTTGTTTTTTGTTTTTTTCTTGCGTAAGGGGAGTTGGGCGGGGGGCTGCTTCTCTTCTTTCTCGTTGTCGTTGATGCATGCTGCTTTGGTACCGGAAAAACCTTATAGCCATCACTTTTACTCCACGTTATTATGTTCCTGTCTCATCTTCTTCTTTACTTCATGAATTAGAGCTTCTGGTAAGGGATATTGTGGTCCATATGATGTTACACCTTCTGGTGTTTCTAGTCGCACTACCGACTCAGGAATTATACAGAATGATACGAGCGTTGGCATCTAGGCGAGGCCGAATGGCGTCATAGAATTGAGCCTGTTGCTGTTTATTGCCTGCAGGCGATTTATTCGGTTTTGGTACTTCTTTACTGGTCTCATCACTTACAAGTAGTTTACGACTGTCATCTCACGATGTTGGCTTCTTCTCGTTGTACTATTGTTCGCCATGCTCTTTTCCATTACCTTCCTATATTTTATTTAGATGCACGTCTTCAGGTTACTTTCCCAATAATCCCTTAATTTCGTGTCGTTCTTGGTCTTAGAAGGTTTCCTCGTGACTATCATCTATTCTCCATAGAGTTTGATCATTAGAAATGACAAGCAGTAACACTTGGCCGTTTCCTAAAAAAATCCAAGGATACAAATTTCGGAAATTAATGTCTCTGAATAGTTAATCATGTAACCGAACCAAAATCCGTTTTTCTGAATAGAATGCTAATCAAGCTCTGATTGATAAATAACTATAAAATTACTACTGCTATGTCCGCACGCACACTATATATAATAGCACGCTATGTTGTACTGTAGCCTTTTCTGTTATATTATCTCAACTTCTCTAGCTGAATTATGTATTAATGATTTTTTTTCATGGAGCCTTCCATCCCTGGATGGTTAGCATCATTCTTTTGCAGTGTCGATGCTGATATCTTCTCTGTATCTGTCTAATTTCGTAACATGACATGTGCAACTACTAATATAAACACTCATTTTTTAATACTTACTTTTTATCTTGTGGTCAAGGTAGAAAAGTTTGGTAAGACATATAAATATGTCACTGTAGGAAAGAAAAAAGCTTAATATACCTTAAAAACCTAAAATGTGGAAAAAACCTAAAACGGGCAAATTAAGGTATATTAAGGTTTTTTTAAATTTATAAAAACAAAATGGTTCAGGACATAATACCAAAACTTTAAGCCCTGGCAAAACTAAAAAATCTAAGAGTAAATCTTTGAAGTTTTTAAATAGATAAGATTGTCTAATTTAATTTAAACAATCTAATTTAGTATAGAAGAGATTAATACCTAAAGTTTAATTTATCATAAAATAAATTTGATTAATTAAGCACATAAGTGTTTTAAAGGCTTGATACATAAGTACCCAAGTATTTTTTTTCTTACATAACGTAGAAACGACTTGATCAACTTATCCATATCATCCAATTCGTTACATGTTGATGTATGCTTTTCGTCTTCGTCTTCTTCGTCATTATCCACCTCTCCACTATTATATCCGCTTTCTGAATCAAGGATTCTGCGTACTCGTTTTCCAGCTTGTTTCGAGGCACTTTGGATAGCTTTTAGTCCTTGTACGTGGGAGCTTTGTAAAGTATCTCGTTATAGAAGCATGAAAGTGAGAGTGAGTAAAAAAAATCAATATGTTGAAGTGTAATGTAGTGGATATTAGATGAATAAATATGCAAAATTTACCAATTATTTCAACTCTTGTAGATGCTTTGTCCATGTTTTCTTGCAGAATTTCGATGGTCTTGTAGATACAGCAAACAAAAAATAATAATAACAATAACAAAGTATTAGCTTTTGAAAAATATATACCATCCAATGTCTAAAGATAAACACCTTATATTCAGGTCAGGTCGAAATTCACACACTGCCATGACAAACTGGTTCTTCCAATGATTAAAATATCCCTAGGGCATTGTGATTGATGTCGATGTAGAAAGATATGCAAGCTGGTCTGCATTCTTGGTGACAAAACCGATCATTGAGGGGTTCTTGGTTTTTTTAATGTAGTTGTGCAATTCTGCAAAAGATAAGGATCAATAAAATAGCTACAACGTAAAATAAAAAAAAATTATGCTTACCATCATATCCAACATGTGCTCCCACGTTGAAGGCAAGATGCTTGCAAGTGTTAAACAAAGAAAGAGTTGGCTACGTGACTTGATACACTCTAGCAAGTTGTAGAAGGGGAACGCGGCATTACTGCAGACCTACAAATTTTACTTCGCATTAGTCCTCTACTTTTGGATTATAGGGTCCTGTGACCAGTAAACTATTTGCAACATAAAAGAAACAGAGCTGCTCGAGCGACCAAATTTCCCTTGCGTAGACCAAATTTTTACATATAGGAGTTTAAACATCCGTTACACATGTCCCCACTACTATCTTCACTCCTTCGGTTGACTAAACGTCTCCCCACACCGATTTCCAGATTTTTCCTTACAAACTGTAATTTCTTGCGTAGACTAAAAAAAAAGTGGAAGTGTAGTTCTTTATGTAGACCAAAAAAAAATATAATAAAACTCTACTATCAGTGATAGCAAATACTCCATTGCGACTTGTCATCAGCTGCAAGCACAAGCACTCAAGAATTACTTGAAACATTGCTGCGCCAGCTACTTCTTTACAAGAGCTGTATTTTACAGCAACATTGAAATGTATATATACTAGTAGCTCCTATGATATAGTAACAATTATGTTTATATTTTATAACCTAGATACTATGGGTCTGGAGGCAAGAAAATAATCGCAAAAACACTTCAAGACATACTACTGGTACACAAGATCGATGCTGCGAATGAGCACATCAAACCGATGGATACTCCGGAATATATAGCCTCCCGCTCTTGTTCCAGAGGTCAGGATGCGCCTAGTTAGGGAAGATCTTGAGTCGCCTGTTGAGACAGAAGAAGATTGTGATTGCACCATTAGCCTAGCATAAGAACACAGTCCCCTTAGCAACATGGCGCTTCTCTACATGGAGCGTAGCGTTGACTACAGTTTTTTAAATATCCAGATGACGATGACTCAGACAGTGAAGATTAGGGCAACCAAGAGCATCATATACTCTAATAAATAAAAAGTAGGACCATACTTTATCTTCTCCAATGTATCCCTATACACTTTCATTTAATCTTCTCTTTTTTTCTCTTTCTCTATACTCTTCTAATCAAAAAAGAAAAAGAATAATGTCTAGAAAAAGTTGTCAACCCTAAGTGGTAAATGGCTACCACTGGATATTATACCTCACTTACTGAACGTCACTATAAGGCAACATAATAAAGGTTGGTCTACACAAAGAACTACACTTCCACTTTTTTTTTGGTCTACGTAAGAAATGACAGATTGTAAGGAAAAATCTGGAAATCGGTATGTGGGGAAGTTTGGTCAACCGAAGGAGTGAGGATAGTAGTGGGGACATGTGTAACGGATGTTTAAACTCCTATATGTAAAAATTTGGTCTACGCAAGGGAAATTTGGTCGCTCGAGCAGCTCTGTTTCTTTTATGTTGCAAATAGTTAGCTGGTCACAGGACCCTATAATCCAAAAGTAGAGGACTAATGCGAAGTAAAATTTGTAGGTCTGCAGTAATGCCGCGTTCCCCTTCTACAACTTGCTAGAGTGTATCAAGTCACGTAGCCAACTCTTTCTTTGTTTAACACTTGCAAGCATCTTGCCTTCAACGTGGGAACACATGTTAGATATGATGGTAAGCATAATTTTTTTTTATTTTACGTTGTGGCTATTTTATTGATCCTTATCTTTTGCAGAATTGTGCAACTACATTGAAAATAACAAGAACCCCTCAATGATCGGTTTTGTCACCAAGAATGCTGACTAGCTTGCATATCTTTCTACATCGACATCAATCACAATGCCCCAGGGATATTTTAATCATTGGAAGAACCAGTTTGCCATGGCAGTGTGTGAATTTCGACCTGACCTGAATATAAGGTGTTTATCTTTAGACATTGGATGGTATATATTTTTCAAAAGCTAATACTTTGTTATCGTTATTATTATTTTTTGTTTGCTGTATCTACAAGACCATCGAAATTCTGCAAGAAAACATGGACAAAGCATCTACAAGAGTTGAAATAATTGGTAAATTTTGCATATTTATTCATCTAATATCCACTACATTACACTTCAACATATTGATTTTTTTTACTCACTCTCACTTTCATGCTTCTATAGCTAGATACTTTACAAAGCTCCCACGTACAAGGACTAGAAGCTATCCAAAGTGCCTCGAAACAAGCTGGAAAACGAGTACGCAGAATCCTTGATTCAGAAAGCGGATATAATAGTGGAGGAGAGGTGGATAATGACAAAGAAGACGAAGACGAAAAGCATACATCAACATATAACGAATTGGATGATGTGGATAAGTTGATCAAGTCGTTTCTACGTTATGTAAGAAAAAAAAATACTTAGGTACTTGTGTATCAAGCCTTTGAAACACTTATGTGCTTAATTAATCAAATTTATTTTATGATAAATTAAACTTTAGGTATCAATCTCTTCTATACTAAATTTGATTGTATAAATTAAATTAGACAATCTTATCTATTTAAAAACTTTAAAGATTTACTCTTAGATTTTTTAGTTATGCCGGGGCTTAAAGTTTTGGTATTACGTCCTGAACTATTTTGTTTTTATAAATTTTTTGATTTATAAAAACAAAAAGAAAATAGAATTCTAGATTCCGCCTGTAGGGGAGGGAATCTAGGGTCCTCCTAAATTCTTTTTCTAAACTAGCCCAGGCACTGAGTGCCTGGTGCCAAAACCATGCTTAAGAGCGGGGATCTAGTTGTTAAGTGAGTAATGGTTTTATTTGGAGTATTAACCATGATTTTAGCGATTGCCCTATTCTCCCTTCGAATCCCTACAATTGATTTTAACTGAATTACTGTAATTTTATTACTTTTCTCTACATTATTATCATATAATACACTTTATATTGATTTAGTAGGTTCAGGAGTAAGTGTATTCGGTGGATTATTTCAAGTTACTACAATTACTCAAAGTATTGATGTATTCATTTATCTATTAGGAGCCTTAGTGCTTTTATTAGGAGAAAACTCCACTTTAGTAAGTAAAGGTAAAGGATTATCAGTACTAGCAGAATATCCTCTTATTGCATTATTTTCTATATTAGGTATGAGTAGTTTAATTTCAAGTAGTGACTTAGTTTCTATGTTCCTATCTATTGAACTATAAGTTTTGCTGTTTATATTTTAGCGACTATTTATAGAGAATCTGAATCAGCTACAGTTGCAGGATTTAAATATTTCTTATTAGGAAGTTTATCTTCAGCTTTGATTTTATTAGGAAGTAGTCTATTATATGGTTTCACAGGACTAACTAGTTTTGAAGGATTATATATGCTATGTTCAACTACAACAGTTAACCATGCTATTGAAATTAGTGTATTATTAATGGTTATAGGTTTATTATTCAAAGTATCAGCAGCTCTCTTCCATAGTTGGGCTCTAGATGTTTATTTATAGTGTACCAACTGTAGTAACAGCTTGGTTGACAACTATGCCTAAAGTCTCCTTATTAGTATTTATTTTAGAATTCCAAGGATTTACTCAATTAAGGAATTGGTCTTCATGGACATATTTACTATTAAAGTATTAATTAGTTCTTTATTATCATTAGTGATTGGTACTATTGGAGGATTAGCTCAATATAGACTTAAACGATTATTAACATTTAGTACTATTTCTCGTGTTGGATTCTAATTATTAGCATTAGCTATTAATAGTGAAGAATCAGTAGAATCATTTTTATTCTATCTAGTTCAATATTCATCAACAAATGTAAACATATTCTTCATTTTGATTGCCTTTGGATATTTATTACAAACTAAAGGATTATCAACATATTCACCAGTTCAATATATTAATCAACTTAAAGGTCAATTTAAAACAAATCCTTTACTTAGATTAAGTTTAGCTATTTGTTTATTCTCTATGGCTAGTATTCCTCCATTAGTAGGATTCTTTGGTAAACAGATGGTTTTATATGCAGCTACTCATAATGGTAATTTCTTCTTAGCTTTAGTAGCAGTAGTAGTAAGTGTAGTAAGTGCAGCTTATTATTTAAGAGTTATTGAAGTAATTCATTTTGATCCTTTAAATGTTACTGAAACAGTTGAAACAAATAAAGGAGAATTAACAACTTCAAGTAGTTTAGTAATTGCAACTATTACTCTTCTACTTATTTTCTTTATTTTAAATCCAATACTATTATTAAATAGTGTACACTTACTCACTTTAAATCTATTCTATTGGTAATAAGTACATTAACATTACTTGTTTTATTTATTCCAGTACAGTGAACCCCGCTTTTTGCACCCCCGTTTATTACAGATCCCCACTTATTACAACTTTTTTGAGCAGATTCCCGCTTAATACTTAGTAAAATTGCAGATTCCTCAGTTTTTGCAGATTGCAACTTGGAAATCGGACCTGTAATTTCTCGCTTCAGCCTTATATATTGTATATTAATCTCAAGCTTCAGAGACAGTGAGACTCGAACCAGTGACAAAAGAGATACACTATTGTATTCTATTATTTAAGAGCTTTAAACTAAATAAGGAAAGATGTGATTGCCAGCTTATCGATCCACTTGTGTAACATATTCACATTTTACAGTTCCTCAGATTTTGCAACTTTTTGACGGTATTCCCACTGTTGCAAAAACGGGGATTCACTGTATTAGCTGTAGTTTTATTATCATAGTAGCAAATCTATTATTAGCTGTTAATAAACCATATAGTGAAAAAGTATCACCTTATGAGTTAAACCTATGCTCCATTAATAAGTAATTATTGAATTGATAATTCCAGTACATGCGGGAATATCCTAAAGATAAAGATACTATTATAGTAACAATTCTTTATATATTACAATAGACAATCCATAAGTAATTATAAATAACTTTAGAGACTACAATGGAAATTCCAAATATCAAATCTTTTTTTATTTGGAATATAATATAGTCCATACCTTTTTGAAAAAAAAGAATATATAGTGGGTTTACACCATTAGGAGATGCTCGACAAAAATTTAGTGTTCAATTTTATTTTGTAGCAATTCTATTTATCGTATTTGACTTAGAGGTTCTATTCTTATTCCTATTTGCAGTATCTCTATATGAAATTTCTTCTTTAGGATTCTGGGTAGTTATTTTCTTCTTAATTATCTTAACAATTGGGTAAACAAGCCCTAATAACATTAATGTTATTATTAATCTTATTATATGCTGGAAAATCCTTAAAGACTGTAATACCTTATTGGTAATAATTTACAGTATTGGATAATCAGCAGGATATAAATTATCCTCAGAGACTACAAATAAGACATTCATAATGAATGAAGAAATAGTCCCATCCATGATAAAAATTATGGCGGTATAATCCGGAGTTATTTTTAATCTCATTGAGCAGTATTGTTATAACCAAATGATTAATGAGATTTTTGATCCTTAACTTAAGATATTGTTGTTTACGAGTGGTCTAAAGGAGCTTTAAAATTTGCTAAAGATCCTTCACTTTCAAAAATCAACCTATAAATATTACTTTTTAAATAAGGTCATATAGTACTTAGTATTATATGGCCCCCTTAATCCACTCAATTACAATATTGTCTGTGTTATAATATATAAGTGGACAAAATATGGATAACAACTAATAGATAATAACTAAATAAACTATTACCTAAATTTTTACATAAACTAAGGAATAATAAATTTAAATAATGTTAATTAGTCATTATTTATTTAATGAATAGAATAATAAATTACTTAATATGACAAACATTGATTTACACACTTATTTAAACGAATTAAAACCTGAGTACATTTATTTAAACAGTTCAACTGAAAAATTAAAAATATTAAAAGAATTAAAATATATTTCTGGAATTTATCTATGGTACAATAATATTACAGATAATTATTATATTGGTAGTGCTAAGGATTTATCTAATAGATTAGCTAGATATTATAGACCTTCTGAATTAATTAGAATTAAAGGAAGTTTAATTCATAGAGCTTTATTAAAATATGATCATGAAAATTTCTCTGTTTATATTTTAGAAACTTGTAATTCATCAGAATTAATTACAAGAGAACAAAATTATATTAATTTATTAAAACCTATTTATAATATTTTTAAATTTGCTCATTCTAGTCAAGGTTATATGCATAATGAAGAAACTCGAAAAATTATGAGTCAAATTAAAAAAGAAGATCCTAAATTAATAGAAAGAATCTTAGTTTTAGCTGAAATTAATAAAGGTAAAAAACGTTCAGAAGAATTTAAAAAATTAAGAAGTGAATTAACTAAAGGCTATAATAATCCTAATTTTGGAAAAGGTAATTCTGTTATTGAATATGATATTGTTAATAATAAAATTAAAATTTATTCATCAGTAAGTAATGCTGCTAAAGCTCATAATACAGGTAGGAATTCTATTAGATATTGTATTAATAAACAAAATTTATATAAATCTCAATACAAGTTTAAATATTTTGATTCTTTTGAAGATAATGATTAAAATTTTAATTTATTTTTAGTCTATGCCTCGCAAACCTGGGTCATTAATTAATGACCCTCTTATAATTAAAGGGATTAGAACCCCTCTAAATTTGTACAATTAGTAATAAATAAATCTCTCCTCACAATAAATACCTATAATTAGATGAAGAGTAAAAATGTGTATTAAACCTTTAATAAAATTAGACGCAGGGTGGGAACTTACCCGCAGGTGACCCGTAAGCCTTAAAACCTATAAAAACTAGGAGAGGGGTGGATATTTGTTTAAATAATCTTTATTAAAAATCTACAAAATAATTGATTTATGCAATTCCTCTGAGTTTCATATATATACAAGTTGATATAATTAATACCTGAGAAAGGAAAATAATAATGTAAAAATATGTATTACTATGGTTTACTAATTTTAAATAATTATTAATGATAGGTAATAACTATTTAGGAGCTTTATTAATATATTGATCTCCATATAATTTAGTATAATAGTTAGTAATTAAACCCATTAGAGCAGATGAAGTAGCAAAACTAAATAACATAGTACCAGTACTACAGTGGTCCCCCGCTTTTTGCAGCAGCGGTTTTTGGTGGAAAAAAACTGTAAAAAGTGGGGAACTGCAAAAAGTGAGGATAAGTATGAGATGTTACACAGACTGAGTCTATAATGTCAATCAAGTGTCAATGATAGTAAACTAATTAAAAGTGTCGGTGCTGTGCTGAGGTTACTTATTATAACTCAACTCTTATATAAAAGGCTATTGTCTCACTCTTGATGTTTATATACTGCACTATCAGCACCTCCACACCACTATAGTAAAAGCGAAATACCAAAAGCTTACTGAATAGTAAAACGATGCTATTTATCAACATTACATGTAGATGTCACTGGTTTGAGACTCTGTGTCCCAGGCTCCCAAGTTAATAGCGGAAAACTACAGGTCCCCATTTTTGGCCTGCAAAATGCAAAAAGTGAGGAAACTGCAATTTTATTAAGTGATGAGTGGGTGTGCTCCAAAAAAATCTGCAAAAACTGAGGATCTGCAAAAAGTGGGGCTGCAAAAAGCGGGGGACTACTGTAAAAGATGCAAAAAAAGGATAATTAACAGATTCATTTATATGTAAAGCTTCTAAATCAAATAAAGAAGCTTTTTTAATATCAAGTGAATTTAATGTATTATCTTCTAATTCTGTTTGGGACTCTAAATTTCTATTCTTAAATGCTTCATTTGCCTCTTTTGATCTCTTATATGAACTTCTCTTACAGACAAACGGACAACGTATAGTTGACGAAGAAAAAGCTTTTGTAAAACGAATGATGGACAGAAAAGAGACAATAAGAGACCAATTGCTTGGGGTGGCTGCCTCAAATCTGTTACTTCAAGATGGTTGGAACAACTGAACAGACATATTTACCAAGTAATGTTTGCTCATTTTTTTTTGTATCGCATGACTTTTGAGATGAATAAGAGCAAACAAGACTGACTTTATCATTCCATTCAAAATAGACTGTGTTTGTCCAGCATTGCCAACCTTATCTCGCCTGAATCCCTAAGCTTTTTACGAACCATTCTGACACCATCTCAATTAAAATCTTTGCAGACAACTAGTATACCATCCTTACAAGGATTATCAGAAGAGTGTCTTGTAACATTTGATGAACTGATAAACAATAGGTAAAGTAAAAAGGAGAAAAAAAGTAGTAAGGTTTATGGTACCGAACGTTCTAAGATTGTATAACTTTATTCTTAGCACGATTCTTGACAGTGATGGCATAATGGAGAATATCCACAAGTTGCAAGCAACATTCTGCCGAAAAAAAACAAGCGACATGTATAAAATGTTGAGCATTCTTCAACATGTATAAGTACTATAGGAAACTGCGAAGAAGAAGAAAAAGGATACTAAACTAACAACAAACATATCATATTACTATAGAGGACATTCAGCTACATCAGACTTTTTAAAAATATTTATTTATACATTATTTTATATACAACATAATTTATGATCTATTTTTTTAACGTTTTTATTATTTTTTTTTTAAATGTTAAGACTTCTAATATATCACATGACTTTTTTATTTATTTATTTTTATTATTCAATAATAAATTATGAAAAAGAAAAGTAATAAAAAATTGTTAATTATTTTTCAACTTTTTGGGGTCATGTGATATATTAGAAGTCTTGGCATTTAAAAAAAATAAAAATAAAAATATTAAAAAAATAGATCATAAATTATGTTGTATATAAAATAATGTATAAATAAATATTTTTAAAAAATCTAATGTAGCTGAATGTCCTCCTTGATAATAATTTGTATATTATTTTATAGAAAATCTTAATATTTTTTGAAAAGGAGGATATCCTGACATAATCTAAACATTAATATCTCAAATAAATTATAAAATTTAACTGTTTTTAAATACTTATCTATTATTAATGTTTCATTAAAGCTTTCTTGCCACACCTATTCATTGTATGTTTCATCATAGTTTTTCTATTTTACCAGAAATTTCATCCTCTTTTTGAATTTTCTATAACTTAGTATTCTTTCTACTTCAAAATTTTCTTCATCATTTTCACTTTCCAGATCCATGATTAATTCATTTGATCTTTGCATATTATTATATTCAAAATAATTATATAAGTAATCTAATTGTCTATTATTCATTTCCACTAGTTTTACCAAGTCTAACTTGTATATAATATTATCTACTTCTTTATTTGGATTAGGATAATTAAAGTTTTCATTAGACCATAAAATATGGTTTGGTTTTATAGGTATAATATAAATATTAACAAACTTTTGTATATTTAATCATAAAAGTACTAATTTCAATTATATATTATATATTTTTATATCTGTTATTTTACAATTTCTTTCATTATTATTAAATCTTTTAAATTTATTACCAAGTAAACCAAAATAACTTCCAATTTTACTTCTGAAGCTACCAAATGTCTCATTATATAATATTTCATCATCAGTTAACTCCCCATTTTTATTTTTTCTAATTGGAAACATAAAATTACTTGTATTTATATTATCGATTCCTTTTTTATCACAATTTTCTATAAATTTTTCAAAGTAATAATAATATCTACCATCAAATGCAAGACAATCATTTTCATTTAATTTATTTTCTAATTTCATTTCTAAAAACATTTGACCATCATTATAATTTCTATATGGTTTGCTTTCAGAAACATATATTGCAAATTTATTACCATCACAAACTACTTGTGTCCTTAAGCCACTGTTTTTGAACTTATGTGAATAAAATTTTCTTTTCTTTATATCCTTTTTTAAATAGTCAATTCTACTATCATGACCATCTATGAAAAGAGTTTGATTTTTAAATCCTATTGGATTAATTTTTTTTAGCATTAATTATTCTCAAAGCAGTAGATAAAAACATATTTACCAATAACTCTGTAAATAATCTATTCAATTCATTTTTATTATTATCCCAAAATTGTTTATATATTTCATGAAATGAAGAAGATGGTATAAAATCTTCCATATCTCTGATGGAATTTCCTATAACTAAATGATATAAAATCAAGAAACCTTTTTCCATAAATACATATGGTCGTTTATAATCATATTTATCAAATATTTATTAAAAAAAAGAACACAGGAATATACCCTATTTTACTAATAAGTTCTTCTTTTACTTTTTCTATGTTATCATTACTTTTAATCTCTTCTCTATGCTTATAATTAGATAGTTTTATAGGATAATTCATATCTAAGAAGTACTAATATTTACTATTTATATTTTGTAATTCATTTGTTAATATCTCTTGTTCTATTTTTATATTAAGAATAAATTTAATTTTTAATTAATTACATAAGGTCAATAACTATGATACCCTTTAGAAATTTCTGGTAAAATGGAAAAACTATGATGAAACATACAATGAATGGGTGTGGCAAGAAAGCTTTAATGAAACATTAATACAGTAATAGATAAGTATTTAGAAACAGTTAATTTTTAAAATTTATTTGAAATATTAATGTTTAGATTATATTAGGATGTCCTCCTATCTATAGCATTGCACAGTTTGACGATTGGAAATCCGAAGTAGAAGAATCCAAGACAACTGTATACCGTTGCTTTGCAGTTCTTCTAGATTGTCTGTTTAGAAATACGGCTGTCATAATAAAAGAGTAAGAAGTATCTGGGGCATAATGAGAGCAAAACATGCCACGCAGATTATTGACTTTTCTTTTGTACTGGCTTTATAGTGGATAATGTGTTGCACAAACCACCAAGGATACCATGATCATTTTGCAAGCTCTTGCTGGGTACATTTCGACATCTAATCAACCTAAACCGTATGGTAGCAAAATTGACCTGCTTGCAGCAACTTGCTTGGATGGGGAGCAGTACGACTTGTGCAGTAATGAGTGGAAGCGAGGAGGCGTTTGTGATTCAATATTACTCAAGCAACAAGCCAAAAATTTACGAACAAATGCTGCCATTTTGTCAAAATTAATCAAGTTAGGCTACTCAGATTGGATGGTAGCTATTGATTGGGCAGGTGAGTAGAATCTTCCATTTAATTTTTTTGCCTCCCATATTTCTACATCGACTCTCTTAATTAATAATCACCACTAATGATGGAATAGGTGTGAACCACTATGCATATACCCTTTCTCTCAGTAACGACACCTTTGTAGCAAAACCATATGAAAACCTTATGATACCAAAACGAAGTACACAGTTGAAAACTTTCAAGAACACACTTAACTTTCTTTTTAAATGGAGGGTAAGCACTGAACAATAACAACCCTATATTTAAAATGCATTCCAATTTTTTTCTTACTGAAACAATTTCTACATGTGACATAGAACATGTTGGATAAAATGGCTGCACAAATTGATGTTCAACCGAACGAAAATCCTCTCCGTGGAATCGTAGATTTCACAAGTCATACAACCACCACTAAAGTACCTACTATCATCATCACACCCACACTGGGCAAGAGAAAAATTGACGAAGTTGACCAGGACAATGGCGAATAATAACTCTTAGTATCAACTCATTCATCCTTTTTTTTACATTTTTCCCAATCTTCACCAAAACATTTGCTACATAGTTTCTACATTTTTTTGAATACCCATGACCAATACTATACTATAACTGTACTCCAGTTAACAAATAAACACGTATTGACAAGTAAAATGATTGCATTATAGTAGTGTTGGGGCTTAGACCAAAGTGGGGTACTGTATTTGGTTATTTCAACAATAATATATACATAGAAACGAATACAATAAAAACGGACCGATCAATCCCTCGAGACTCGATTATCATACATAGTTTGATAATAAGATAGGAAATTTGAATCAAGTTACTTTTGCACTGATTTTTTACAATGACGTTTGATATTTTTTTATTATTTGATGATGTGGGTGATGGACGATAGAGCCGGGTACTTTCCATTAAATGTTATTCTTGATCTGAGGTATCTTAGGCTTGGCCACGATACTTTTTTTGTTCTTTGTTTAGTTTGATGGCGCGTAAGACATCGTTATGCGATGAACAAAATTTGCTTTACAGAATTGAGAATTGCTTACTGCCATATTTATTATGGTTTTGAGCTTTAACTTTTGTACGACCTAGGATAAAGGGACATCGTAACAACACAAAGAATAGCAACTATAAGGGATACAAAATGATCAATCAAGTATGATGTCTAATCTGTTTCTATCCACGAAGAACGCTTTCAGTGAATGCAGAAAGAGACACACTACTCACTGCGAAACTGAATAGAAACCGGAACCAACTGGTATCGTGCACTGCGCTACTAGTGATAAACCATATGAATGCTGTGAAGACATACTGTATTACCACGTTCACTTGGGGCGTTCTTCTTTCAATCGAATCAATTACTACCTGAGAGACGTGCTAACAGATAGATTCCCTCAGCAACCAATATGACAGACACTCTAAAAAGTAGAACATTCATACACCTTCACCGTCAGTTAACTGTATTCCTTGGTATGTTCCCCACGTCACACGCTTTCGTTGAATGCAGAAAGAGACAAGCTACTCACAGCGAGACTGAATAGAAATTGGAACCAGCAGGTATCGTGCACTGCGCTACTAGTGATAAACCATATGAATGCAGTGCAGACATACTTTATTACCACGTTCACTTGGGGGCGTTCTTCTTTCAATCGAATCAACTACTACCTGAGAGACGTGCTAACAGATAGATTCCCTTGTCAATTCGTTCCAAGGTAAAAAGATGGTTCCGATAATGTTTAAGTTAAAATTGGAGCTAGAAAAAAAGGGATTTAGCAGCGACATATTTTGCCTATTATGTATTAAATTACACAAAGAATAGAAGATAAATATACCATTGAAGTGTCTTGATAGAATCAAAATTATGGTTTAGCTTAACCAAAGAATATTCTCAATCTGTAAAACAACACCTAATAACTCGGCTTGGCTGGTATTCTGAAAGAACCCTATCTTGCGCTGGTAGGAAAAAGCCGTCACGTCCAGCATAGTACACTGCAGGCTCGTAAAAGCATTCTCTCTACGGTCTTGGTCTACCATGCACAATTGACAGTAAATGAGACGCAAATGAAGACTGTTCATCGTAGAGAAGAATGGAAATTATCATGCAAATAATTTTTACTTTTCAATTGTTATTATTATAATCAATGTATGTGTTTTCATAGCTCGGAAGGACGGACTTTATTTTGGCAAACATACCCCAAGACAAGCCATGAGTGATGAAATAGAGCCACATCTGTTGGTGGAGGGGATTAGTGTAATAAGTTTATATATAGGACCGAGGAATAATGGAGGCTTCGACATGGCGTAAAAGGGGCTCAATGTATTCTTGTTAACTAAGACTGAAAAGTAGTCACGGATGAGCAGCAACCAAGTAAGCTCTATTGTAGGTAGGTGACACTGTCGTTGGGTTGTTGACATCTATAATGGGCCCCCAGCCTTTCGCAGTAGTGAAGGTCTCAATAAGCTGCTGCAAAAAGTAAGGAATTCGCAACAACTGGGGTGACCGATTTTTGTTGCTGATTTCAACAGTACCTTATCACGGTTTGTATATCCTTAAGTAGCTGTGTACATAGCGGACAACAATATCGTTCATTATATTTGCTGTACTGAGGTTCTTTAGAAAGCTTCCATGACAGAGTTCTAATAACGGCGATACTTGTCAGTTTCAGTACTTTATTAGGATCAATTGAGACCTGAATACAGCGAAGTTTCAAGTAAACATCATGATAGAGTTGCTCGTCTTAGTGTCGTGTTGCTTTTGTTTTTTGTTTTTTTCTTGCGTAAGGGGAGTTGGGCGGGGGGCTGCTTCTCTTCTTTCTCGTTGTCGTTGATGCATGCTGCTTTGGTACCGGAAAAACCTTATAGCCATCACTTTTACTCCACGTTATTATATTCCTGTCTCATCTTCTTCTTTACTTCATGAATTAGAGCTTCTGGTAAGGGATATTGTGGTCCATATGATGTTACACCTTCTGGTGTTTCTAGTCGCACTACCGACTCAGGAATTATACAGAATGATACGAGCGTTGGCATCTAGGCGAGGCCGAATGGCGTCATAGAATTGAGCCTGTTGCTGTTTATTGCCTGCAGGCGATTTATTCGGTTTTGGTACTTCTTTACTGGTCTCATCACTTACAAGTAGTTTACGACTGTCATCTCACGATGTTGGCTTCTTCTCGTTGTACTATTGTTCGCCATGCTCTTTTCCATTACCTTCCTATATTTTATTTAGATGCACGTCTTCAGGTTACTTTCCCAATAATCCCTTAATTTCGTGTCGTTCTTGGTCTTAGAAGGTTTCCTCGTGACTATCATCTATTCTCCATAGAGTTTGATCATTAGAAATGACAAGCAGTAACACTTGGCCGTTTCCTAAAAAAATCCAAGGATACAAATTTCGGAAATTAATGTCTCTGAATAGTTAATCATGTAACCGAACCAAAATCCGTTTTTCTGAATAGAATGCTAATCAAGCTCTGATTGATAAATAACTATAAAATTACTACTGCTATGTCTGCACGCACACTATATATAATAGCACGCTATGTTGTACTGTAGCCTTTTCTGTTATATTATCTCAACTTCTCTAGCTGAATTATGTATTAATGATTTTTTTTCATGGAGCCTTCCATCCCTGGATGGTTAGCATCATTCTTTTGCAGTGTCGATGCTGATATCTTCTCTGTATCTGTCTAATTTCGTAACATGACATGTGCAACTACTAATATAAACACTCATTTTTTAATACTTACTTTTTATCTTGTGGTCAAGGTAGAAAAGTTTGGTAAGACATATAAATATGTCACTGTAGGAAAGAAAAAAGCTTAATATACCTTAAAAACCTAAAATGTGGAAAAAACCTAAAACGGGCAAATTAAGGTATATTAAGGTTTTTTTAAATTTATAAAAACAAAATGGTTCAGGACATAATACCAAAACTTTAAGCCCTGGCAAAACTAAAAAATCTAAGAGTAAATCTTTGAAGTTTTTAAATAGATAAGATTGTCTAATTTAATTTAAACAATCAAATTTAGTATAGAAGAGATTAATACCTAAAGTTTAATTTATCATAAAATAAATTTGATTAATTAAGCACATAAGTGTTTTAAAGGCTTGATACATAAGTACCCAAGTATTTTTTTTCTTACATAACGTAGAAACGACTTGATCAACTTATCCATATCATCCAATTCGTTACATGTTGATGTATGCTTTTCGTCTTCGTCTTCTTCGTCATTATCCACCTCTCCACTATTATATCCGCTTTCTGAATCAAGGATTCTGCGTACTCGTTTTCCAGCTTGTTTCGAGGCACTTTGGATAGCTTTTAGTCCTTGTACGTGGGAGCTTTGTAAAGTATCTCGTTATAGAAGCATGAAAGTGAGAGTGAGTAAAAAAAATCAATATGTTGAAGTGTAATGTAGTGGATATTAGATGAATAAATATGCAAAATTTACCAATTATTTCAACTCTTGTAGATGCTTTGTCCATGTTTTCTTGCAGAATTTCGATGGTCTTGTAGATACAGCAAACAAAAAATAATAATAACAATAACAAAGTATTAGCTTTTGAAAAATATATACCATCCAATGTCTAAAGATAAACACCTTATATTCAGGTCAGGTCGAAATTCACACACTGCCATGACAAACTGGTTCTTCCAATGATTAAAATATCCCTAGGGCATTGTGATTGATGTCGATGTAGAAAGATATGCAAGCTGGTCTGCATTCTTGGTGACAAAACCGATCATTGAGGGGTTCTTGGTTTTTTTAATGTAGTTGTGCAATTCTGCAAAAGATAAGGATCAATAAAATAGCTACAACGTAAAATAAAAAAAAATTATGCTTACCATCATATCCAACATGTGCTCCCATGTTGAAGGCAAGATGCTTGCAAGTGTTAAACAAAGAAAGAGTTGGCTACGTGACTTGATACACTCTAGCAAGTTGTAGAAGGGGAACGCGGCATTACTGCAGACCTACAAATTTTACTTCGCATTAGTCCTCTACTTTTGGATTATAGGGTCCTGTGACCAGTAAACTATTTGCAACATAAAAGAAACAGAGCTGCTCGAGCGACCAAATTTCCCTTGCGTAGACCAAATTTTTACATATAGGAGTTTAAACATCCGTTACATATGTCCCCACTACTATCTTCACTCCTTCGGTTGACTAAACGTCTCCCCACACCGATTTCCAGATTTTTCCTTACAAACTGTAATTTCTTGCGTAGACTAAAAAAAAAGTGGAAGTGTAGTTCTTTATGTAGACCAAAAAAAAATATAATAAAACTCTACTATCAGTGATAGCAAATACTCCATTGCGACTTGTCATCAGCTGCAAGCACAAGCACTCAAGAATTACTTGAAACATTGCTGCGCCAGCTACTTCTTTACAAGAGCTGTATTTTACAGCAACATTGAAATGTATATATACTAGTAGCTCCTATGATATAGTAACAATTATGTTTATATTTTATAACCTAGATACTATGGGTCTGGAGGCAAGAAAATAATCGCAAAAACACTTCAAGACATACTACTGGTACACAAGATCGATGCTGCGAATGAGCACATCAAACCGATGGATACTCCGGAATATATAGCCTCCCGCTCTTGTTCCAGAGGTTAGGATGCGCCTAGTTAGGGAAGATCTTGAGTCGCCTGTTGAGACAGAAGAAGATTGTGATTGCACCATTAGCCTAGCATAAGAACACAGTCCCCTTAGCAATATGGCGCTTCTCTACATGGAGCGTAGCGTTGACTACAGTTTTTTAAATATCCAGATGACGATGACTCAGACAGTGAAGATTAGGGCAACCAAGAGCATCATATACTCTAATAAATAAAAAGCAGGACCATACTTTATCTTCTCCAATATATCCCTATACACTTTCATTTAATCTTCTCTTTTTTTCTCTTTCTCTATACTCTTCTAATAAAAAAAGAAAAAGAATAATGTCTAGAAAAAGTTGTCAACCCTGAGTGGTAAATGGCTACCACTGGATATTATACCTCACTTACTGAACATCACTATAAGGCAACATAATAAAGGTTGGTCTACACAAAGAACTACACTTCCACTTTTTTTTTTAGTCTACGCAAGAAATTACAGATGGATATTTATTAAAATAGTTGACATATTCTAAATATAGTAATACTTAAATTTGTTTTTTAATTATTTTTTTTAATTATCAAATTTATAAAACTTTTTTACTCAATATCCATATTATTTTCTAATTTATTTTTTATATTACTGTTTTGAATCTCTTTAATACATTCATTTGATGATATATATTTATATTCATATTTATTACCATTTAATGATTTTATAATAATTTGTATTAGATTATTTTTTCTATATTTAAAATTTACATCTATTATTTGATATTGATATTTATTATCATTAAATAACTTTGAAGGAACAAAAGATCTTTTTATATCTTTAATAAATTTTTTATTTAAAAATGGATTATCTGCCATGATAATATTATTCCTAATAATTATTTTATTATATATAGATAAATTCAATTTTTTTAATCTTTTAAAAATTGTTTCCATATATTATATTCTCGATTTTTTCTTCTCCATTGAAATTCTTTTAAATATAATATAATATCTTTTTTATTTCTATTTCTAGGAACAATACTTTGCTTCAATCCATTCTAAGTACCTTCTATTGTATTAGTATGCACTTTTATAATTGGATCTTTAAAATACTTTTTATGATTTACAGTTTTATGTTTATATCCTATATTTTTTAAATTATTATATCCTTTCCAGCTATCAGTATAAATAGTAGTACCTTTTTTAGCATATTTTTCAATAATTTTATCAATACCATCAATATTTCTTTTTTTAATTGGTACTAAAAATAATTTTTTATTCTCATTCTTTATTTTATTCTTTAATGTACTTCTTTCAACACCTCCAATAATCCATGCACCTTCAACTCTCTTTCCTTTATTATATTTTCTTTTGGCAATTTTTGTCTCATCAATTTCAACTATTTTATTTCTACCTCCAATTTTTCTATTTCTATTAAAATAAATTTTATCTTTTAAGTATTTTCTAAAAATTTTATTATAATTTGTTACTGTATTTCTATTAATTTGTAATGTTGCAGCAATACTACTACATAGCATTTTTAATAAAAAGTAATTTAAAATATGTAGCTGAATATTTAATGGTAATTTCATTTTTGAAAATATAGTATATCTTAATGGGGAAAAAGCTTTACGACATTTATAATTTTTACATCTATATACTTTTATATTTAAATATAATTGAGTTTTAGAATTACAATATAAGCATTTATCATATTTATTTATATATTTATTATCAATTAAATATAACAATGCTTTTTCTTCACTACTAAAAATTTCTTTCAAATTAATATATGGTTCTGTAAACATTTATATATTTCCTTTTATTATATTAAAAAAATTCAATTTTTCTTTTTTTTAATTAAAGTAGCAGAGTTTAAAATTTGTTTTGTCAATTATCTTAGGATACATCCATTACAGATTGTAAGGAAAAATCTGGAAATCGGTGTGGGGAGACGTTTAGTCAACCGAAGGAGTAAAGATAGTAGTGGGGACATGTGTAACGGATGTTTAAACTCCTATATGTAAAAATTTGGTCTACGCAAGGGAAATTTGGTCGCTCGAGCAGCTCTGTTTCTTTTATGTTGCAAATAGTTTGCTGGTCACAGGACCCTATAATCCAAAAGTAGAGGACTAATGCGAAGTAAAATTTGTAGGTCTGCAGTAATGCTGCGTTCCCCTTCTACAACTTGCTAGAGTGTATCAAGTCACGTAGCCAACTCTTTCTTTGTTTAACACTTGCAAGCATCTTGCCTTCAACGTGGGAGCACATGTTGGATATGATGGTAAGCATAATTTTTTTTTATTTTACGTTGTAGCTATTTTATTGATCCTTATCTTTTGCAGAATTGCACAACTACATTGAAAATAACAAGAACCCCTCAATGATCGGTTTTGTCACCAAGAATGCTGACCAGCTTGCATATCTTTCTACATCGACATCAATCACAATGCCCCAGGGATATTTTAATCATTGGAAGAACCAGTTTGCCATGGCAGTGTGTGAATTTCGACCTGACCTGAATATAAGGTGTTTATCTTTAGACATTGGATGGTATATATTTTTTAAAAGCTAATACTTTGTTATTGTTATTATTATTTTTTGTTTGCTGTATCTACAAGACCATCGAAATTCTGCAAGAAAACATGGACAAAGCATCTACAAGAGTTGAAATAATTGGTAAATTTTGCATATTTATTCATCTAATATCCACTACATTACACTTCAACATATTGATTTTTTATACTCACTCTCACTTTCATGCTTCTATAGCTAGATACTTTACAAAGCTCCCACGTACAAGGACTAGAAGCTATCCAAAGTGCCTCGAAACAAGCTGGAAAACGAGTACGCAGAATCCTTGATTCAGAAAGCGGATATAATAGTGGAGGAGAGGTGGATAATGACAAAGAAGACGAAGACGAAAAGCATACATCAACATATAACGAATTGGATGATGTGGATAAGTTGATCAAGTCGTTTCTACGTTATGTAAGAAAAAAAAATACTTGGGTACTTGTGTATCAAGCCTTTGAAACACTTATGTGCTTAATTAATCAAATTTATTTTATGATAAATTAAACTTTAGGTATTAATCTCTTCTATACTAAATTTGATTGTGTAAATTAAATTAGACAATCTTATCTATTTAAAAACTTTAAAGATTTACTCTTAGATTTTTTAGTTATACCGGGGCTTAAAGTTTTGGTATTACGTCCTGAACTATTCTGTTTTTATAAATTTTTTGATTTATAAAAACAAAAAGAAAATAGAATTCTAGATTCCACCTGTAGGGGAGGGAATCTAGGGTCCTCCTAAATTCTTTTTCTAAACTAGCCCAGGCACTGAGTGCCTGGTGCCAAAACCATGCTTAAGAGCGGGGATCTAGTTGTTAAGTGAGTAATGGTTTTATTTGGAGTATTAACCATGATTTTAGTGATTGCCCTATTCTCCCTTCGAATCCCTACAATTGATTTTAACTGAATTACTGTAATTTTATTACTTTTCTCGACATTATTATCATATAATACACTTGATATTGATTTAGTAGGTTCAGGAGTAAGTGTATTCGGTGGATTATTTCAAGTTACTACAATTACTCAAAGTATTGATGTATTCATTTATCTATTAGGAGCCTTAGTGCTTTTATTAGGAGAAACTCCACTTTAGTAAGTAAAGGTAAAGGATTATCAGTACTAGTAGAATATCCTCTTATTGCATTATTTTCTATATTAGGTATAAGTAGTTTAATTTCAAGTACTGACTTAGTTTCTATGTTCCTATCTATTGAACTATAAGTTTTGCTGTTTATATTTTAGCGACTATTTATAGAGAATCTGAATCAGCTACAGTTGCAGGATTTAAATATTTTTTATTAGGAAGTTTATCTTCAGCTTTGATTTTATTAGGAAGTAGTCTATTATATGGTTTCACAGGACTAACTAGTTTTGAAGGATTATATATGCTATGTTCAACTACAACAGTTAACCATACTATTGAAATTAGTGTATTATTAATGGTTATAGGTTTATTATTCAAAGTATCAGCAGCTCTCTTCCATAGTTGGGCTCCAGATGTTTATTTATAGTGTACCAACTGTAGTAACAGCTTGGTTGACAACTATGCCTAAAGTCTCCTTATTAGTATTTATTTTAGAATTCCAAGGATTTACTCAATTAAGGAATTGGTCTTCATGGACATATTTACTATTAAAGTATTAATTAGTTCTTTATTATCATTAGTGATTGGTACTATTGGAGGATTAGCTCAATATAGACTTAAACGATTATTAACATTTAGTACTATTTCTCGTGTTGGATTCTAATTATTAGCATTAGCTATTAATAGTGAAGAATCAGTAGAATCATTTTTATTCTATCTAGTTCAATATTCATCAACAAATGTAAACATATTCTTCATTTTGATTGCCTTTGGATATTTATTACAAACTAAAGGATTATCAACATATTCACCAGTTCAATATATTAATCAACTTAAAGGTCAATTTAAAACAAATCCTTTACTTGGATTAAGTTTAGCTATTTGTTTATTCTCTATGGCTGGTATTCCTCCATTAGTAGGATTCTTTGGTAAACAGATGGTTTTATATGCAGCTACTCATAATGGTAATTTCTTCTTAGCTTTAGTAGCAGTAGTAGTAAGTGTAGTAAGTGCAGCTTATTATTTAAGAGTTATTAAAGTAATTCATTTTGATCCTTTAAATGTTACTGAAACAGTTGAAACAAATAAAGGAGAATTAACAACTTCAAGTAGTTTAGTAATTGCAACTATTACTCTTCTACTTATTTTCTTTATTTTAAATCCAATACCATTATTAAATAGTGTACACTTACTCACTTTAAATCTATTCTATTGGTAATAAGTACATTAACATTACTTGTTTTATTTATTCCAGTACAGTGAACCCCCGCTTTTTGCACCCCCGTTTATTGCAGATCCCCACTTATTGCAACTTTTTTGAGCAGATTCCCGCTCAATACTTAGTAAAATTGCAGATTCCTCGGTTTTTGCAGATTGCAACACGGAAATCGGGACCTGCAATTTCTCGCTTCAGCCTTATATATTGTATATTAATCTCAAGCTTCAGAGACAGTGAGACTCGAACCAGTGACAAAAGAGATACACTATTGTATTCTATTATTTAAGAGCTTTTAAACTACAGGATTTTGAATCCAATCCCGGACACGGGCTCTAAAATTTTCGCGAACGGGATTTTTTTTTTCGCTCATGGGATTTTTTTTTTTGGTTTACGGGATTTACCATTTCGTTCGCGGGCTTCTTTTTCGCCAATGAGGTTTTCCATTTGGCCAACGGCGTTTTGATTTGGCCAACAGCATTTTATTTCGCTAATGGCCCCTTTTTTCGCTAACGGCATTTTCACTTGGTCAACGGCCCCCTTTTTCACTAACGGCGTTACTAATTTGCTTACAGCATTTTATTTCGTCAACGGCATCGTCACTTAGGCAACGGCCCCCTATTTGGTCAACGACATCATTATTTCGCTTACAGTTTTTTTTTATTTCGCTAACGGCATCTCACTTGGTCAATGGCTCTCTTTTCCGCTAACGGCGTTACTAATTTGCTCACAGCAATTTATTTCGTCAACGACATCGTCACTTAGGCAACGGCCCCTTATTTGGTCAACGACATCATTATTTCGCTTACAGTTTTTTTTTATTTCGCTAACGGCATCTCACTTGGTCAATGGCTCTCTTTTCCGCTAACGGAATTACTAATTTGCTCACCACAATTTATTTCGTCAACGGCATCGTCACTTGGGCAACAGCCCCTCATTTGGTCAACGACATCATCATTTCGCTTACAGTTTTTTTTATTTTATTAACAGCATTTTCACTTAGTCAACGGCCCTCTTTTTCGCTAACGGAATTACTAATTTGCTCACAGCCATTTTTTCTGTCAACAGCATCGTCACTTGGCCAACAGTCCCTCATTTGGCTTACAGCATTAGTGTTTCGCCCTTGTTACTGTCGCTTGGCTAGCAGCATTTTTAACCATTAGTCTTTGCTTTATGGTGCCTGCGTCTTGTACTTATTCAAGCAAAGGTGCTTTAAGCAACCTAGTACTTTGACCCGCAATATCGCCCAGAATAAGTATGCTGTAACTCTTTACTTGTCGACCATATACAGGCATCTTCTGTGCAAATGCAACTTGACCTTAAAACGTGCCATGCACTATCCTGAAGCCCGCACAGACAATGTGACTAAGGACAATTGTAAAGTTTACGTGCGTAAGCATATCTAAAATGGCAAACTTGACTATTGGCTAACTGTGTTCATTGATGAGAGGTCGTTGACTGGTAACAAGAAACTCTGCTCGGTCGAAATGTGACACCGTTGTGTATGTCGGTCTTCCGTCGATGTGGACTGCATCAAAAACCCTTCTAGCAGCCATTAGCCATACTAGTTTTGTCGAGTCTACCATCAGATCAGGCAAAGGAGGAACAAAAGCAGTAGTTTTTTTTTTGTTTTGGAAAGCGTGATGGATGTCCTCGATGAAGATGTATGTCGTGGTGATAATTCTGTTTGTGACAATGCGCCTATTTATACACCAGGATTTCGAGTAGTCGAAAAGCGCAGATACCATCTTGTCTTCCTGCCGCCTACTCGCCTTTTTAGAACCTGATCGAAGAGTTTTTCTCAAGGTGAAGGCTCTTTACAAACAAGCCATCATCAAGGATTGATGTACAAGAAGAGCAGGCAGCAGAAGAGCAAGTGAAAGGGAAGGAAGCATAAGGGCCAGAAGTTCCAGAATGGGAGAGGCGTCCGTTGTCTTGCACAAGAAGACAGCCTGTAGTTATGAGGCAACAACAGCAATTCCCCACTTACCTTTCGCGTTATCTATATAACCACGCTTGTATTCACCTTTCTTCGATTATCTTCATACCAATCTCTGTGTCTTACTGTATTCTATTTATCATATCAACAACTACTCTCGACAATATATTATGCTTATATTTCTCAAACTCTCAGTAGGATTTTAGGCTTAAATGGCTTTATTCAGTGTTCAGTAAGTCATGTGTCAGCATTAATAAGCAAGCGAGTGCAGCGAGCGATAGATTTCGTATTTGCCGAAGCGAAGTGGCGTTCAGGATGATCAGTAAATAAAAACGATATGCATTAGCCTCTTACTAATTTACATAAAGCATGTGTGCTACAGTACTAACCATCTGGATCTTCTCCACGTTCTATGCGTGCTGCCCTGATTTGATCATTTGTTTTATAGATTTCTGCCTCTATTTGGAGAGCAGCGGCAATGGTGATTCCAACGGCATCAGCTACTTCTCTACGACTAGCGTGCAGCCACTCCCTTGTACAATAGCGTAGCTCGATGTACTTGACAGACTGCTCTGATGTATAATAACTATTGTCTGGGACAATGGCTGTATCGTCCGAAGGAGGAGGCGAAGGCGTTGGTGAGCGAGGTACAACTGCATCGTCGTTTGAAGACATAGGAGTATGAATGAGTGAATGAGGTGAAAAAGCCTTCATTCTTAGGGCATATCTATATATACCTGCAAACTGAAATGGCGTTTTTGACGAGAATACAAATCCAAAAATCTCTCCAATTTAGATGACAGTCCTTTAAGCACTATCGAATAATTTCATGGAAGATTATCCGCAAGTAGAATGTAATGCTTTTGCTTTTATACATATAGAAATGCTCTATGCGACGCAACATGCCATTTTCATTTTTTTAATCTTTTTATCATTATGAAAACTAAGAATCAGACATCGTCAACCATCCAGCGAGTGACAATGGCCTCATCTTGTGATATGATAGAAGCATTTAAATAGCTTCATATTTTACGCCTTGTTTTTGTTTGGCTATCTTTTCGATGAAAAAGGACTATGTAGAATAAAAGATATTTGTATGACGGCCCAAAAAGAAACAGCCTCTATAAATATTGGTACCTGTTGCGCCTTTATTCCCCCTATTAAAATCAATAAACTCGACTATGAAAACACGCTCCCAAGCACGATCTGAAACACACCAGCAATCACGCCCTCAGCAAGGGAACATCTCCAACCTTCAAACAAAAAAAATTATCAAGAAACGATCCACAGAAAAGTCGCCATTGAAGCGCTTAATTAAAGCGATGAGTGATATGGATATAGTTGATACCCACCAGCCCTTTGGTATATACTTGCCTTCGTTTTAGATGAGAATATGCATGCATTGTATTTGTCAAATTTCTTACAGGATCTTATAAACAGCCAATACCACATCCACCAGCATTCCTAATGAGGATACAAACATGGAACCAATTGATATTGTCCATGAAGAGGAGCTCGACGATGCACCGAGTCAATATCAAATCAGTTGCTTTCCGATCGAACAATCCCGTCTGATACAGCCAAACGATGGTATCGACTCTTCTGACGATGCTGGCACCAGCAGCTCTGAAGAGGAGGAAGGTGAAGAGCTAACAGTGCTTTCAGTTGGCGCTGGCTCTCCTCCCGTCAGTTCGAGTAGCAGCGATGTCATTGAGCATCAAAGAGCCAGAAAAAAGACTACCACAACGCCTACCACCCGACGTGGACCAAGTACGCCACATTCCCTGCAGCAGATGCAACAAACTTTGTTGTTACGCGCTGCTGGCGCCAAGTACCGCACCATATCTCGTGTATCAGGTGTTGCCAAATCCAGCATCTTCGATCACAAAAAGAGATATGCAGAACGTGATGGAAATGCAAATCCCATCAAACATAAAGGAAAATCATTGCCAAAAATCACTAAGGAAGGCAGTAATTTCCTTGTGGAGACGGTGACCACTGCAAATACAGTGACGTTAGAGCAGATTACGATGCTATACTTTAATCGCTTCTCTGTGCTGCTTGACGCATCTACCATATATCGCCATTTAGTAGAGAAATGCAGAATCACGATCAAGCGTGCACATCCGTACCCAGAGCGGCGTACCGACGAAACAACAAAAGACTTGCGCTTCGATTTCGTTCAACAGTATATTAGCAGCAACATACTGGACTATAAGAATAATTGCGTATTTGTCGACGAAGCATCGGTGACCGCAAACATGCGACGCAACCATGCATGGTCACGAGCTGGAGAGGTGGCGCATGTTAAAGTACCGCACATGTATGCTCGCTCGCGCTCCATGCTTGTAGCCATCTGCTCCACAGGCATTGTTAGAGCATGCACCAAAATCAACAGGGGAGGAACGGGAGGTGGAACAAAAACCGTCCACTTCTTCGCCTTTTTGAAGCAAGTAATGGACGAACTTGATCAGCGAGACTTGCAGGATAAAGGCTGGAATATTGTATGCGACAATGCCAGAATACATACAGCCATTACATCAGCAACGAGGTCACCGAACGTGGCTACAGGCTCGTCTTTTTGCCCCGGTATTCACCATTTTTAAATCCGATTGAGGAGTTTTTCTCCAAAGTCAAGGTGCTTTACCGGCAAATCGACTTGGCACAACACGAGCAACAGCAGCAACAACAACAACAGCAACAATCGCAGCAGCAAGGTGTAGTAAAGACGGTGGAGCAACGTTTGGCTGACTCTATGAAGAGAGTCAAAAAAGAAGACTTGAGAACTACACTGCCCATTCGATTACGTTCTTTGATCGATGCCTTGCTCGTGAAGACAACCTGTAACTGTTCGCACATTTCCTGTATCCTTTATATCCGCCATATACTATATCCCTACACCACCACCAGTTACACCATATCACTTTTTGTTCTTTTAACAATTTTTAATCAAGTTTACATCGACCATATGTACTTTTGACTTAGGCAGCAGCTAGGGAAAAAAGGAAAGTGAAGAAAGAAGTTAAGCGGGCGGAAGAGAAAAAGGCAGCTGGAAGAAACATGTTAAGCAGGTAGCATAAATAAGAGAGTGAGATGACATCGGAATACATATAAGCATAAACAGAAGAGTGAGATGACAGATGAAGTGGGACAATAAAGAGAAGAAGCATAACGAGTAAGGAGGGACAGGCGACTATTAAGAGAAGAAGCATAACGAGTAAGGAGGGATAGGCGACAATAAAAAGAAGAAGCATAAAGAGTAAGGAGGGACAGGCGGAGATAAAATGTGGATGGTAAAGGAGTGACTGGAGAAAAAGTACAAAGGAAGGGAGGGCATCTATGGACACTGACCACAGGAACACTTAAAGCAGGTAACGCACGCTCGTAGATCAGGTGCTTGCATACTGCTAATGACTGCTCCCATGCGCGTCCAAAGAGTGTCAGTTAACGTCAGCGCATCTTGCTCCGTTGGTCGGTGTCGCTTGGCACTCAATGCAACGTGTTTAAACAAGATTTCGGCAGGATTGAGCACCCCACTGCAATGTGGCAAAAACACTGCTTTGTGGTCTTTGGCTTCAACCAACTGACAAATCGTCGTCTTTGTCTCTTCTGGAACATCGTCAAAGACAATGCTCCGGGAACGAAGCTTCTTCACATCCATCTCGGCGAAGAGTCTGCGAAGGAACTTCTTGACATCGTCGTTGTTAGTGGGCCCTTCGCAGTTTTTGTTGCTAAAGTGGAGGACCTCACTACGAGTAAAGCCGACGAGGAACGTGGAGGTGGCTTCCAAGGGTTCCAATGGGCTTAACCTTGGGCTCGTGCACCTTACCAACAGCTGCTGCTTTCTGTGCCCTCGCTTGCGTCTTCTTGGCATCAGCGTAAGTACGATTGCTGTTGATATGGTAAGCCATTTCACCAACAAAAACACAAGTGGCTGCGCTGACACCTTGCTCATACACACTGTGCAGGCAATCTTGTACATCTACAAGCATCTCTGCCTCATCCGGGGCTCGAGCCAGACTCTTGAACGCACGGACGGTGATGCCAAGGTTCTTCTGCACATACGTCTTCAACATGGTTCGGCTCACCGCTGCTTCATCGTAGTTTCTCTGATATGCATCAAAGATATCGTTGTGTGAGGCAGCAGCGTGCTGGTCGACATATCTGCAAAGAAACTTGTGCATATCTTCCGTTACGCTTTTCTTTTCTGCCTTCCGGTAAGTACTACTTTCGGCATACTTCTGCTTGCGGGTGCGCAACGTGCTAGGTGCGATGCCGTTCTTCATTGCGGCTTTTCGGATTGACACTCCAGCAGCGTTCTGGAGCAGAGCATCCTGCACTATGTTGTTACTGGGGGGATCGTAGTTTCCTCTACGCACACCCGAGGCCTTGCTGCTTGTTGGCCCAGCTGCTTGGCTGTTGCGATGCATTGGCACGTCACTATCACGATCCAAATGTTGCCTCGGCTCGTCTTAAAGAGTCATTATGATGTGTATTTTGTTAGTGGCTTAGAATCTTACTCTATATATTATATCATTTCTATTGCTCTCAATATTGCACCTGCAGCAGATTCCTCGTTCATGCTCAAGCTACTGAGGTCTCGTACAAGGTGGCTTTCCGAACTCGAAGCAGCAGCTGGAGCAGGACCGCGCACACGAGCACGCTTAGCCTGGCCTTGGGCCATATCGGAATCCAAGGTACGTTTGTTGAGTTGGTTATTGTTAGCGCTCATTTTTAAAAGAAGGAAGTTGTCGAAAGAGAGAGTGTTGGCGAGAAAGAGAGTGGACTTATTCACAACGCCCATAAACATAAAGTGTATACGGTAGCACATCTTTGTTTTCATCGAAATTGACTTATATGTATATGTATCGTATTGATTCATACTCCTATTGTAAGCTCATATGGATACGGAATGTTAAGTATAAACTACTATACAAGGATCTCACCCTTCCCGTATTATTTTTCTCTCTGCCTTCCTCTCCCCAGCAATAACATCAGTACCATAATATGAGAAGTAGCGCTCAAAAGTGCTAAACTCCTACATCCAAACGATATACAGGATCAATTCATGTCTATATTGCCCTCGCCAATAATCCCTACCGAGAATAATAGCTGCTTTTAATTGATGTTAATTCCTTGTGAGATCGTCTGTCAGTGGCCCAAGATGCTTTATGACTATGATATGGTCTGCCCAGATATATGATGAGAAATACAAGCCATCTGAAAATCTGAGGATACTCCTTTAATGGTTGTTTATACTACTATTCCCGTCATATCTGAAATTGACCGTCATTATTGTTGTTGCATACTTACAAAAGCGCAGCTGTTGTATCATCTATGCAGGCCGTTGATATGACAAGACATCATGTTTAGGAATCATATTTGTATTAACGAAACTATTTACTGTTGAGTATATGCTCTTCATTCAGCACTAGCCTTTATGATCTAAGAAGACTCGCATAGCTGTTAGAAAGAAAAGTATATGAGTTGCTTCTGTATGCACACAAGGAAGGTTAAAATTGCACGTGCTCATGCTTCAAGCTGTCGTTCTTGATTTTGCTTACTGCTAGTCGTATTGTTGCAGCCTAATCGGCTTTGATGTTTCTTTCCACTGGGTACAACCTCCACTTTTTCCAAGCTTTTTTCAAGCTATTTTTTTCGTCTTGCCTATGTATTTGTTGCTAACAACATGGAAGATATACCATTGCATGCTAGTTTGTAGTATGGGTTCAGATGTCTATGGAAAGAAAAAGCATGTTTCAGTATCGTTTAAGCTTTTGATTGCAAATGCGACATACCTTACTTACTTATGTCCGGGGCAAACACATTCGACGATCATAGACAATAGAATTGTTTGGAATGACCATCTTCTGGCTTTCTTTTCGAGCCAACTGTTCTGATCATTGCTCACTGAGTAACATTGTTAGACTTCGAATTTTGCTCTTCCGTTCTTGTACTGTAGTAGTTGAATGTAAATGGCATTATCAGGGTTCAGTTCTGCCCAACGGCAAAAGCTATAAATATGAAACTATAATTATACGCTGTAACAAAGCACCTTTGCTTGAATAAGTACAAGACACAGGCACCAAAAAGCAAAGACTAATGGTTAAAAATGCTGCTAGCCAAGCGACAGTAACAAGGGCGAAACAATAATGCTGTAAGCCAAATGAGGGACTGTTGGCCAAGTGACGATGCTGTTGACAGAAAAAATGGCTGTGAGCAAATTAGTAATTCCGTTAGCGAAAAAGAGGACCGTTGACCAAGTGAAAATGCTGTTAATAAAATAAAAAAAACTGTAAGCGAAATGATGATGTCGTTGACCAAATGAGGGGCCGTTGCCCAAGTGACGATGCCGTTGACGAAATAAATTGTGGTGAGCAAATTAGTAATTCCGTTAGCGAAAAGAGGACCGTTGACCAAGTGAGATGCCGTTAGCGAAATAAAAAAAAACTGTAAGCGAAATAATGATGTCGTTGACCAAATAAGGGGCCGTTGCCCAAGTGACGATGCCGTTGACGAAATAAAATGCTGTGAGCAAATTAGTAATTCCGTTAGCGGAAAAGAGAGCCATTGACCAAGTGAGATGCCGTTAGCGAAATAAAAAAAAACTGTAAGCGAAATAATGATGTCGTTGACCAAATAAGGGGCCGTTGCCCAAGTGACGATGCCGTTGACGAAATAAAATGCTGTAAGCAAATTAGTAACGCCGTTAGTGAAAAAGGGGGCCGTTGACCAAGTGAAAATGCCGTTAGCGAAAAAAGGGGCCATTAGCGAAATAAAATGCTGTTGGCCAAATCAAAACGCTGTTGGCCAAATGGAAAACCTCATTGGCGAAAAAGAAGCCCGCGAACGAAATGGTAAATCCCATAAACCAAAAAAAAAATCCCATGAGCGAAAAAAAAAATCCCGTTCGCGAAAATTTTAGAGCCCGTGTCCGGGATTGGATTCAAAATCCTGTAAATAAGGAAAGATGTGATTGCCAGCTTATCGATCCCACTTGTGTAACATATTCACATTTTACAGTTCCTCAGATTTTGCAACTTTTTTGACGGTATTCCCGCTGTTGCAAAAAGCGGGGATTCACTGTATTAGCTGTAGTTTTATTATCATAGTAGCAAATCTATCATTAGCTGTTAATAAACCATATAGTGAAAAAGTATCACTTTATGAGTTAAACCTATGCTCCATCAATAAGTAATTATTGAATTGATAATTCCAGTACATGCGGGAATATCCTAAAGATAAAGATACTATTATAGTAACAATTCTTTATATATTACAATAGACAATCCATAAGTAATTATAAATAACTTTAGAGACTACAATGGAAATTCCAAATATCAAATCTTTTTTTATTTGGAATATAATATAGTCCATACCTTTTTGAAAAAAAAAGAATATATGGTGGGTTTACACTATTAGGAGATGCTCGACAAAAATTTAGTGTTCAATTTTATTTTGTAGCAATTCTATTTATCGTATTTGACTTAGAGGTTCTATTCTTATTCCCATTTGCAGTATCTCTATATGATATTTCTTCTTTAGGATTCTAGGTAGTTATTTTCTCCTTAATTATCTTAACAATTGGGTAAACAAGCCCTAATAACATTAATGTTATTATTAATCTTATTATATGCTGGAAAATCCTTAAAGACTGTAATACCTTATTGGTAATAATTTACAGTATTGGATAATCAGCAGGATATAAATTAACCTCAGAGACTATAAATAAGACATTCATAATAAATGAAGAAATAGTCCCATCTATGATGAAAATTATGGCGGTATAATCCACAGTTATTTTTAATCTCATTGAGTAGTATTGTTATAACCAAATGATTAATGAGATTTATGATCCTTAACTTAAGATATTGTTGTTTATGAGTAGTCTAAAGGAGCTTTAAAATTTACTAAAGATCCTTCACTTTCAAAAATCAACCTATAAATATTACTTTTTAAATAAGGTCATATAGTACTTAGTACTATATGGCCCCCTTAATCTACTCAATTACAATATTGTCTATGTTATAATATATAAGTTGACAAAATATGGATAACAACTAATAGATAATAACTAAATAAACTATTACCAAAATTTTTACCTAAACTAAGGAATAATTAATTTAAATAATGTTAACTAGTCATTATTTATTTAATGAATAGAATAATAAATTACTTCATATGACAACTATTGATTTACATACATATTTAAACGAATTAAAACCTAAGTACATTTATTTAAACAGTTCAACTGAAAAATTAAAAATATTAAAAGAATTAAAATATATTTCTGGAATTTATCTATGGTACAATGATATTATAGATAATTAGTATATTAGTAGTGCTAAGGATTTATCTAATAGATTAGCTAGATATTATAGACCTTCTGAATTAATTAGAATTAAAGGAAGTTTAATTCATAGAGCTTTATTAAAATATGATTATGAAAATTTCTCTATTTATATTTTAAAAACTTATAATTCATCAGAATTAATTATAAGAGAACAAAATTATATTAATTTATTAAAACCTATTTATAATATCTTTAAATTTGCTCATTCTAGTCAAGGTTATATGCATAATGAAGAAACTCGAAAAATTATGAGTTAAATTAAAAAAGAAGATCCTAAATTAATAGAAAGAATCTTAGTTTTAGCTGAATTTAATATAGGTAAAAAACATTCAGAAGAATTTAAAAAATAAAGAAGTGAATTAACTAAAGGCTATAATAATCCTAATTTTGGAAAAGGTAATTCTGTTATTGAATATGATATTGTTAATAATAAAATTAAAATTTATTCATCAGTAAGTAATGCTACTAAAGCTCATAATACAGGTAGGAATTCTATTAGATATTGTATTAATAAACAAAATTTATATAAATCTCAATATAAGTTAAATCTTTTGATTTTTTTGAAGATAATGATTAAAAATTTAATTTATTCTTAGGGTACTCTCAAGCAACGTGAGTCAACGTCGACACACCCTAGAAATAGTAATAGCGCGTTGTTCGGGAGTCGAATAAAAGTGATACAATGAACACAGGATTTTTTTGTGTAATTTATATCATATCCTTGATAAGGAAATGAAGAGCAAAACTGCCGTGTCGACCCCTTGGTTGACACGGCACTCCCAAAAAGGATATCGTCTCGGATCTTTTGTTACACGTTCATGCGATTGAGAAAATATTACTTTGATATTTAATTATCTATCAAGCAATACCCGGGAGGGTCAAGTATACCATTTTACATAACATTAGATATACCAACTTGTTGTTTAGACGGAACCGATTCCATAGAAGATTAATTATTAACAATAGTATTTAAATTTATATTATATATAAGAAATATAATATAATTTTAAAAATAAGATAAATATTTTAGTTTTTTATATTATGATGAAAAATAAATACGTTAAAAATAAAATATTATGTTAATAATTTTTATATTTTTAAAATGTTATTTATAATTTTGTTTTTTTTTATTTTTTTATTGACTAAAAAATTTTTTAATATATAAAAGATATATATAATATATATAATATAAATATGATGATTAAAAACGGCGGAATGGTAATGAGCATTCCCCCTCTCTACCCTAGGAATACTTGGACGACGGGTAGCTCGACAATGAGATTTAGAGGTAATGGTCGATGGGGTGTCGAGCCATTACGACGTGAATATTATATAATAATATTCCTTTTAAATTTAAATATAATTATTAATTTATAATTAATAATTAATCTTCTTAAAAAAGAAAAAAAATTCTTTCTTTCTTTTTTCCGTCTGGACATAAATCTTCGATTTATGTAAAAAAGAAATTTATTTCTTTTTTTAAATATAAAAAATAAAAGAAATGGAGGGTTCCATTACTCCATTTCCCGGGTCCTTAGACCCGTCTGGTCATAATCTTCGATTATGATAAAATAAATTAAAATTTATTTTAATTTCTAGAGCAAGGGGTAATGGAACCCCCCTTGCGTAAGTAAAATGAAACATTTTACTTATTATTATATATCTAAGAATCAAAGATTCTTGATATATAACCAGACGGAAGAAAAAAAGAAAGAATTTTCTTTTTTTTTAAAAGAAGATTAATTATTAACAATAGTATTTAAATTTATATTATATATAAGAAATATAATATAATTTTAAAAATAAGATAAATATTTTAGTTTTTTATATTATGATGAAAAATAAATACGTTAAAAATAAAATATTATGTTAATAATTTTTATATTTTTAAAATGTTATTTATAATTTTGTTTTTTTTTATTTTTTTATTGACTAAAAAATTTTTTAATATATAAAAGATATATATAATATATATAATATAAATATGATGATTAAAAACGGCGGAATGGTAATGAGCATTCCCCCTCTCTACCCTAGGAATACTTGGACGACGGGTAGCTCGACAATGAGATTTAGAGGTAATGGTCGATGGGGTGTCGAGCCATTACGACGTGAATATTATATAATAATATTCCTTTTAAATTTAAATATAATTATTAATTTATAATTAATAATTAATCTTCATAGTTCTACATATCATAAAATGATAAGAACATTACCGATAAGAAAATATCTTCTATATATGCAGCGACTTTGAGTAATACTTCTTGTTTTGTTCCACTCAACTTTTATTCGCACTTTTTATATCCTTCATCCTACCTTCTGTCTATTATTATGGATTCCCAGCAAGAAATTTTCCACAGAAGAACGATCATCAGCATCCTACTTCTTTTGATTGAAGGCTACGTCTTTTTTTTTCTTGCGAATAATGACGACGACGATATCAATCAACTCTCCATGATCAACACTGTTTTGCCAATGTACCGAACCATTTTTTCTCTTGATCATATCCTTTCAGCTGTATCATCGCCGCTACATTTCCGTGTTATGCAACGCGTCAATCGAGTTAAAAATACGACATACTGGGAAGTTACGCATCCAGCTCTTCCGGACACAGATGGACCAGGTGGTTTCAAATCGCATTACCGTATGAAACCAGCCACTTTCAATGCCCTCGTAAATATGTTGTCGCAACATCGATTGTATCAATTTACGGCACAAAACGCCACACCTGTGTTCATCCAAGTCGGCCTGATAATCTGGAGATTTGCCAATGCTCATGTCAGTTACCGTATGGCCGAAACTTTGCTTGGTACATCGCATGGATCCTACAGAAATTTTACCAAGCGATTTTTGGAGGCAATGGCCGACTGTCAAGGTGGTATAATCCGATGGCCGACCGGAAATGAAGCTATCAAGGCAACCGTTGAAGGGTTCCAATATGGAGAGCTTGGACCAACATTTCAAGTCGGACCTGCTCACCTCCCAAATGTACTCGGTGCTTTGGATGGGAAGCTCGTCCGAATCTTCAAACCAGGTGACAGTGGCGATCGCTTTGTCGACAGAAAAAACAACTACTCGTTGAACATGGTTGCCATTTGTGATTCAGAAAAGCGGTTCACCTACATCCATGCAGGGCAGAGCGGTAAGGCATGACATGTTAATGTAATTATCTTAGTTGCTTTCCTGGCTAATGTATACGACTTTTATACCATAGGCCGAAATCACGATTCAAGAGCCTTTCAAGCTACTGCTTTTTATGACGAACTTCTTGCTAACCCAGAATCCGTGTGCCCAAATGGAACATTTATACTTGGAGGTAAAGAACAAATTGTTTAGCATAGACCATCGTTGAAATCACGATACATATTTCTGACATTCCATTTTTTGTTCGTAGATTCGGCATACCCTTTGCTCCCGTGGTTGATAACACCATTTCCTGATGCTCAAGCACCCCGCCACAGTGACAACGCGCATTTCAATTATATTCATTCGAGAATGCGTAACGTTATTGAGCGGGCATTTGGCCAATTGGTGTGCAGATGGCGTTTTCTACGTAACGAGCTGTATTTGCTGGATGTAGAATCAATGACGATGACGATTGTTGCTTGCTGTATTCTGCATAATTTATGCATTGATCACGACGATCTTCATGCCGAAAGCACATTTGTACCTAATCCGATAGCCGATGATTTGCTTCTAGAGCCACTCGAAGTTTCTGACTCTATCAATGACAGTGGTCGTGGTGCGCGCCGTACCGCTACGCAACTGCGAAATGAAGGTGTGCGGAAACGTAATGAACTAGTACAGTACTTGCACGAGAATCGGCGTAGCGATCGTGAGAGCTTCCGTCAATATAATCGCCATTATAGACGCAGATAGAAAATAAATATGTCTTCATAACAAGTTATCTTTTGAGGCACTTGATTATATAAAAAAAACCCGAAGGAAAAAAAACTTTATTGAATTAAAAATAAAAAATCAAACAAAAAAGATTCTACATCTTGTCAATAAGTTGCTTCATTAAATCTAAGAAGCTCTGTTGTGTGTGTTGCTGTTGCTGGTGGCGCCTTTCTTGAGCTTCAAGGATTTCCTTATGTTGCTGATCGAGTAGCTCGATCAGCTGTGATCTTGCTTCCTCGCTCTACTGGTTGGCGGCATCGATCCGCTCAAGCACATCTTCATGCCGCAATTCTGCAGGAGTTAATCGTCGACGTCTTGCGGATGGCTGCAGCGTGCTGTCGGTTGCTGTTTGTGTATCGGCGCGACGACGAATGCCTCGGAAAGAATCGAACTGGAATTCAGGATTGAACCTCGGGTCATCCTTCAGCAATGCATGCATATCATCGTATAAATACCAGTCGTCTATGTCACCGGACCCTCCAGTCTGCCGATGGCGTTCGGTAAAGCACGAATGGTAACGACTGCACATTCTTTCCCACTTGGTTTTGATGGCGCGCTTGGTTCGTACATTACCGAAAGTTTCGACAGTACTATTATCATTTGTAAAGTCTGACGCTGATGGATCTGTTGCTGTTGCTGCTGCTGCTGATGATGATGATGTCGCTTGATCGTCGCTCGAAATACTGCTCGGCTCGACGACAAGGGACGAAGGTGCTGGCTGCTGCTCGTCCAAAGACTGTTCGCTTTCTTGAGTGCCATCAGTAACAATTGGTGATGCTAGAGGTGTACACTCTTTCTTGAAGTCTTCAATGATTGCATCCCATGTACGGCCGCGATGATTGTTGTCTCTTGGATGCGTAAGCTCATCATAATGCTTAGAGACTGCGGTTAGCAACGCCTTTTCTTCAGCCTCAATCCAATGTTCAGGGGAGCTTTGTGTCGGGACAGAAGATTGGGCTGCGGTGGTGTCGTTGTTGCTTTCGTTGCTTTGCATGTTGCTGTTGGACTGGTTATTGGCTTGAACAACAGGAGTGCTGCTTCGATTGTCGCTACTATTACCATGACCACCACGACCGCCACGACTGCCACGACCGCCACGACTTCCAGAGCCACTGCCACGACCTGCACCACCAGGATTAACGATAACAATTGAGAGTTCACGAGGTGTTTGTTCTTGGGATGACATTTTGAAAAAAAAAGTTAATTACTCATCTTCCTACTGAACGTACCTTACTTTTATATATACCCGAATCGCTTGCGGGAGAATTACACATACAGTTTTCACAAGCTGTTAGGATTGCAAACGCAAATCATAGTATCTTCACCTTCATGATAGGATCTTCACCTATCTCCA